AAGATAAGGAACGTGGCGTGAGTTCAAAGAGCCTACAAATTTGACAAGTTTCAACGAAATTGTGATAAGATATCACGGAATCATTTCGGGTAGACTATCTGGAAGCTTCATTTTTGAGGAAAATGTTGAAAATTGGGGGATTTTGAACTTGAATTTTGAAAAAAGTTCCTTTTCAAAACCAAAAAACTTGAAAATCTATCAAATTTAGCCCCTAGAAAAGGTCTTTCTTCTGAAATTTCCAAAAACTGTTCGAATTTTATGAATTTTAACATTTTCTACATGTCAATTTGTCTATTTATCATCAAAAAAGACCCCAAATTCTGGTTCAAAAAAAGAATTTTTCAAAAAAGTCAAAAATCTATCGAAATTAGCATTTATGAAAAGGTTTTTTTTATTCGAATTATTAAAAAAATTGCTCGAATTTCATGGATTAGACCATTTTCTATATGTCTATTTGTCTATTTATCATCAAAAAAAGACCGCAATTTCCCGAATCTGAAAAAAATTTTTTTTTTCAAAAAAACGAAAATCTATACATTTTTTTACATTGACAGAAACGTCTTTCTGTTGAAAATATTCAGAAACTGTTTGTATTTCATGAATTTACCCATGTTCTACATTCCAATTCATTTAAAAATGATCAAAAAAAGATCAAAATGTCCGGTTCCAACTTTAAAAAGGGACGAAAATCTATCGAAATTAGAACTTGATAAAGAGTCTTTTTTTCTTAAATTTCCAAAAAAACTGCTCAAATTTTTATGGATTTGACAATTTTCTAAATGTCGAATTGTCTATTCATCATCAAAAAAGACCAAAATGTCCGATTCGAGGAAAGATTAATAGGAATTATCGGTAAAGCGACAAGATTAAAACTTTCAAAGTCAATCAAGAAAACACATGACTTTTTTTTTTGAAAGAGACGAATTTTTATCATACACTATTTGGTCAAACTATACAAGAGAATACATAGGAAAAACAGAAAAAAAGGCAAAAAAAAAGAAAAAAAATCAGAAAAATTTTCCAAAAACGGCAGGCGCCAATTTTTGAGGTCAAAAAAGTCAAAAAATGGTGAGCGACCGACTTTTTTGGATCTACAGGAAAAGAGGAGGGAAATTGGAGAAACAGATATTCAAAATTGTGTCAATTAGACAAGATTTGAAACGTTGGATGTTTTTAAAAAAATTTAAAAATTCGGTGAAAATTGGAAATTTTTTTGGTTTGGAGGATATTTGAGGTAATATATCTTCTATTAAAAAAATATTGGAAAAAAAAGTTTTTTTAACATCTTAAATATTTCAAAAATAAATTCTTGACCATGTAATCATGATTCCAGCCCACCAATTTTAACATTAAAAAAATTAAATTAAATAAAATTAAAATAAAATAAAAAGATCTGCCCAAAAAAATACATCTATCTAAATCCTTTCTTTTCGGGCATTCCCTTATTTTTCAATTTTTTCAAAGCAATTTAGCTATTTCCCTTAGGATCGCCAGAGTGATCACTAGAGGGGTTAGGGAAAAATAAGGCCCTACAGTGGACACTATAGTGCTCCTTAGAGTACTAAAATTTAGATAGTCACTATACAGTAGGCCCCTAAAAACTTGAGTGGTCTCTATAGGGGCTATTTAATTTCCGGTTCTTAGTTTTGTGTGGAATGACCCAACTACAGCGGAAGTGAAAATTCGACTTCTTTCTCAAAGATTTTTGAAAGATTTGAAGTAAATATTCAAAAAATCGATCCAAGTGATCTTCAAGCAGATCTTCGAAAAATTCCTAACAAAGGCTAAAGATCCGTTAATGCAAAAATGTAAGAAAATAGGAAAACAAGTCAAAAATCGCCCATTGATAAAAGGTCACTCGAAACCATCGGATCAAACGCCGCGAACCTTTTTTTTTCCTCTGCACACCGTGTTTTTCCCGCAATGCTGTATGGTCAGTAGATGGTTGCTTTTTTCCAGGCACGTGAAAAATAAGTGAAATTAAGGTCATTTTGGGGTTGAAAACATGCCAAAACATGGTGTTTTAGAAGATTTAGAGTCTTTGAAAATAGGGGATTTTTGATCTGAAAACTTTGGAATTTACAGAAAAAATGCTTTTCAAAGTTTTTCCTCAATATAAAAAAACTACACAGAAATATTGATTTTTTAAAAATTTTTAAAAATTATTTCAAAAATGTCTTCCAAATGTGAAAACCACCAAAAAAATAGAGGATTTTTTTGACATGAAAATTTTTAGATTATACTTCAAACTTTCATTAAAAAAAGACATTCGCATCTGTTCCTCATAAAATTTCATTTCAAAATAGAAAAACACCGCTTCTACGCTAAATCGTACCGAGACCTTTTATAAAAAAAAACTCTCTGCGCCTTTAAAATTCGGCTCAACACTGGTGAATCGAGAGGTAGATACAAGTAGGTACCGGGTAGCAACTCCAGTCAATCGGCGAATCGTAATCGGTGGTCATTTGTATGCGACCGGGTACTATCTCTATGGTACCTGGATAGTACCTGATCGGTATCTGGATGTAACCGGGTATGTACCCGAAATTCGCGATTGCCACTGGCTGGCACAGCGGTCGTTTATATACCATCAGTGTTTTTTTACACCTTCCCAAGCCTTCCAGGGTCTTATTGGATGAAGCTGACAAATAATGACCCGGGAAGCAATTCCAGACTTTCCGAAAGAAATCGCGAATGTCAGGTAGCTACTTGTATCGACCTCCGACCCAGGTACCACAGAGATAGTACCCGGTCGCATACAAACCACTACCGATTGAATTTTTCAAAAGTTGCTACTTGGTAGCTATTTGTATCGACTTCTCGATTCACCTTTGAAGATAGAGGGAAGCGAAAATAAAATATGAAAAGAAAATATTACAGTAACACAATTTTTGTTCTTATCAGCCCTGAAAGTTCAAAAAAAGGTTCAATTCCAAAAATATATGTTTGAAATGTAATAAAATGAGTATCAAAAAGATGGATTTGAAATATCGAAAAGAGAATCTGAAATATCGAAAAAATAGTTCAAAAAGTTTTCTTTTCCTGATTGGGAGCTTTTTTTGGATTTTTTTTTCAAAATTATGAACACTTTCTCTTCAAATTTGCTTCAAATAATATAAAATGAGGAAAAATTTCTCTTTATAAAAAAATTTATAAAAAAAGCTGATAAAGATCAAAAAAACCTAAAAAAATAATTTTTTTCAATTTTTCAAATTTTTTTGTCAATTTCGGAATTTTTAAAGTTAATTATTTAAATTTGGAGCGTTTTTTTCAAAATTCTCTTCAATTGACTGAAAATTAAGAGATCTATCATTTCTTATCGAAACTTGAAAAAAACCCAATAAAAAAATACTTTTACAAGTTCAAAAAAAGTGACAAGACGAGTTCGAAATATTCCCAATGAACACCTTATGAGAAAGGAAGGGTCAATAAATCTTCCCGTTGTCGCGGAATCTTCCATTCGTCACGATTTTTCCGAACGGCACCCGAAAAAAGTGTTTTGATGTGTCTTCAGGTGCGAAAAAGTGAAAGGAATGTGGAAAATCGGTAAATTTTTCTCAAGTATATAATTGAAACTCAATGAAGAAAGGTTATAATTGCTTTTTTTGAAACTAATTTTCATATCAAAATGAAAAAAATAAAAAATTATTTCCAAAAATGTCCAAAAGCCACTCGAATAGATTATTTTGAAGTCCTCAAAAATTCAAAATTTGGACTTTAAAATGTTTCCTGTACAAGTTTAGCATTCCAAAACAGGATGCTTTTTTTTCGAAGTATTTTTTGTCTCGAATTTAATCTTTTCACTTTGAAAAGCATTTCTCTCGCTTTTCTTAAGGTGCAAAATATCATTTCCTCTGAAGGTCACAGCCAAAACTTTAAAGGCATAGGGGCAGTAAAAAACGGTGTTTCAGTTCAATGCAGTACTTTTTAGAGTTTTTCATTGCGAATCGAATGGTGAACTCGGAAACGTACAGAAGTTCCTAGTTTTGGAGAAAACATAATTCAAAGTCGGAGGGAGGAAAGCTTGAGTTCCCGCCAAAAGGGCACTTTGCAGTAAAGTTGCTCTATGGACAACAGGTTTCGTCATCTTCCGGATTTTCGCTTTTTTCTTCGTTTTTTTCAATTTTCAACTTTTTCTGTTGTCACCAAAGTTCTTTTCGTCACAAAAACTTTCTATTCATGTATAATTTGCAAACATTGATCGCAAAAATGCTCCTTTGGTGAAAAATGATGATTTTACACAGGATTCGATTGGGATAGCGATTATTTGTGTTTTCTTTATTATCGGTGTGTGTTTTTTGATTTCTTAATTTATTTCTTCAGAACAAGAAGCCTTTGGCTTAAAACAGATAGCCGGTTAATTCTCACAAAATGCGAGTCTAATGAGACGTCCGCAACATCGCGTGCACGGCTACTGTAAACAGTTATCTGTATACCGATCCGAAGCAAATTTCAAAATGTGAAGGCGGGAAAAAAAAGATTTTTTTAAAAAGTATATGAGTTTGTTTCAGTAAACCGTTCGATTCGCAATGAAAAACTATATAAGATACTGCTTTCACCCGAAACCCCGTTTTTTTATTGCCTCTATGCCTTTAAGAGAAAAACCGAAAAAAACCGAAAAAAATTCGAAATTCATCTTTTTGTGATTTTTTTAAAGTTCAAAAAAATATTATAACTTTAAATAAAACTTTTGTCCATTCTCCTTTAGAGGCCACTGTCTAAACTTCCAGAACAGACCAAAAAAACCGACTAAAAATTCAAAAAAAAAGGGGCACAAAATTCAACTTTCTGTGTTGTTTTTAAAGCGCGAAAATTTGCGAAAAAAAAAATATATATACATATATATAATTAATGTTGCCTATGCTCCTACAGCCAAAAAAAGCCCGACAAAAATTCAAAAAAAAGAAAAATTGACACTTGGCCTCAAAGAGAAGTGCGATGGGACTGGGGGAAGTCGCACTTTTCTCACAAGTTCCCGAGGATTCCAACGAGCCACAGGGATGATTTCGCACCTCAGGAGCTGGGATGGGAAGGTGCTCGGGTCATCCGCCATCTATAAAAGGAGCCCTCGGACCTCAGTTCTTACCAAAATTCTCGTCATGTTCGTCAGCTCCTCGCGACTCGTCGGCCAGCTCAGCGAGCAGATCATCTTCGCCGAGCTGCAGCAGCAGTTGGACGCCGCCGAGCAGAAGAGGCAGCTGCAGCGGGAATGGCTGGATCGCCTCTGGGGCCTTTATTCCTCCTGCCATGAGGTCCTGGCCGAGTTTCGACGACTCGTTTTCCAGGTACTTTTTTCTGAATTTGGATTTTTCTTCATTGTTTCAAGTTGTTGGCTTGAGTTTGACTTGATCTAACAGCTAGCTTCCAAGCCCTTTCTTTCAAAAATTTTCACCTTTTTCATAAAAATCCTTTTTTTAAGTTCTCAGCTTTCCGACTAATGAGAAAGGTAGTTAAGAGCGATGTTTAGAGTTTTTATTTTTTATTTTGATTTTTAAAATTTTAACCAAACAGAAATGGTCTTTTTAGCGTGTTATTTTGAGTTTTTACCCTAACTTTGTTTATTATTTTCGCCTTTTTACAAAAAATTGTTTTATTTTTTTATTTTTTTGCAGTTCGTACAGCTGGTCGTCGTCCCTGCCGGACTTCCCGTATCGTCGGAAGTCATCAACTGCTTAAAGGTAAATTTTGAATATTCATTTTTCTTCCAGTACCGTTTCTAGTTACAAAAAAATTACAACTGACAGTTCAAAAAGTTTTTTTCGGATAAAGTCTTGAAAAAAACTCCAAAAAAGCAAATTTTCAAACTCTTAACAGTTTTAAAAGTTCTGGCTATAAAAAGATCCCAAATTTTAACATTTTTTTGAGTTTTTTCCGTACAAAAACGAGACAGTTGAACAGACTTAAACTTTTCTTCATTTTTGAGATTTTCGACTTGAAAAAAGAGCCTTACTTACAGCATATTAAAAACTTTTAACTTTGAAAAAGAGCCTATTTTGTGAAAATTCTGAAATTTTCGGCTTCAAAAAACAGCCTGATAGAAAGATGAATTCAAATTTTAACCGTTTTGAGGCTCCTGATTTCGAAAAAGAGCCTAAATTTGTTCAGTTATCAAGCTTTAAACTACAAAAATTAGCCTATCGAGGAGATTTTTCAAGTTTTCCACATTTTTGAGGCACCCGACTTCGAAAAAGGGCCTAATTTTCCTCAGTTTCAAACTTTTGACTCGAAAAAAATCACACCTTTCAACAATTTTGAGACTTTCTACGTCAAAAAAACGCTTTTTTCCCTGTCTCAAACTCACCTTTCACGTTCCAGGACCTGACGAAATGCGTCCAGAAGAAGCTGGACCTCTGCAACCGGCTTCTGGAGCACGAGGCGACCGAATTGAGCCGCCTTTTCTCCAAATTCGGCAGCGCCTTCATTCTGGACGCCCAGAAGAACTGCCATTTGATTGGCCTGGAAAGCTCGCAGCTTTCCAAGGAACTCGAGGATTTCGCAGAGCTTTGCGTGAGTTTAAAATTCCAAAAAAGAAGAAGTATAATTCTTAAAATTCAGAATACTGGAACGATAATGGCGACTTCAATGGATCTGCTCAAAAATCGGGTCGCCGACTTCCGAACCGCCACTTTTTTGGCCCCGTCTTGGGAGAAACTCTACGCGGCTGTCAAGTTCTAAGTTAATAATGTCTTTGATAATATTAATAATTTATTTATTCCATGTTTCCTTGATAAAATATCATTTTTCTACTTTTAAACTTGTATTTTTCTCAAAAACTCTTGTTCCTACAATCATTTTTCTACTTCCCTTAAGTGGTCCCTATTCTCTTATTTCCTCTTTATTTTTAATTTAAACCCCCCATTTAATAATTCTAGGCCTTAAATATGATAATAACTAGATTCATTGTTCTTTAGGCCCTTATTTTTCCTTATTTTTTTAATTTTTCATCATCTTCCTATCTATTTTTTTCTTACAAAATTGTAAAAATGAAAAAAATTTACTAAATTTGAAAAAAATACACACCCTTGTTTGGCTTTTAAACACTGAAAGGAAACGGCGAAAAATTGAAATATTTGTTCAAAACTTGAAAAATAATATACCTAAATCTGAAAAAAAGCAATAAAATTGAATTCCATTTTTTTCTAATGATCTTAAGAAGAAAAATTGAACGATTCCGGAAAAAAACTCAAAAAAAATTTTTCTGAATTCTCAATTTTCTAACTTCTTTTTTCAGTTGAATAACTATTTTTTACAGACTTTCAAACATTAAAAAATCAGAAAATATCAAAAAATAGCCTGGAAATGACTATAAAAAAACTCAATTTTGGCCTCAAAAGCTCATTTTTTTCGACTCTAAATCATTCCAAAAAAAATCCTCAATACGTTTTTTTAAATTTTTTTATATCGATTCTTTAAATAACAAGGACAATTTGAACAAATATTTCACGATAAAAAAATATTCACAAAAAAAATAAATATTTATTGGTCCAGCCCCAAATCAAAAATAGCTAAAAGAATCCCTGAGTAATGATCAAAAAAACCGGTGAGAATATATGTCAAATTTCTAGAAAAAAATGAGAAAAATATAATATACAGTGGGAAAAAATCCGATGGCAAAAAAATACAATATGGGCAAATTTTTACAAGAAGTTATGACTGAAAAAAATGAATTTTTTTGAAGAATTTTTCTTTTTCAGAAATTCAGTTCGAAAAAAATCTTTTTCGGTGTTTTCAAAATTTACAAATTTTTCAGTTTGCGATCCCTTTTTAGTGATTTTTTTAAAATGTTCGAAAAATTACCTTAAAAATAAGTTTACAGAATAGAATATGCCCTGAACCGAGAAAAAAATCGGGGAATAAAAATTATTTTTTTCATCTCAAAATAATGGTCGAAAAGTACTAAAAAACCTCTTTTTCTCTCAAAAAAATCCAGTTCAAAAAAACCTTCCTGGTCATCATAATTCTACAAATTTTTCCAAAATTACCTGCTACTAATTCAAATAATGAACAGAAAAGTTCAAAAAGAGCCTAAAAATTCAGTTTTTTTACAAGTAAAATATATAGAAACGTATCAGGAAAAAGAAAAAGCAGAAAAAAATTATTTCTCATCTCAAAAAAACTGGTCAAAAAGACCTGAAAAAAACTTTTTTTCTTCCGGCGGAAGCCGTTTCTTGGTCGGTTGCGGCAAGATAAAGTTCAAAATTCAAAAAAAAAAGCCATGAAAATCTTGAAAAACTCGTTTTTCCGTTTTGGCTTCACCATCTTTCAATACTTAAAAAAACACAGCTGAAAAAAAGCTACCGTAACCCCAATTTTCGAGATACAAAATCGCAAAAAGGGTCTCGAAGCGAAATTCGGTAAAGTTGATCTTTTTCAAAAAAAAAAATTAGACAAGCTAGCGGGGATTGTACTATACATCATGTGAATGAACAGGAAAAGCAAAATTTTCAAAATCATAGACAAAAAGTTCAAAATTCAAGCGACATGTTCAAATCGATGGAGGAGAATATGTCCTTCTACCGTAATCGCGTCGATGTTGCTTGGATCATCGCCGTCTCGGTAGGTGAACTTGACGAATGGCATTCCGTCGACGTCAACCTGTACATTTCCTTTTTTTATTGTAAGAACCCTAAAGGGACCACTAGAGCTTTAGAGGCTTATGGGTCACACCCTAAACTCCTACAGGGACCACTTGAATTTTTGCCCTCTAGGGGGCACTTTAATTCCCCCTATGGGGACTGATTTATCTCCCTAACCCTTCTAGGGGGACGCTGAAGTCCTGTAGTTGCCCTAATCGAAAGCCAAAACGGCTTCTTTTACTGGGAAAAACTCTAGTGGCCACTAAAGAGGTTCCTCAAGGAATCGTTGGATAGTACACTAAAGTGGCCACTATGACCCCTTTTATAGAAGCCACCATTCTGCGTATTTGTTTTTTTTTTCCAAGTTCCATACTCTGAAAATACTCTAGTGTCCAATAAAGAAGTTCCTCAAAGAATGCTTGTAGAGAACACTAAAGTGCCCACTAAACCACCTAAATAACGAAATTTGGAAATATGTAGAACTGAAATGCAAAAAAGTTCGGCGAAGGCACAGTAAAAGGGGCGTGGCTTTGTGATCAAATGCCGCACGGTTTAACCCATTATTTTGCGTCTAAGTGGTCACTATAGTCGTGTCAGTGCTCTAGTAACACCACTCAGACCTCTGAAGAGACCAATAATTTTAGCCACTCAAGTGGTCACTAATCCAACTACTATTGTGGCCATTGAAATGTCAAAACCCAAAAGTGGCCACCAAAAGTTTTCACAGGCCTTAAAATTCAAGTCCCTTGAAACCAGAAGAAAAGTTCATGAAAAGCTCTAAAAGCTACTCCCAACCTTCCTACCATTTTTCAAAAACCAGCAAAACCCACCGCCACACTTTTTCCATATGCAGTGAAGAGCACGTCGTGGGTGATTCCCTTACTGAAGGGAAATTTTCCAAAGTTTCGCTCCTCCGTTTGCCAGACGCCATGGTTTTTCGTGCTGTTGCGGATGATTGCCGCCTTAAAACATCAACTTTCAGAATTTTCTCCGTATATAAGATTTAGCTGATTAAAGGCTGGCTTGAGCCATCGAAAAAAGGGTCCTGACACGATAATGTACGAGATAGCGCCTGGCTCGTAGAGAGCGCAGACAGGACACGCCCCCTTAGCGTCCCAAGGTGGCCGTGAATCAGCTATGAAGTTTCTACTGGTTTTTGATACAACAAGAAGCTTCGCTGATTTGTTCAAAAAGCTAATTTCCGTTCTCAACTCAGGAAGTGACTTCCGCACCTTCAACTTGGTGTTGGTGTTTGGCATGTCGACGCGGAAGTGGAAAAGCCATTCGTCTTTGCACATCAGGTTGATCGAGAACCGTTCCGCCGAGAGAAACGGCGTCACCGTGAATTTCACCCGTTGCGGAGAGACGAACCCGCCTGGCGGCACTGGGGTCTTGAAGGGAATTGTCTGAAATTACAGCTCGAGTTTATAAATTCCGGTCTTTATTGTAGCAATAGCGCAACAGGTTGTGCGCCTGTCAAGGGTTCAAAGGGTCACAGGTTCAATCCCCGCCGCGACTCAACCGAGGGGTTTTTGAAATTTCGGTAGTGGGAAGATTGCAAGATGAGCCAGGATTTCTGTGAAAATTAAAAAAGTTCCGATTTTTAGAATCTGATGAGAAAAAATTTCTTTTTTGAGTTTCATTATCTGCGAGAATTGCATTCATTTCACAAAAAAAAGTTTAGAAAAACCACAAAAAATCTACGTGGAAACAGCTGACAGTAACTTTTGCGCTCCATTGATAATTTAAAAAAAAAGGCAGGCACATTTATTCGAAAATCGGGAAAAACGAATACATAGCCCTAGAGCTCATAAAATCACGAAAAAGGTCTTGTAATATTTCAAATTGAAAGTTTAGCCGTGGAGCACACAAGCTCCTTTAGATTTCGGATTTTTTTCCCGGTTCCATTTTTCGAGCCTTGTATATTTTGTGTCATTATTTTCTTCCCAGGAATACCAGACTAAGTGGAATGTTCTATTTTAACCCTTTTCCGTTCGTAGAAGCCTTTAAAAACTTCAAAAGGAATCGTGTGAAATATAATTTTCTTAAAATCTTTTTTTTTCTGCAAAAGTCCAAAAGAACACAAAATATGTTCAAGAAATGTTGATTGACCTGCAAAGAACTGTGTTTTCTCTTCTGTCATCTTCCAAAGAAACAACCAAACAGCTAAATAATTCAGCGATTATCTAAAAGATTGGTTTTTGAACCGATGAGAAAAAACGGAAGAATCACTTACTTTTCAGTGGGTTCCGGGTAAAGGAAAGTCGCAAATTCGCACGATTTTATTGGAATAGGGAGGTCTTCTAATTTTATTGAAGTGTTTAAAATAAAATTCAAACCTTTCAAGACAGTTAAACTTTATGTTCAAGCTTGAAAAGAGCATTTATTTGGTTTGAACCAACTTCAAAATATAAAAAGTACCGTATCTCAAAAAACTTCTACAGTAACCAAAGTTGGTATGTACAGTAAAAGTTTCTAAAATTGCATCACCTATTGATTGATATACCACTTGCTCCGAAAATAATTCATAATTCTTAGATACGCAGATTTCTACAGTAACCTGGCTATGGCATGAGGGAATGGCTCAAAAAGTCGCTTTTTTTAAATATGCTTGTCATATTAAAAAAATGCAACATACAAATTTTTAAAAAAATATGTCTAGAAACTGGAATATTCTATTTTTTACAAATTTTTCACCTTTTTTTATCATAAAGAAGCTTTCTAATTGGATTAAAACATGCAGGTCAAGCAGTTTTTTTAAAACCCTTTATTTTTCTGCCTAAAAAAACCATTTTTTCAAAATAGAAATTTTAAAAAAATATAAAATCATTGCAAAATTCAGTACAAAAACCGATTTTTTTCTTATTGAAAAGTCTATGAAAAAGGGGATAATCTAAAAAAATATAGAGCTAATAATTTTTTTAAAAAGCTTATTCATGAGATGCTTACTTTTTCAACACATTTTTTTAATTTTTTTAAAGCTCATTTTTTAAAATATATTTTTTTCAATGGGAAAAAGCATCTTAAATTTCAGTAAAAAAACCAAATTTTTCTCATCGAAACCCCGATAAAAGATCAAAATTCATAAAAAAATAGGTTTAGAAGGTATTTATTGGAAAATAAGTTGTAGGAAAAATTTTTTTACTCATTTTCCCATCCTTTCAGAACATTTTGAAATTTTTTAGAAGCTTCCTTTTTTCTAACTGATCATTTTTAAACTGTAAGAGCATCTTAAAATCCAGTAAAAACCCAATTTTTTTCAATCAAAAATCCCGATAAAAGGCCATGATTGAAAGTTATATATTTTTTGAACAGATTTCTTGTAGGCTTCATTCCAAACTATTTTTTCCCATTTTTAAAATCTTCCATTCTAACCCAACCATTAAGAACGGCTAGAAATGATGGAAAAAAAAAATCTTCCCAAAGAACACTTTCAAAGCGAATTCTTCAGGGTTACGGTACCACGACAGCTTCATCAGATGACGCCGCATGATCTTCAGACTTTTTGACGTAGGAAGACCAGAAGCAGTTTTTTGAAGGAAATGAGAGGCTTTATATCGAAGATCTGGCCACAACTCTTTCTTCAAAAATTGATATTTATCGATGAAAAGGGGTATTTTAAAGGTTTTTGAATAGTTTTCTAGGGTAAAAGGGTCTGAGAATTCAATGACATGAAGATTTTCTCAGAAATCTTAGCCTTCTGCTGTCCTTTTTAAATTGGAAGAAGTTCAGAAATAACCAGGTGTCAAAAAAAAATTTTTTATTTTTCATATATCGTGATAAAACCAACTGCATTCCTAAATAAATGAGCTTAGAATTATGAACCTAAACCCAAAAAATGAGCCCCCCGAAGGTCCAAATATCCAACTTCCATGGACTTTTCCGGCTTTTGAAATGTTTCTAAGAAGTCATTTCACACTGTTTTCTAAAAATTGAAACTCTTCAGTGTACCAGAAAAATAATCTGAAAGTCTCAGCCAGCAAAACTTCCTCGTTTTCGAGAAAGGACACCTCAAAGTGAAAGAAAACCCTCAAAAATATGCCTTTTTTTTGGCTTTGGGGTCTTATTTCTCGGAAACTAGACAGTTCTGCAAGTTGAGACTTTCACACAGACCTTGGTAACGAACGGGACACAAATCGGACGTGCCGGGGCATTTCTAGTGACCACTTTAGTAGCCTCAGAACTCTTAAGGGATCCCTAGAATCGCCCAGAAACGTCCGGAGCACTTCCGTTTCGCGTTACCAATGTCCGAGCAGGATCTTTTTCTGATTCATCAAGGAAAGGTCTGGCCAGTTTTCAGGAAAATCCCAGGAGCAAAGTAAAATGATTTTCCCTGTCGGCCCCAAAAATTCAAGCTGCTATTTTCAAGCTCATCATTTCACAACATCTAGACAGGTTTTTGAAACTTTTAGTTAAAGATTTCTTTATGGACCCATCGTTTTCTCTGCACCCAGCCCTTCTACAGTAACCATCTATCAAAAAAACTGCAATTTCTCTCCAAAACCGACAGACTTCGCCTCGATTTCATCGACAACCCTTGACGATGGCAATAAATCTTCGTTCTGAAGGAATTCCGCAAGGATGACGCATGCAGATATTGTGGTCAAGGCGAAAAGGAACGAAGAAAAAAGGAAGAAACGGAGCGAAGAAGCACGTCAGCGTTTCGAAATGTTACAGCGGAGGAACTGATAAATTGATAAATCATTTTCGGGGGAATTCCTACAGTCTACTTCACGACAAGATCCTCATATAACCGTTTCAAAAGCTATTTAAAATAAAATGGCTAAATTCAGAAGGGAAGAGCCCTAAAAAAACAAACAAAATTGGTCCCTATAGGGGCAACTTCAAGGGCTCTTGTAGGTTCCCCTCTAGGGATCACTTTACCTTCCCCTAGAGCGGGCTCTCAGGCTCCCTAACCACTATAGAAACCGCTCTGGCGTTCCTAAGAAGGTTCATCGAAAAACAACCCCTGTAGGGGACAAAAAAGTGCTCCCTAGAGGGGTAAAGTTTAAATGGTCCTTTTAGGGATTTAGGGTCTGCCCGCTAGGCCCCTAGAATGGCCCCTTGAAAGTTGAAGATACTCATAGCGACTATTAGGATCACTAAAATGAACAAAAGCAAACACTTTTTCAAAAATCCAATTTTAGGGGCGCCAGAGTGGTCCCTAGAGGGATTAGGGCGAAAAAAAAGGCCCTATAATGGACGAAATATTTCTCCGTAGAGGGCTGAACTCTATGTGGGGGTTCAGAATCTGATCCGTAAGCCTCTGAAGCTCAAGTGGTCCCTATAGAGGTCTTATAACTTTTTTTTTGTCACTGGATACCTTTGGAGTGGTCCCTATAGGGAGTTTGATAGGGGGTCTGTAAGGCACCCTAATATGGATTCCTACGATACTTCAAAAGCTTCAAGGCTTTAGTGACCTCCTCTGAAAGCACTATAGGGGCCCCTAATCTTTTGACCTTTAAAGGAATCGCGAAAATGTCCCTATAGTGGTCCCTAAATCAACGAAACCCTATAAAGACCCCTTAAAAAATCCTCAGTACGATATGGAAATCAAAATTGCGAGCTTCAGTGCCCTTCAAGTGGAAGTGAAGTGGTCCCTAGAGGGGGAACGTTAAGAATCCATAAGTTTGCCCCTCTAGGGGCCACTCTCTGGGGCTGCTAAGTTTCAATTGGCGCAAAAAACTTCAATTTTTCTCGATTTTCAACCTTCTCAGCAGAGCTTAGTTTTCACCGCGGCTAAATTTTCATGGAACCTACCGGCCTATCGATTTTCGTGATTTGCTCTTTCCGCTCAACGGGCTCCGCGAGCATCGGCTTTCCATCGGGACCTCTTTTGATCTGAAAAAGGTTTTTTTCATATAAAACCCATTTTCTTGTTGTAAATTTGAAGGAATGAAATGTTATTACAGTTTTTTTTATTTTTTCAAGCTTCAAACTGTGAAAAACTGTAGTGGTCCTTTAAGAGGCTCCTCAAGGACCACTTGGAGAGGGCACTAAAGTGACCACTAAAACCACTTCTTGTGGAAAATCAGAAAAACGAAATTTGAAATAAAATGCAAAAAAATTTCGGCGAAGGCACAGTAAAAGGGGCGTGGCTTTGTGAGCAAATGCCGCACGGTTTAATCGACTATTTTGCGTCATAGTGGCCACTATAGTAGTTTTTTGTGGTTTATTAGCACCACTTAGCCTTCTGAAGGGGTCACTTGAGTGTCCTTTGATTCGACTACTATAGAGGCCACTAAAACGTCAAAACCCTTAAGTGGCCACTAAAAATTTTCAGTGTCATTTTTCGGCTAAAAAAACAGAAATTGGAAAAATAAGCGCCCAACAATGATCGTTTCATTGAAAAAAAACCGAAATTTCGAAAAATTTTATTGAAAAAAAGATAGAAGCAAGGCTGTTGGCAAAAATAAGGTCTAGTTTTTGCGAAAAATAAAGCTGTAAATTTGTTTCTAAACACTTTCTGAACATTTTTATACACCAAAACTCTAAAAATTGGGAAAAAGGGCAAAATCTGGCGAAGGAAAGGGGCAAAATGGAGCAGAAGCATCGGGAAATTCACATATTTCTACACAAAATTGAGCCTTAAAAGTCAAAAAAAGCGAATAAATTTGAGAATTTAGTTCTTTTTGTTTAGCGCCGCGATGAAAACGTCGACCTTTGGCCATCATTCTTCTTCCTGGAATTTCTCACTTACAAGGTCAATATTCACATGACAAGAAAAGTTATGATCAACTCAAATCCAAAAAAAAACGTCATGCTTCTGATTTTTCAAACAAAATCTATCGATGACCAGTAAAAATTGGAAACAGCAAAATTATTCTATTTCATGAATTTCGCGTCGCTTTCTCCTATATCTCATTCAGGACGCCAGAGTGGTCCCTATAGTGATTAGGGGGGGTAAAATTTAAGTGGTCCCTACAGTGATTAAGGAGGGAAAAGTTCGTATTGAAGACAAAAAAGTATTCCATATGGGGGGAGGGTATAATTTAAGCGGTCCCTACAGTGCTTAAGGGGAAAACAACCCATATATGGAAACATATCGGATAAAATCGAAGTGGTCCCTATAGGTGTCTAAGGTCTGACTCCTGAGCCCCTAAAGCTCAAGTGGCCCCTAGAGGGGTTAGGGGGAAACAGCCCTATATGGTAACTATAGGGATAAAACCCAAGTGGTCCCTATAGGCTTAAGCGGCCTCTATTTGTCATATTTTAATGGAAATGCTCCTTCTCATACAGTTCATGAAAACAATCGATAATAGTGGACCCTGTAGGGATAGGTTAAGTGGTCCCTAGAGTGGGAGCATCCAAGGGCCCTAAGGTTGCCCCTCTAGTGACCACTCTGGAGTAAATTCTCAAAATTAAACAAACTGCTGGCATTTTTGGTAAAAAAGACTTCAATTTCAAGCTTCTGCTTCATTTTCCTTTTTTTCTAATTAATTATCCTTTAATTAATCTAACTCTAGATTCAACCTTATTAACTTTAATTAAAATTCATCGAAAATAAAACCAGCACGCAGACAGAGACAGAGGAGGACGAAGAAAAACAAGAAAATTATTAATTTTTTTCAGGATAATGGTAATTTGAACAAAAAACACAAAAAAGTGAAAAATACACTCACCGGCGGTTGAAATTCGACGTAGTCAACTCGAACGTTTCCCTTGATTGTCATGGTTTTTATCTGAAAATGATCCATTTTTTTTTAAATGAAGAAATCAAAAAATAAAATTTCTCTTCTAACACATCGTAAGTCATTTTACTACGCAGATTGGAATTTTTTTAGAAATTTTTTTAAACAATATGTGAAAGTTTATATAAAGATCTATCAAAGTGGCAACCCGCGCCAATTTCTAGTTTTTTTAAGATGATTAATTATGTAAAAAGAAAAAAAATTTAGGTCTAAAAACCCGGTTTTCGCAACTTTGAAAAAGTCATATCGCAAAAAAACTAGAAGTTTGCGCAGGTAGCAAAAAGTAAAATGACTTCACTTTTTACCTCCTAAATATTTTTTTCTAATTTTATAATTTTCAGCCTTTTTTTATGCAGAATTTTTGAGAAAATGTTTTTAATAATCTGCTTCTAAAAATCTTTGTTCATACTGAACTCCTAAAACACAACATTTTTTTCAGTCAATTACTCCAGAATATTCAACTTTAACTTCTGAAAAATCAAAAAAATTGCTTCTAAAGTTTCTGGTGCAAACTCTGACTGCTAAAAAAACGCAATTTTTTTAAATTCCGGATTTTAAAACCTTCTCTTACACGATTACTTCAATAAATTCTACTACAACTTTTTGAAAAAAATCTTTTTATTTTTAATCAAGAAAAAAACCTGGTCGACTCGAACTCGGTGGGGATAGTCGCAAACGTGCTTTCCATTGGCTGAGATCTGAAATTTCAGAGTCATCTTCTCTTTTTTTCTTTTTCATTCCAAATTTGAAAAGGAAAAACTATTCATTATTAGTAGTTTATTGAAAACTTGAAAAAAACTGTCACTTTTTTGAGAAATCCCTGAATTTTTCCTTTTTTAACGTTCAAAACTGGAATCTTGAGCCATTTTCCTAATGAAACTCAGCCTAAAAAAAGGTCTTGAAGAAAGAAATCGTGATTTTGAACAGTTTTTTGCTTTGATTCTCTAGATTTCAATCACCTATGCCCATTATAAAACGATTAGGCTTGGAAAAACGCTCAAAAATCGGATTTTTCCGGAAAATCCCACCTTAAAATAGTTCTCGCAGACGAGAATCCGGATCTGGAAGGGTTTTCCTTCCTCAAAAGGGTTCGGGAAACGTTCCTCGGCTCCCCAACTTCCGGAAACATAGGTGTTCAGGACGAACATTCGGTCAGGGGCCGACGAGAACCTCAAAGGGAAAGAATTCCGTTTTTTCTAAGGATAAATGATTTTAAGCCAAGAAGGAGAGTTTTTCAATCAGATGAAATGTCGCTTTTTCCGTTGAAAAAATGATTATTTGTCAAAATAATAAAAAATCAACTTTCAAAAAGCTTTTTGATATCTTATTTATTCGTTTCTTCCTTCAGAAAAAGAGCAAAACTCACCATCCGCCACCGGAGTCGAACCTGGGATTTATATGCAACGCTTTATTGTCCATGTGATCTCCATCGATCAATAATCCACAGCATAAATCGATGTTGAATCTCAAAAACTCCCTTGAAAAAGGTGGTAAAAATCAAACGCTAGAGAAATCCCTATAATGGCTCCTTGAAGGCTCCCCTCTAGGGACCGCTTTCCTCTTCTTAAAGAGGTCATAAAAAAACGTAAAATGACCACTATCGTGTTTCCCTGGAGTGGTCACTTTAGCTAGCTTTAAACTTCCAAATCATGAAACCCCTTTAGGGACCACTTAAGCTTCAGGGGCCTAGTGCCAGACTCTTTCACTATTTTGTCCCCAATAGGGGCCACTAAAGCTTGTAAAAGTGGCCACTCCAGGGAAGCATGCTAGGGGTCCCTATACGTCCGTTGAACTTTGGATTCATGAGACCACTATAGGGACCACTTGAAGTTTGCGAGCTTGAGAATCAGAATTTCAATTTCTCCCCCACTTTTCCCCTATAGGGACCACAAAGCTTGTAAAAGTGGCCACTCTAGGGAAGCATGTTGGTGGATCCAAAACGTCTTTTTTTACTTCTGATTCATAAGACCACTATAGGGACCACTTGAGCTTCAGGAGCCTAGTGTCAGACTTCAAACTCCTCCACTATCTTGTCCCCTATAGGGGCACCTAAAGCTTGTAAAAGTGGCCACTCGAGGGGAGCGTGCTAGCGGTCCCTATACGTCCGTTTAACTTTGGAATAATAAGACCACTTTAGGGACCACTTGAAGTTCGAGAGCTTGAGAATCAGACTCTAAACGTCTTCAATACTTTGTCCCCTATAGGGACCACTTGAACTTTAGGGATTTCGAGGTCAGACATTAAGCTCCTATAGGGATTACCTAAATTTCAGCCCTATAGGGGGTACTATTTGATCCCTCGCAAAAGCTCATTTTTTCCCTAACCCCTTCAGGGTCCACTCTGGCGTTCCTGAGCGACTGTACCTTTTGGCGTCGCTGGCGAACGGCGGAAGGACCATTCCACTGACGACGATCGCCCTTCCCGGGAATAAGCCGCCGACAATCGCCGAAACGAATGGAAGATCCTTACATTTTCTTTATCAAGACTTTCCAAAAAAATTATTTCCTCTTGGAAATGGAAAGTAAAATTTTTTTGTGAAACAGAACTTCTTGAGAAAAAGAACCCTTTTTAAGTTTTTCTAAAAAAAATATTAAAAAAATTTATTTTTTTACTTGAAAAAAAGTAAGACATTCTTTCGTTCGTCTTATTGAAAGAACGAGATCTTCCAAATACTTTATTCCTCTTTAGAAACAGAAAAGTATGGGTATTCGAAAAAAACAGAGTACCCGCAAAAAAAGAAAAAAATTATTTTTTTCGACCGTTTTTTTATTGCATTTTTTTCTGATTTCTATCTTGATTCTTATGTCCCTATTATATACAGAAAACTCAAAAAAGAGCCTTTAAAGACGATTTTGAAGAACTTTTCCACACCTGAGGACAAGAAAAAAATGAACTAACTTCTAATTTTTTTGGTTTTTTTAGCAATACTAGAAAGCAGAAAAAAAGTTGGGCCTTCGAATTTCCAAAAAAAATCGTGATATTTTACCCCAAAATAGCTTTCAATATTTCGAAATATTCCAAGTCCTACGTCCGAAATTCAATTTTCTATTTCTCATTATCAAAATCCATGTTTCAAACGATCTAAATTCAATAACCAGAATTTATAAACTTAAAAAAACACGGAATTTTTAATTTAATTCCATCAGGAACTACCCTCTAAATTTTTTTCAAAAAAATGGCCTTTTTTTCCGCCAAAAAACCCCCGATCCTCACCGGATTTTTTTGCGTTTCCACCTTGTCGGCACCGCCCATGGATCGTAAAACATATCGCCTTTATTTATTGATTTTATTGATGGAAATTTAGCGAATTTCGGTACGAAATTATAGGACAAAGGGTGAAAAAACTTGATTCATGAGCCACGGATTATAATAATAATGCCAGAAAAAGAAAAAAGGATTTTTTTTCGGAATTCTAAAAAATTTTTTTCAAGGACCTCATTTGGTCCTTAGTAGATTTATACGTTTTTAAAACATTCTAATACAGTAGGGATCACTTAAGCTTCAGGGTCTTAGATGTCCCACCCTGAACCCCTATAGGGACCACTTAAATTTAACTCTCTAATAGCCCACTAAAGGACTTCTAGGTAGCCCTATTTTTGCCCCTATAGGGGCTTTTTTTTTTCTTAACCCCTCTGGCGTTCCTAACTCAATAAATTTTTCTTGAGAAACTCCACAATTTCCAAAAAATAAAAGATGAAAACGAACGGGTTCAATGCAAAACGTCTCATGGAAAGAGATGTTGAACACTTGAAACGACTTTTGAAAAAAGTCGCGTTGGGCAAATAATCGCAAAACGCGTTAGTTGGCATCGTAAAAAAACAATTGAACATACAAAACTTGAGACGTTTCAACTTTTCGAATCGGACAAACAGAAAGAGATTTGGAGATTTCGGAAAATTATTTATTTTTGAAGTTTAAGTTACTTCCTTGCTGACTCCAGGGTGGTCCCTATAGGAGCAACCTCAGGGGCTCTCGGTGGGTCCCCTCTAGGGACCACTTAAGGTTAAAAAAGTGGTTCCTATAGGGGACATGCTAACTCCGACTAGTAAGCGAAGAAGCATATCCATCGGAAAAACTGAATGAAATCGGAAGACCCCTACAGGGTTCGCTTAAGCTTTAGGGCCAAGAGATCATACTTTAAACCCTATCGGGACCACTTTTTCGACCCCTACAGGGTTTGTTTCCCCCTAACCCCTTTAGGGACCACTCTGGGATTCCTAAGTTTGGAAACTATCATTTTGAAATATTCAATACGAAAATTCTCTCACTCAAATAAATATTTGGCGTTATTTCTCTCCGAAAAAAATTCATAATTGCCGAATTTTTTTTAAAAAATTTTAGATTTTTTTCTGACAAAAAAATAAATAAATTTTTAGTTAAAAAAACAAATTTTTTTCCTGCCTAGAATCAAGTGAAATTTTTCGAAGCAAAATAGATTTCAGCATTTTTTTTCTTAAACTAAATGAACCTATGACCGAAAATAAGAACAGAATCAAAGCCGAAAAAAATCGAGTTTCAAAGCATGTTTGGCCCGAAATTCCCTTTCAAATGGCCTCAAAATTGGTCAGATTATAGATTCCCATAATTAAATATGAATCAAATTGGAATCAAATCGAAAATCGCATTTCAAAAATAATCGTCATGAAATTTGGGCAGAAAATCCGGTGGGCAGCGAAGCGCGTAGAAAATCCCCACGTGAAAGGCAATTTACTAGAACTTTGTACCTTTTTCGGCGGGAAATTATTCGAATTTTCATTTTTCTCTCATTTTTTCGGGTTTTCAGTTTTTATGATGCTTAGTGGGCACTTTAGGGTTTCGATGATTGACTATAGTAGTCAAAAAGTGACTTCTTAAGTGGCTAAAATTAGTAACCTCTTAAGTGACCACTAAAATTTTCACGCGTCTTTAATGTCCTTATTACAAAAAAATTAAATTAACAAAATTTCAAATCGTTGTTCCTTTATTAAGTTGAAAAAAACTTTATTCATTTTTAGAAGATCTTTGAAACGGCAAAGTTATTAATGAAAAATCAATATTGAAGTTGAAACCGATTTTTTTGTCCAGCAAATTTTAAAATAAAAAAACTTGTCTCTGAACCGTTTGAACCAATATTTTTGCTCTACAACTTCAAACTTAAATTCTAAAAAGTCGAAAACTCCTACTTTTTCAGAAAAAAAAGATTTTTGAAGCTTCTTCGCAGAGAATCTTAAAAACTTGAAAAATATAAAATTATTGGAAAAAAAAAAGTTAAAACTGCCTTAATCGATGAAATTCACGAAAAGGTTGTTTCTGAACAATTTGAAACAGTTTTTTAAATTGGAACTTCAGAATGTGACTTTGAAAAATCGGAAAATCTAACTTTCCCTCGAAAAAAATTTGATTTTTGAGTTTTTTTGTCGCAAAAATTGTTCTAAAACAGGGTTAAAAAAATTATTTGAATATTCAAAAAAAATCGAATAGTAAAGTAAAAAAATTGCATTTTTTTCGGAAAAATTTCCCACAAAAAAATCTTGCTTTTTCTCGGACTCTTGAACAATATTTTTGCACTAGAAAATCGGAAAAAAATCCAACATTTTTCACAAAAAAATACGCAAAAATAATTTTTAAAAAAATCAGTTAAAAAAATATAAAAACCAACCGGACTTCTGATGATATTGTCGCCCTCTTCTTCTGGTGGCGCCGACGGGGAAGACATTTCTCAAAATCTTTCGATTTTCGCGAAATTCGAGCAAAAAAATGACAAATTCCCACGCAAATGGTGACGAAAAAAGGGGGAATATTTGATTTCGAGAACTTTTTGAGCAAATAAAACTACAAACTACTTATTCACAGTATAAAAACCGACAAAAACGGGCCAAAATTTGCTCTTATCAGTATAAAAATATCGATTGAATCGATCAAAGTACACAAAAAATGATAAGAATAGACGAAAATTTATAAAATTTCACAACGAAAAGGAACAAGCTGGAAAAGTGACGTCATCGGGTGACTCATGGGAGGGGAAATTTAAAATAAACAGAAAATCGAGATTTTTTTTCAATTTCGCTTCAAAAAAGCTCTTGAGATTGAAGGAAAAAATGGAAAAATGTCGATTATTTCGGAACAGGAACCATTATAAAAAAATGAAGATTATAAAAAAATTAAGGGAAAAATAAAATACCCATGGGAAAAAAATCACAATTTAATATTGAATAACCGTAAAAAGGGACATTTGAATTATGGAAACCAAAAAGCACATGAAAAAGAAGAAAAATATGAATTTTGAATAGAAAAAAACGCAGAAAATATTTTTTAACCCAAATTGGAGAGGTTTTTGAAGATATTTACTGAAAAAACGGCTCAAAAAACCTTCTTTTTTGAAATCTGAAAGAGTTTTCAACCTGAAAAGCATTTCTAGAAGCTGTAAACTGAGAAAATTAATGGGTAGAGCTGGAAAAATCGTTGCTAGGCACCAATTTTCACACCCTTTTTCTCCGAAAACTCACAAAAAAAAAGTATAAAACCAAAAATTCCTATACAACTGATCTTTTTCTATTGGAAAAGTCTCGAAATTTTGAAGAATGAAAGAATTTTTTTCCGTTATTACTTAGGAATATCATGAAAGTTTGGATAAGCTCAAAATATTTTTTCAGAAACTCTCTCATAATCGTTCTGAAAATCTAAAAAAGGTACAGGGACAGTGAAAAAAAGTTAATGTTTTCCCGAATTTCACCAGAAGTTCTAAAAGCGTCTATAGAAAACAAAGATTTGGGTTTTCGATAAAATAAACCGGAAAAATGGGCCGATTGTTCGGCATTTTTTTTTCAAAGAAGGGTTCTCCGATGTCCTCAACTCATTGAAAACCTTGAAAAAACTGAAATTTACTTGCGAAAAAATTTAAAAAAGGCGTCCAACTATGTTTTAAACGCTATTTCAACTTAATTATTCGGTTCTAAAACTACTAGAATAATATTTTAAAAATTATCATCAAGACGGGAATATAAACACCGCCATATGATGAATTGCTCCAAAAAATGAGGCTTTTTTTTCAAGGCAATCAAAAAACGATCAAAATTTGGTTCCCAAACGGATTAAAAACCTTGAAAAACTCAAACTTTACTCGAAAAAATTCTCAAAAAACGTCTAAATCTTCTCAAAACTCTGTCCCTCTTCAGTAAATCAAAAAATTTTCAAAAAACCACTGAAAATCCAAAAAATTCTCGAAAGATTTCCATGAAACCATACGTTTCTAATTACAAAAAAAAAACTACAAAACAAATGAAAACGATCAAAAAAGACATCTAAACATAGGCGGGATGTTTGGTGACGACGTCGCGGATCTTGGACTGCAGAAATCCGTGATCGATGCCCTCGCCGAGGAGATTCGCCACGGGGCTGTTGACGGTCTCGACCCAGGCCTGGTAGATCTTCTGAAGGAGGTCGGGCATCCCGGTCGCCGCCGGGTCGCTGTTCAGAAGGATCTTCACTCCTGTCGCCGATTCTCAACATTATTCAACTATATTACAATTTCTTCCCTTGAAAATCAAGAAAAAGCGACAAAAATAAAGCATTTTACTAAAAAAAAAACATTTCCACTCAAAACTAACCTAAAAAGTTCATTTTGTAGGCGGAAGTTCGGAAACTGTTCACAGTTTGATTGGAATCATTGGTGGAAAGCCTTTCGGAGAAGGATTTCATCGACAGCATCATTCCAAAGACGAGTTGGTATTCCTGGATCGGCGGAAGCCCTGATTGCTTCGTCCGGAACCACTCGTCGTAGTATAAACATTGACCTTCCCGGTCGAAAATGTATATGTTGAATATCGTCATATCTTAAAATTCTGATTTTTAAAGAATTTCAAACCGCGTAAAAATTGAACTAACTTCCCAAGAAATCCAACAGTATAAAGCCAGAATAAACAAAAAAGAAGATTTACTTGAAATTCGAAATAAACAACTTTTTCCAACAAGCTGAGAGCAAAATTTTTGAAATTTCCTCAGCAAAAGGATGAAATACATATTCATCAACAAGTTTCATCAGAAAACGTAATAATTATATCATACAACTCAAGAAAAATAAGAAAAAAGTAAAACGGAAAAATTGCAGAAAAGTTTTTTACAAAGAGAATGGTCGCACCAAGGCCGCAAAATGCACAAAACGTTGAACGTGACGACAATGTTTAAAAGTGCTTTTGAGTGCTTAAAAGTGCATAATTATGGCGTGTTCATCGGACAAAACGAAAATTACTTCGAAACGCAAGAAAATTGCTCCAAAACAAAAATTAGTATTGTTTCAGAGAAACTTTGGCGCACCGATGAACACGATTTTTCGTTTTGAAGCATTTTCCGTTTCTCCGATGAAAACGCCATTAAAATTAAATTTTTGATTTTTCAGAACTTCTTTATCTTACTTCGTATTGATTTTCAATATAAGTGAATAAAATGATGTTGAGGAGTATACATTTTTTAAAACATAAAATTTTTTCGTACTTTTAGACTTACTCAATAACTTTTTTCGAGCTCACTGAAAGTAATTTAAATTTCTCTTTTCAACTTTTTTCATGACAAATTCTGTTTCATTTAAAGTTCCAGTATCATGCCGTGTTCAAAGTAATTTCGCGAAATGCGAAATAGCCGTCGGAGAAAGAAAAATATTACTATATTTTGGAGAGTCAGAGATCATTTTGCCTTTCGCGAAATTACTTTGAACACGACATCAGCTTATATATTAAACGAACTTACCTGCGTTATCACAAAATCGATAGCTGTCATTGATGTGTAATGGAAAAGATCATTAATTCTGATCAAAAAGTACTCTCCAGTTTTTCACGTTTTTCTTTCTCTGCATTGGTTAGTATGAGACGAGGCACTTCGAAAAGAAAAATTTGAATCACATTGAACTTGAATTCCTCATGTTTGCTTCAAAATATTGTGGAAGGTTGCCGCTTGCTGATGGTAACGTTCCATTTTTCGACCTTTTCATTACCTTTTTTTATGAATTCAACTCTTGGCTCTTCTTATTACGCACCAAATTCTTATTTCTCATTAGTATTTCTCACTCACTTTATATTAATTTCTTGTCTCTGTCTTATTTTTTGAATAAATTTTTTCAAGTAACTTTGTTTGAAATTTATCCTTTTATTTGAATTATTTTTCGCAACGAATAGTTTTTTCTAACTTCTGGATCTTTTTTCCGCTCAAAGTTGTTCAAAACTAGATTTTTCCTTTCAATTTCTAGATGGATGTTGAAAAAGTGTTGCCAACAGTGCTAGGAATCGATTTCGGAACGACAAATACCGTCGGCGCTTTCCAAAAAGTGAGGGGAACGAAAAATCACGAAGTTATCGTGAGACATAATGACACGATCACTACGGACGGTTAGTTTCAAGATTTTTTCGTGGATTTTCCTCATTTTAAGACCACAAAGACTCGCGATTGCTTCCCTCGCAAGCTTATATCTTGGAAGACGGCGAGACCCGAGTTGGGACTCACGCCAAAGAGCAATGTGCTCGTTCCTCCCTTCCCACAACCTCCACTTTTCATCCGGAAAACCGAGTTTACGGTAGGTTATTACATAGGCGGGAAAGTTCCTTTGAGGACCCTTAAAAGGAGCTGAAAAGGGTCCTAAAATGGAAAAAAAAAGGAAAAAAAAAATCTTCATCTCAAAAATCTCCCTAGGGCGGACTTCTGCGTTCTATGGGTAGTTATTTGAAAATAAACTTTCTTCGGTTTCTTCTTAATTATAGCCTTTTTTTATCTCCCTGGGACATTTTCAGTTGATATCTAGCTACTTTTTAGAAAAGAACGTGAAAAAAAAATCGTCATCTCAAAAATCTCTCTAGGACGGACTTGTGCGCTCTATGGATAATTATTTTTAAAAAAAATATTTTTCTTCAGGGTTTTTTTCTTTTTTTATTCAAGATTGTTGATCTACTTCCATCCAAAACCCCTTTTGAATATATGAGTATAGGACAAAAGCGCCGATTCAAGAGCGCCGTTCAAATTTAGCGCCAGTCCGCAATGCGCCGTCGCGTGTATGCGCCGTGTATGCAGACGCCGCTTTCTTTTGCGCCGAGTCCGTTTGCGCCGAATCGTTTTGCGCTGTTATTTCAAACTTCTATTTTTTTCGCTCTTTTTTTATATTAATTTTTTTAATAATTGTTTACTACACATTCATATACGACTCGAATGATTTTTCGCGCCATCCGTTAATGATGAGTTTTAGGTCTACTTTGGTCCAGGTAAAATATTTTTTCCCCTTTTTTCTTTTCAAAGTAAAAATAAAAAAGCAAATATGCTTTTCTGATTTCGAAAAATACAGAAAACGAAAGGAAAAGAGAATGGATAAAAAAAAATTATTGCTTTAAACGACATACTGAGTGATTTTTTTTGTGGTTGCAAATTTTCTGCGTTAGGTAAGGCAAAGTTTCAATTCTAGCAGACGTGAAACAGCAGAAAATCGTTTTTCGTAACGTTAAACTCATTTTCTTGAAACAATAGTTCGAGTTTTTTCGAAAATGCGGCAGAAAAGTCCATATTAACAGATGGCGCGAAAATCATTCGAGTCGTATATGAATGTGTAGTAAACAATTATAAAAAATTAATATAAAAGAGCGAAAAAATAGAAGTTTGAAATAACAGCGCAAAACGATTCGGCGCAAACGGACTCGGCGCAAAAGAAAGCGGCGTCTGCATACACGGCGCATACACGCGACGGCGCATTGCGGACTGGCGCTCAATTTGAACGGCGCACTTGGAATCGGCGCTTTTGTCCTACACTCGAATATATTCAGGATTGAAAAGTTTCCTAGATTTTCGTGCTCTGAAATATTTCTCGTTTTCTGAATTTCTTTTTTCCCAGATTTTTTTTTCGATACACGGGGTCAGTCTCCGCGCATGCGCCTTTAAAATAACGGAATTATCAAGGATAATTTAAAGGCGCATGTGCGGAGACAGGTCGCGTGTATTGAAGGGGAAGACTTTGTAGATTTGAGGAAAAATGCTTGATTCGTGATTTTTTTTCTTCTTCCAAGCCACAAAATCTTCTTTTCGATACACACGGTCAGTCTCTGCGCGTGCGCCATTTTTGGAAAAATTAAAGGTGCATGCACAAAGACAGCCACATGTATTAAAAAGAGAGGCTCTCTAGCTCTGTAACAAAAAAAATCGCGCTTTACCGGAGCGATTTGGAAAGAATTACAGAACGGCTAGCTTGAGCCATCGAAAAAAAGGGTCCTGGCACGATAAAATAAGAGAGAGTGTCTGGTTGATGGAGAGCGCAGACAGGCCATAACATTCCCATTTTTAAGCCAACAAACGGATGCTGGGCCGTCGTTTGGAAAGCGTGATACCATTCGCATCCAAAGTGGAGTACAATATCGTCGAAAAACCGGACGAACCCTGCAAACTACCGTACATTCTGGCTACTGTAAACGACCCGTCCAAATCTTATATCTCTCCTGTTCACATTGCGGCGAAAATCATCAAGAAAGTGGTCGCCGCCACGAATATTGCCCTTGCCGACAACATTACGGTAGGTTTTGATAAGTATTTTTCAGAAAAAATGGGGCTAAAAGGGGCTTTCTTCTTGAATTTTGCAAAAAATCTGCGCTTTCTTTTTTTTTGGCAAGATAGTTGGAATCATAGAAAAAAAAAAAAGAAGGAATGTTTTTTTTTTCGAAAAATGTGAAATTAGCGCCTCTATTCGGGCTTAGAAGTGAAGAAAATAGAACGTCATCTTTCGAATCTACTAAACTAGAGAGCACTGGCAAACAAGAGAGCGTTAGAGAAAAAAGCTATCGACCTCTCATTTTTGAACGCTCTCTAACCTTGGAAGACTTCAAGTCCGGATTTTTCTGCGCCCTCCTCCTCTCTCGGCGACCCTCTCAAGTTGACGCGCTATTTTCTCTTACCTCGCCAGAAAACAGAGAGACGCAGACACGCAGACAATGATAAAAAGGAATTTATGAGTGGAAGATGTTAAATAAACGCCTAAAAAAACAAAAAAAAAACGGAAATTTTTCCTTATTCCGGTCAGAAAGTCTGTAGAAACGTTCTGAAAAGATGAGAGAGTTTAGAGAAAAAGAAACGCCCGCCCTCTCATCTTATAACGCTCTCTAACTCTCAGAGATTATAATGACACCAAAACCAACCTCAGAACGAGAAAGTGCAGTACGCGGTGATCACGACGCCGGCCTACTTTTCCGGAGCCCAGCGGCGATCGACCAGGTTCGCCGGCGAACTGGCCGGTCTCAAAGTGCTGGCGATCCTGGACGAGCCGACGGCCGCCGCCATCGGTTACTCGTTTTTCTGTCCCCAGACCAAAGGACCGCAGACGATCCTCGTCCACGACATGGGCGGTGGCACATTCGATGTTTCGGTTGGTTTTATTGAAAGGCATAGGGGTAGTAAAAAACGGGGTTTCAGGTGAAATTAGTAACTTGTAGAGGTTTTTCATTGCGATTTGAACGGTTTACTTAAAAAAAGTAATATGAGAACTATTAAAGAAAAACGTGATTTAACTTTCCCGCCTTTCAATTTTCAAATCTGCTTGGGATCGGTGTACAAAATGTTTCTTACACGCGCACGCAAAGTTGCGGACGCGTCGGTAGACTCGAAATTTGTAAGAAATAACCGGGTATCTGCTTCAAATAATAGTTTTTTTCTTTTTCAAAAAAACCCCTCAGACAAACAAAAAAACACACGGATAATAAAAAGAAACGCAAAATATCGGTTTCCCAATCGAAACTTGTGTAAAATCATCATTTTTCACCAAAGAAGCATTTAACGATTAATTTTTGCAATTATTTTATAAATAGAAAGTTTTCATAACAAAAAAAACATTGATGGAAACAGAAAAAATTGAAATTTGAAAGAAACGAAGAAAAAAGCGAAAATACTCGAATGCTGAGCAGGGTAACCCAGCCGTGCTAACACGGGGTCTCAGCGGGTACCCCCGTATTAAACCCGTATAAGCCCAGCTGATAGAACTTTTGGCACTTTTTAGCCCAACTGAGACCCCGCTTTAGCCCAGCTGGGTTACCTATTTTTCTTACACCTGTTGTTTCCCCGTCCAACTGAGACTAAAATAACCTCAGAAACACGGGTTCAATACGGGTACACCCGTTGAGACACCTGCTCAGCATGCGAGTTTACTGCAAAGCGCTCTTTTGGCGCGAAAAACTTGTTTTCAAAGAATTTTTTCTCCGAAAATAGAGAATTCTGTACATTTTCAAGTATACTGTTTGACAGGCAAGGAAAAGAATCAAAAAATGACAAAATTGTCTCAAACCTCGTTGTTTTTTTTTGTGTATATCTTGCTCGGAGCCGCTTTAATAATAAATCCACATCCTATAAGAGTTGATTGATTACTTTTAGAGGTCGAAAATGGTATAGTTTCTCAGAAAGTCTCAAGAAATAACCCAGTTCTTCAGATTGTCGAGCTGAAAGACGGCGAGGTCCGAGTGCTGGCGATCGCCGGCGAGAACTACCTGGGCGGGGAAGACTTCGTCGAGGCAATGATGATCTACCTGGTCAGCGAATGGAGACACCTTCCCCCCTTCAAAAGCATCAAGGAGATTTATTACCAGAAAAACGTGCTCTCGTTGCTCCCCCGCAACACCCGCGTAATCCTGCGCAACAAGTGCGAGTTTTGGAAACGCGAGGCGGTCAACCACATTTGCCACTCGAAGACGGGCAGGCCCCCAAAAGCCGTTCTCGAGAAGTTTCCGAATTACGGAGTGGAACTGAACCGAGAAGTGATGCGCAAAATCTGCACCCAGACGAACATCGTCAACACGAAGAAGTTCGTCGACGAGGCCCTCAGGAAGGCCGGAAAAACTGCGGAGGACATCGACAAGGTCCTCCTCGTCGGAGGGTCCTACATGCTCGAGAAAATGAAGAATTGCCTCGAAATGGAGAGTTCCATTTTCTATGCAGGTACGGGATCATTTTCAGCGAGAAAGGTTTTTAATTGACACCCTGAAACCTTCGTTCTTGAAAAACTAGAAGTTTTAAAAATTGACTTTTTAGGTATATTTGCATTAAAGGCATGGGGGCAGTAAAAAATGGGGTTTCAGGGGAAAGCAGTATCTTATATAGTTTTTCTTTGCGAATTGAATGGTGTACTCAAAAAAATTACAGGCGTGACAACTTTAAGAGAAAAACGCGATTTTACTTTCCCGCCTTTAATTTTGAAAAATGCTCTATATCGGGATACAGACAACTGTTTACAGTAGCCGTGCACGCGATGTTGCGGACGTCTCATTAGACTCGCATTTTGTGTGAAATAACCGGATTTCTGCTTCACATGAATGGTTTCTTCTCTGAAAAACCGATTAAGAAAACAGAAAACACAATGATAATAAAGAAAACACAAAACAACGCTATCCCAATCGAAACCTGTGTAAAATCATCATTTTTCACCAGAGAAGCATTTTTGCGATCAAAGTTTGCAAATTATACATGAATAGAAAGTATTTGTGACGAAAAGAACTTTGGTGACAACAGAAAAAATTGAAAATTGAAAGAAAGGAAGAAAAAAAGCGGAAACCAGAAAAATGGCGAAGCCTGTTGTCCTTGGAGCAACTTTACTGCAAAGCGCCCTTTTTGCGGGAACTCAAAATTTCCTCTCTCCGACTTTGAATTATTTTTTCTCCAAAACTAGGAACTTCTGTACGTTTCCAAGATCACCGTTCGATTTGCAATGAAAAGCTCTACAAAAAACTGCTTTGAACTGAAACACCTTTTTTCACTGCCTCTATGCCTTTAAAGAACCTACTAGAAAGCCATCAAAAAGAGCATTTCAAGACATTTTTTCGAAAGCCCGTCAGAGGCCCCTAGAAGTTTGCAAAATATGGTGAGTTTACAGAAAATTCCAACTTTTTGAACATCCCTCTGAAAACCTATTAGATCAATGATTATCATTCATTTTCTTCTTTGAAAACTGAAAAGTATTTTAAGTGATAACTCATAATGAAAGTTACGAAATGCCAGAAAAAAAAAATAGAGAGCATCAAAACTTGCAAAAGTGGCCACTACAGGGATTTTGTCGTTTATTATAATTATTTCATTCGATCAATTTCAGGCAAAAAAAGCAAGAAGGGAAGATAGACATCCAAAAAAATCGTCCCAAATCGATTATATCAAGGCTCAGACGCCTACCTCGTCGCGATTGGGGCCGCAGTTTATGGGAGGAATATTTTTGAAACGAAAAAGTGCCGGTTGGGTTTTTTTCTTTCAAAGACGAAAATTTACAAAAAAATCCTGGAAAAAAATGGGGAAAAAAATTGAATTAAAAAAATTTTTTTCGAAATCATCATCTCTTTTTCTCCATCATTTTTCATCATTTATTCAATACGAATAATAATACAGTTCAAGGGCCGAAAAGACCTCTAACAGAACCAATTTTAAAAAAAGGGAAATTTAAACATTGAAAACAGCAACAAACCGTTTAAAAGTTAGAAGATATTTTAAGAAAGTCAGCGAGAAGATGGGGGTTGTTTTCTAAATAGATTTTGAATCGCATAGAATCATTACATAGATCAAATACAACATCGGGAAGGGAGTTCCAAACATTAATTATTCTGATACTAAAAAACGAGGCAACGATGTTACTATTATGTCTTATATTTGAACGTAAATAATAGCGATGGCGACGCAGCGCACGGACACGGGGGAAAAAGAAGAGACTATCGAAATCAATGGGGACTTCTCTAAGTACAATTTTATAAACAAGAGACATGTCAAAGATGAGGCGTCTTGTCTCAAGAGTTTTTGAGACTATTTTTCAGATAAACAAGTGAAATAAGAGTGGTAGGGCAAGCCACAACGATGGTAAGCTCGGAAAAAGGAAACTTTTCTGAACACCTTCAATCAAACAAATATTGTGAGAGTCAATTGGAGCATAGACTACAGAACAATAATCAATAATAGGACGAATATACACTTCAAAGCATTTTTAAATACAATGAAAGCTCAGTGGATCGAAACACGTTAAACATAACATTTATGCGACATTTACACCGTCTGCAGATTTCAGATATATGATCATTGAACTTAAGGTTATTTGAGAAAACTACACCAAGATCTCGAACTGAAAGTTTAGGCTGTAAAAGCCATGTTTGAAATTTTATAAGAAATATTTGGGTTACGTTTTTCCGAAATGAATAGAATAGCATTTAGTTGGAGCTATAGCCATTTGCCATGTTGAACACCAGTTTTGAAGTAATTTGAGGTCTTCTTCGATGACAGTAGAACTAGAGGTTTTTTTGTGAGCGAAGAAAAAAAATTTTTTTAAATCGTCAGCATAGAGAAGGGGCGCAGAGCGAAAGTTATCCGTAATGTCGTTAATAAAAAAAGTAGAAACAGAAGGGGTCCGATGACCGACCCCTGGGGTACGCCGGAGAGTACAGGAGCGGGGTCGGAAAGTACTCCAGAAAGAGAAACACACTGCACACGATTAGTCAAGTAGGATTCGATCCAGCCAAGAAGAGGACCACAAACGCCGTAAAATTGAAGCTTGTAAACAAGTTTAGCATGAGAGACAGTATCAAAAAGCCTTGCAAAAAGTCAATATAGATAGCGTCCGTGCAAAGGTTACTGTTTGCATTTTCAAAAAGATTTGCACAATATTGAATTAGTTGAATAGACGTGTTATATTTAGGGCGGAATCCAAATTGGTTAGAGTTTAACAAAGAGTTAGAGTTGAGAAAAACGCTGAAATCATGCACAACTATTTTTTCAAGACATTTGCAAACTGAACTGGTTAAACTAATTGGACGGTAATTTGAAGGGTCAGATCTACTTCCTTTTTTGTGTAAGGGTTTGATAATGGCTTTTTTCCAAACAGATGGAATTTGACCAGATCGGAGAGAGGCGTTAAAAATAATAGAAAGAGGATAGGCGAGAGATGTGGAACAGTTTTTGAGCAAAATGGAGGGGATTTCATCCGGAGTAGTGTTACATTTAGAGGGCATTCTACGAAGAAAAGCTTCTATTCTGGGCGCTGGGAGATCTATGACAGATAAACGGTTAGATGTTTTAGAAACACATGGCGGAGTTTTTCCGTCATCGATTGTGAAAAATGAATGAAATTTTGTAGATAAGAGGTTAGCTTTAGCGAAGTTGCAGGTAAGTGCCTCTCCATCAGAGGTTTTTAGAACGTTGATATCATCCTCAGACTGACCACTCAGAAGTTTGGCATGCTTAAAGAAATTGTGTTGATTGCCTTTTTGAACTAGGTCTTTTTCTCTTTGGATCCGCAAGGACCAAGTAAGTTTGGAAATTTTTTTGGAAATTTTTTTATAAAGATCGGAGTTTCCCTCTCTTCTCCAAACCAAAAGCTTTTTTCGCGAGAGAGAACGAATGATATGGGAGAAAGGTTTGTTGGTTTTTATATTTTGAATGGGAACAAAAGCTTCTACAAAACTGTGTATTAAAGAGCAAAAATTGTCGTACATTTTTTCAACTGAAAGTGTAGAGAATATGAGGTCCCAGTCCAAAGAGGCAATGTGACTATTGAGAGAATGAAAATCTGCTTTTTTGTAATTTTTAAAGCTTTTGACAGATTTTTCAATATTTTTAGAAAGTGTTGAAGTAATTATAACACTGCAGTGATCACTAAATAAATCACCGACGTAGGCTTCCTGGACAATGTTAGTGCTAGTGAGGCAAAAGATCAAGAGTATTATCAGGATTAAATCTAGTAGGCGATGTTATATGCTGGGTAAGGCCATTATCACAGCAGAATGATAGCAATTTTTTACAAGGCAGATCAAAAGCTACTTTGTTAGACCAGTCAATATGTGGAAAATTAAAGTCACCAAGGATGACGACATGATTGTTAGTTTGGAGAAGAAATTCAAGGCACTTAAAAAGTGACTCAGCGTTGATGTTGTGGTTAGGATGGTAAACGGAAATGACACGACAGCAGGAAGAGCGGAGAAAAATGTCAGCAGCGACGACCTCAATCTTGGAAAAGTCGGATGGTATTTCAACGGCGGAAACTTTTAAAGTTTTTTGAGTAAGTATAGCTATACCTCCGCAAAAACGATTCCGGTCTTTTCGAAAAACGTTGAAGGAATTTTTGAAAGAAAACATAGCTGACGGAAAACTGTCATCGAGCTTGGTTTCACATAGAGCAATGACGTCTAGATTAAGATCATTAATAATCAATTCGAGCTTAGCAACCTTATTGACAAGAGAAAAACAATTAATTGAGGCAAATTTCAAAAGACTCACAATTTCGCCTTGGGTTCTTGGGAGCGCACGGACCAAGGATGACGTTCGACGCCGGCTGGGAGACGCAGTTTGACAACCTCGAAGTCCCGAACGGTCCAAATCCTGGATGCGGCCGCGTCGTTTCGTCGAACAGCTTCTTTCCAAGCCGCCCGATGCTTCTCCAACTCGGTCTTGCTCATATCCCGTTGAACGGAGGCGGTCCTCAGAGACGGAATTTTGCCTTTCAACTCGTTGAAGTTCTTCAAGACTTTGACGACGGCGTCCTTGTTCTGGAGGTGAACGCGAAGCGGGGGTGGAGGAGTCGTAGACTTTCCAAGCCGAAAAATTTCTTGAGCTTTTTCGACCGACGATAGTTGACAAATTTCTTCCACGATTATTTCGTCTTTCTTCTCGTTAACCAAATTATGAATGACGAAGGAGCTTTCTCGAAGAGGGGCAGATTGAGCCTCCTTTGTGGCAACCAGAATGTCATAACGCAATACGTCTGCATAGGAAGGCTTCGGACTTGCAGGCGGAGGTGTTTGACTCAGCTTGAGAATGGTAGACTTCAGGTCTTCGACGGTAGCAGTGAGTGTGATGACCATTTGTTCCAGCTTCTCGTTTTGATCGGACACTTTGAGAAAAGCATTAGTGAAGTTGTCGATCATTTTCTGCACATCAGCAATGCTCAGCGACTTGATTTGGTCAGGAGATTCTTGAGGACGGTCCCTTTTTCGATCGGATCCAGCAAATTGAGTGATAAAGGACATGTCAGCAGAGAAAAGACGGAGCAGCCGCACGGGCGAGAAAGGTTTTGCCTAAAAAAAATTCTCGTTTTTTATTTCATAAAAAGCTTACTTTTAGTGGCCACTTTAGAGGCTCGCCGTAGACTACTTTAGAATACTTAAGTGACCCCTAAACCCACCTCTATAGTGGCCACTTCAGTAGTTTTTCATCCAGTATTCCTTCCAGTAACTCTGATAATTATAAAACAAACAGATTGGACCAGTTATTATGATCCATTGACCCCTTAAGTGGCCTCTAAAACTTCAAAACCCTATAGTGGCCACTAAAAGTTTTCCCTCCTTGGAGGGACGCCAAAGTGATCCCTAAAGGTACTATTGTAGACTGCCCTGAGCACCTTGCCTCTCCTAATAGGGGCTACTAAATATTGCAAAAGTGACCACTCTAGGGGTGCATTCCAGTGGTCTACAACTTTTAGAAAAAGACCACTAGAGGGACCACTTAAGCTTCAGGGCTCAGAGATCAAACGTTATAACCTCATACTACTATAAGGACCACTTCAATTTTGACCCTCTAGGGAACACTATTTAGTCTACCATTTAATAAATTATTCTCCCTAACCCCTCTAGTGACCACTCTGAAGTTCCTGAGCAAGTCCAAGAAGAACAAACAGGGGATAACAACACTAAGAGACGATTAAGGATCAAGTTTTCTGAAAAAAAGCCGCTGACACAAAAATAAAATCCATAAAATATGATTTTGGAGATTGACGCGGATTGGACCGTACCGCGGAGCATCGGAATCGAGACGAAAAATGGCATCGTTCCAAAAATAATTCGTCGCGGGACATCAGTTCCCTGTATCGCCACGACAACTCTTCTTGCTTCTGCTGGCCAAAAAGTGATCAAAATCAAGGTAATCTTAGGAAAAAACTCATTGCAAAATGAAAATCAAATAAATATTCCTTGAAACGGTAAAGTGAATTTTGTTCTCGTTTTCAAGATATTTTATCGAACACTTTGAAGGTTTCATGTATTTTTAATGATTTTTTTCATGGTTTTTTTGGATTTGTTTCTTGAAAATCTTCAGATTTCAACCTCAAAAAAATCCTAACTATAATGAGATCTAACTATAATGAAAAAAATCCTAACTATAACTATTCGAACTCGGGTACGCGTTTCGAGTTGAAACTTTGGTGGCTAATGGACCCGAATAAGAGTACTTGGAAACAAGATAGATTATCTGCTAAACCCCATAGGCTTCTGAGAAAAATCCTTTTGAAAATAAACAGTTTAGGCTTGAAAATTATCAAATTTTTGCTTTGCTCCTTCTTTTGGTTGGAAAAAGTTTTTTAGAGTTTATCATAGTCGGATCATTCAAGGCGATTGTATTAAAATATAAAATAAGCTAAAAAGCAGTATTCTGAAAAATTTCAGGCCTAATTTTCACATTTTCTACTAATTTTTTCTCAGTTCTCTGTCGGGTTTAGCAGATGTTCTCTCTTGTTTTTAAGTTCTCTGACTTGGGTCTATAAACCATTAAAGTTTCAACTGGAAATGCGTACCCGAGTCCGAGTAGTTCCCTAGTAAGGATTAGGTTAGAATTCACGATTATGATCTCAAATTTCGAAAAAATCATTTTTTTGAAGTTATCACGAAAATGATCAAATTATTAATTTTTTACAGATTTTCGAAGGGGAACAGATCAGCTTGGAGAATTATGGTTATCACACGGTATTGAAAAAATTGTGGGAAACTAAATTCGAGTTGGAAAATGTGGACGGCGGGAAAAACGACGTTGAAATAGAAGTAGGAAATGAGAATTAGGTTATTAAATCATTTTAACGTTTCAGGTTACGATTAAAATCAATAAGGTCTACTTTATGAGCGTGATTGTTAAGCAGAAAGACGCAAAAAATGTTCAGGAGTACGATCATATCGACTACGATTACTTCAGTGAACATGTTGGTTTCGAATTTGCTCTTTCTGGCCGCATTTGGAATGGCTGAAATGGTCCCACGCGCAAGTAGTTTCAAGTCGGAGGCGCTGATTTTAAATTTGCTCTTTCTGGCCGCATTTGGAATGGCTCAAAGCACCCCGGGAATTGAAAATTTTTCACAAAAAATTTTTTTTTTCACAATTTTATCTTTTCTCAAAGCAACAAAGCCATTCCACGTGCGACCTGGGAATTCAAATTTATGAAATTTTGATTTTGTTTCAAATCGGGAATTTCAGGTCGAAAGAACCGAAAAAGAGGAAGAACAGCTCGTCGACATCCAGAAGTTGTTGTTTTGGAGGTTTCCTCTGATTGTTTGATTTTCGAAAGTTCGAAACCATTTCAGAGAGTACCGACTGGCAGAGAACGCCCTGAAGCAATGGAGAGAGTTGTGCGAGAAAGTGGAGGGTCCAGAGAAAGATATATTGGTTAGAGAAGTCGACATCGCCTGGAAGAAGCTTCACAAGCCAGCAACACTCAGTCGAAACGAAATCCGGGAGGTTATGGCCCGAGCTCAAGAACAACTCGCCAAATCAGAACTTAAAAGTGTTCTTTCTTAAGAAAAACGCGCGTTGCGGCTCCTTGAACCGGCGCGCCAGCCGGCACCCTGTAGCATAGGAAGAAAACCGCTCAAGGTCGGGCGCAATTGTTTCATTCCAAAGCCGTTCCATGGCTAGAAAAAAGTCTGGCTTCTCTGTCCCTCTACTGCTTCGTTTTGTGTGTTTTTTTCCGATATTCCATCTCTTCGGAGAGAGAAAAGAGGGCGCAGACAGGTCAGGGTCATATTATTTCATCGCAATTTATTATGTACCATTTTTAAATTCAACTTTTAAGACTTTTCATTCTCAAACACAGCTTCAATATTTGTATATACATTCATTCTTCATTCATACATTTTTTTAAAGTTTCCTCGATTTTTTTATTGGCTAGACACGCCCCTTTTTTTAAAAATTTAGAAGCTTGACGAACCGATTGGAGAGCGTTAAAGCGAAATTCAGATACTTTCTAAATTTATTATTTTTTTCACTGCCGATTGAAAAATTACTGCCTTATTTCTAAGGATCGTAACGTGTTTTTTTCTCGAAAAAAATAGCTCAGAATAAAGATTTTTTTCTTTTTTTATCCCCTCTCGCAATAGTTTCAGTTTCAAAGGAATTTATACCAAATTTAAAAAAATTTTTCTAGGAGTTTTTATCCCAGGTCGGATTGTGAAAAAAAGCTTCTGAAAGCATTGAAAAAAATCGAGCACAAAAAAAGAAAAAGAAAAATCGAACGTTTTATAGAGAATCAGAAAAAAATCGTTTGAAAAAAAATTCGAAAATGTTGATTTTTCGCTTCCAGCTCTGTTTTTCACTTGCAAATGCCATCTGAATGAATTAATTTAACATTATTTTTTTATTTCAGGAACGCCAGAGTGGTTCCTAGAGGGGCAACCTGTTAGGGGGGGCTAAAGCTTGCAAAAGGGACTACTTTAGAGAATCACGTTCCTTCATCGGATAATTTAATAAATTAGCGTTTTTAAATAAAAGCATATCAACAGAGAAATAATCAACAACAACACCTTTCCGACTATCAAATCAGATTTAAAAAATTGATGAACCCTTATAGGAACCACTCAAGCTTCAAGAACTCAAGGGCCAGACTCTAAATCCCGAAACGGAACTCTCAACTTCCCCCTTCCCAGAACTTTTTGCCCCTTCAGGGGCTGTTTTCCCCAAACTCCTCTAGTGACCACTCTAGCGTTCTTAAGTGAGCATCACTAAGAAGAAAGAAATAGAACGCACTCAATGACTTGACCACTCCGCTTTCAAGAACCGTTTGGAGATGATCTTTTTTGCCTCCACGTGTACATTCCAACGTTGCTCCGCAGCCTCTGAAATTATTTTTTCAGGAGAAGTTAGTAATTTTTGTTTAGACTGTTGAAAAATATGGTTGAAAAAAGACACAAAAGTCTTGAAAAACCTAAATGGCTCTTCTTCTTAGGACCTTTATTTTATTTCTCCATGCTCCTTTAAACTTTTAGACAGAAGATTTTGGAACTTACAACTTGGTTAATGTACTTTAAGGACTGTTTTAAGATATTTTTCAGAGCACAGACCTGAAAAACCATTCCAAGATTGAAAAATACGAATCAAAAAAAACAGACGATCCACCGCCGACGGCCAAGTCCAAGTTCTGCAGATAGACGGTCTGAACCCGTCGGCAGGCATTTTTCCGGCAAGGAATCTCGAACAGTTTCACTCCGTCTTTTTGCACCAAGTATCCTCGTTTCGTGGCTCTTGAGTTGAATGTAAAATTTGAATTATATCCAACCGACCTGATGGATAAGACGAACGGATCGTCAGAGAATGGGATGCGGATCGTTTTGTAGGGAAGATGATGGGTTCCCTTGAAAAATTAGTTAAAAGGGAACTTTTTAGAGACCTTGTGATAATGGAAATTTTCATAACGAATGGATCATAACTGAACTTGAAAATAATATAGAAAAAGACATGAGGAACAAATAAAATATTCAAACAATGACGGAATTGCGCCAATAAGCACCATCCTGGCGCAAACTTTGCGACAATACTTTTGGACCACTCTGTAGGGGCTGTTCATTTCCCTGACCCCTGAAGGGACTACTATGGCGTTCCTATGATCTAACACCAGAATTTTTCACAATGTTAAACCTTTTTTACTCATTTTTGAATTATCGAATCGGGTCGCGGGGTTACCCCGGGTAGGCCCTTCGGCAGCAGGATCCAACTCACATTGAACTTGGCGATGTAGAGCTTGTTCCTGTCGAACTGAGCGTTCAAATGCAACATACTCGGCGTCCTGGAGTAAACCGGAGATGTCCCTGGGAACAGGTCCAGCCAGAATCTCCTGTCATTTTCAAGTTCTCATGAAAACTTAAAAAGTCCCCGACTTATTAGGCTTGGAAATTGGACCGAGTTTAGCATGGATAACGATATAATCGCCGATTTGGAATCTTCTCTGCAGCTCGACGGGAAACGCCTTGACGCCTTCGTGGACGCCAGCCACCGGGGAGGGCTTGAAAAATGATACTTTTTAAAAATAGTCTTTGGTATTAGGATATTTTATTCAAGGCCTTTAGACAATATTTCCGAACGTGTCAATTCTCAAAAGAGAAGACATTGAAAGGGAGAAGTAAAAGCCTATTCGACCCATCAGATATTGCTAAAAAGGGCGACCGACTTTAAAACGACTTGCGCGCTGATTCCAAGATGGAAACCACAACAACAACTACACCCGTTAAGCCATCCCAAATGTGGCCAGAAAAATTTTAATCGAGTCTTTACAATAAGTTTTTGATCCGTTTATCATGAATTTTCTAATTTTCAACATAAATTGGTTTTTCTTTGTAATTTTAATCACTTACTCAAGAGTTTACACTCTATACTATTTTCTCGAACCTTCAAAAAAAGATCATAACCCACCAAATCCTTGCAACTGAAACCAGCCGCGTAGGCTGACGTGGCCAATCCGAGCAGAAAAAACACTTGGAACGGAGACATTTTCAGAACAAATACTATTTGACACGAAGCAGTTTTACGAGAAATCGTAAATTTCCGTCATTCTCCCCTTTTTTGAGAATTTTCTCGATTCCTTAGAGTTTTACAAAAATCAAAAAACTTGATTTTATTACGACGGAAAGACATTTCAACTTGATAGACCTGAAAAAAAGAAAAAAATGAAATTTTTTTATTGAATCGTTAAAGTTTGAAGAAAAAGTCTCCCTGGAGGCGGTTTCACGAAAAGCCATAAAACATTGGATTTTTAGAGCTCGCTCTTGATGAAAAAGGTGAAAAAGACCTAGAGGCGTAAGTCGCTTTTAGTCGGTTGCACTCTCAAAGTAGCGGCTATACAGCCGCGGTCAGCCGTAAAATAGGTTCCTTTGAAGATTTATTTAAAAGTTCTAGCACGATTCGCACATAACTTCAGCCCTCGAAAAGAGAGTCCTGACACGATAATGCACGAGATAGTGCCTGGCTCGTAGAGAGCGCAGACAGGACACGCTCTCATATCGTCCCAAGCTAGCCTCGAATCGGCTATAAGACCAATGGAGCCCATTCTTCAAAATCAAAAGAAAACCACATCCTTGGAAAAAAATTTATTCAGCAGGCACACGTTTAGACAATACTGAAGTTACTTTTTGTAGATTTCCTCCTTGACACGGACCATTTTCGAGGTGTTGATCCAATAAATCAGGAACAATCCGAAGACGCTGGCGAAGATGATTAAATGGGAGATTAATATCACCGAACATGTGATCGTTTTCGATTTCTTCGTAATTACTTTGATTTCTTTGCTTTGGTAATTCTGTAACGTCGACTTTGAGTTCGGATTACATGTAATTTGAACTGAAGCGCTGCATGTTTCAAAATGGAAGGTTCGCGCCCGACCTGAAACTACTTTCGCACTACGTCATTTCGGAACACTATAGAAGAAGATACACACAATATACTCGATGAACTAGCTGTTTGAGAAAAGTTTCTACTTGACTCTAAACATGGCGGTATTTGAAACGCGCCCGACCTGGAGCTACTTTCGCCCTGGGACATTATAGAACCCTATTTGGAAGTAATTATTCACATTACTATAAGCACTAGCTGTTTGTGAAACACTGCTACTTTGCTTAAAACGTCGCGCTTATAAAAAACGCACCCGACTTAAAGCTACTTTCGCGCAGCGGCATTTAAAAACACTCACAAGACTCGAAGCACTAGTTGACTGAGAAGCACTGCAATTCGACTGCATCATTTTAGAAAATGACGATACTCACTCGCAGTTCATTTCATTTTCTTTGAGAAAAAAAAAAACGAATTCAACAAATTTATTGATTGAAAACCAAGAAAGTTCATATGGGAAGCTGATGATCACGAGCGACATTTTCCACCTGAAATCAAGTTTAGATAAGGTAGTTATCAAGTGTAAAGATAAAATGAGTGGCCACTTGAGGGTAGAACGATTTTTTAATGAGTTACTTTTTCATATTTTTCACAACTTTTTTCTAATCGTTCATACGTCTTTTTAAATTGTTCTAGGATGTCTGCACTCTCTTTTCTATTGCCAGAGAAATAAGATACAAGACTCCTTCAACTGTTCTCCGTTGTAATATGATTGGAAGAAATAGCGGCGCGCTATAGCGCAACGGGTTGTGTGCCTGTCTACGGTTCACTGGGTCGTAGGTTCGATCCCTGCCCAATCAAGAAGTTTAAGAAATTTTGTTACTGGAAAAAAAACGGCTTCAAAATCCCAAGCCGTCCCACAAAAAAACGGATACGCTGTATAGCGAAGATAAAACCAGATCATTGATTATCACTGATATAAAGAGAGGACCCCGAAAAAACGACTTGCGGTGTTAAAGCGGCACAAAGGCGGAGGGAAAAATAAAATATTAAAGAAAAACTAACGGATGTGCTGGACGTGCCCGTCGGCAATAATGACGGTGATCTTATCGCCGCGAAGCCTGTCGCAACGGGGCTCATCATGGCAGCCGCTTAATCATTCATTCGCAATCTTATCACCAGAGGAAAACTCACTCATCCTCTTTGACATCAATGTTTTCCAGGTAAATGCAAGATACTTTGGTATAATCGAGGGTCTGGTAAGTTCCCAACAGCTCACCGTCTTTGCTCATCTTGTAACCGTCTTCCTCCACTCTTCAAAGTCCTTTTGTCATATTAAAAAAGATGTATAGTCCGCTTTTCGCGACATGAACTTCTCTGCGCCCTCCTCGGCTCTCGGCAGCTCTCTCAAGTTGACATGCTATTTCCTTGTTCCTCTGACCTCGCCGCGAGGGAAGAAGAGACGCAGATATTGTCAAGTCACAATGGACGGATTATATAGTCGATGTGCCACGACTTGAAATTTCATGGAACAAAACTCCGCTGGGTGGCCCTGTGGCCGTGAAAGCGCCTCGCCTTTGCGAATTTCGGTCGCGCTTTCCATTTTTTCTTTCATTTGAAATTTTGACTATTTTTCTGTGCAAAAGCAATAATAGTTCCGTTTTTTGCACATAAAAACAATTAAAACATTGTCAAAAAAGTGAGAATATCAAAAAAAAAAAAGAAAAAATGGAAAGAGCGACCGAACTTCGCAAAGGCAAGGCGCTTCGCGACAGCGCGCACTAGTACCACAAGGACATCGGAGTGTCGTTCCATGAAATTTCAAGTCGTGGCACATCGACTATAACAAACTCGATTTCAATCGTGAAAGGATCTTCTGTGAAGATATTGTCCCCAGTGACGATATCGCGGAAGTCGTTGCCCTGATTCAAATTATTAATTAGGCAAACAAAATTGGATTACTTCTTGTCATTTAAGCAAAGAAGTTAACCCTCAACCTGTTTGGAACTTTTTCGAAAACTCATTAGTACAAGGTACACTCACATCAAACCAAGCGCCAATCTGCTTGCCGAGGTCGAACTGAGCGCTGAAATGGAAAGAACTCGGGAAAGTGGTCGGCTTGGGCTTTATGTATCGAAGTGGTCCGATGGGGAAGTCCAGGAAGAATCTCCTGCAATTTCTCTTGATTTTTTAAACCATGAGTTCGAAAATTAACTTAGGATCATCTCCATGTCCGAGCTTTCCCCGGATGATGATGACGTCACCGACTTTGAGCCCACGCTTGAAGTCAACAAAACGCGACTTCATGTCCTGATGGTAGCCTTTGGACGAATGTCCCTGAACTTTTCCTTTTCTTTTGAAAATTTAGTTTTTTTTTTCTTTAAAATTTTCCCGTTCATCATAAGAATAGAAGGCCTCAGAAATTCTCAAGATGTGAACTGTTTCGAGCATCCCACAATTTCAGTTTTTAAAATCCGATAATTCAGAGGTGCAGAAGTTTTGAGTGACCAAAAATGACACCAAAATGGCTCTCCTCTTCGATACCCCAATAAACCAGTCTATGATCCTTTAGAGACTTTCTATTTGATGACTATGGATCAAATTAAACAACAATCTTGAAATAGAAAACTTACCAGTCGTCGGCAGCTGTAATCCTTGTCTTCATGTTTGTAGTGACAGAAAGCAACTGGAACAAGTACAAAAAGAGCAGCAACGAAAAATCTTCGCATTATCTTCGAAGGAGTACGAATTCCAACAGTGCGAGGGATTCTGTTTGACAAACCAATAAAATTAATCGCTTTTTTATTCGATGATCTTTCTCACGAGGAAACAATAAAAGACGGCTCGAAATTGTCGAAAATCGACGAAGAAACATTCTGACAGGGAAAATTGATGTTGAAAAAAGAAATCTTCGTCTTCAATGTTTCCAACAAATAAAACTTGCTGGACAAATGTTATGGAGGGTGTTTTTTTTTGAGGCTGTATGAGTTTCAGTTGTGCTAAAAAGGCAAAACAAAGGGTGTAAAAAAAGGTGACACAGGTGTGTTTATTTCAAAAATCTGAGACCCACGTTCGCTGGAACGGGGTCAAAAATGCCTTGGAGCCAAGATTCCAGTTCGAATCTACCAAGGTTTGCCTTTTCAGCAATGATAGGAACCAAAAGTTGGCCCGAACGGCGAACCTCGAAAGCATGAACGTGCTCTCAATTTGTATCTAACTAGGAAACTACTCGGACTCGGGTTCCCGTTTCGAGTTGAAACTTTGGTGGCTAATGGACCCGAATAAGAGTACTTGGAAACAAGATAGATTATCTGCTAAGCCCCATAGGCTTCTGAGAAAAATCCTTTTGAAAATAAACAGTTTAGGCTTGAAAATTATCAAATTTTTGCTTTGCTCCTTCTTTTGGTTGGAAAAAGTTTTTTAGAGTTTATCATAGTCGGATCATTCAAGGCGATTGTATTAAAATATAAAATAAGGTAAAAAGCAGTAATCTAAAAAATTTCAGGCCTAACTTTCACATTTTCTACTAATTTTTTTTTTTCAGTTATCTTTTGGGTTTAGCAGATATTCTAACTTGCTTTCAAGTAATCTCATTTAGGTCTAAAAACCACTAAAGTTTGAACTCGATCGGCGTACCAGATTCCGAGTAGTTCCCTAGTAAGATCATACATTCCTTCATGTTACACAGATTGAAAATCATGAGAGAGAGTCTATCAACCACATTAGGCTCAAACGTCGGGATGAGTGCGCTCTATGGATAAATTGAATGCGAAGATATAATTTTTTTCGATTTCTTTTTTTATTTGGGTAAGCGCTTCTTGAGATATCAAATAAGAATAAAAAGCATCTCAAAAAGACACTTTTTCCCTTTTTCATGGCTCTTTGTAACTTTTTTTCATCATAAACATCTGCTTGACTTCAACAATAAAAGAACATCTATTAACATATTTATCAATAAAAAAAGTTGAATAATACATTTTGTTGACGTCTACCAGCGACACGATCCAACTGAAATCAAAAAATATTTGGTTTGAGATTCAATTCTTTCATTTTCTTTCAAAAAACTGCAGAGGTATTTCATTCCTCATCGCTGAGGTTCTTGAATATTGCGAATATCAACATAAACCTCGATATTTGATAACAAAAAAACTGACTAATGTGCTGAACATGCCCATCTGCAATAATGACAGTCATTTTGTCACCATGGAGTCTCTCGCAACGGGGCCCATCATTGCAAGAACTGAAATAATTTATATGAGTTTTTTTATTCCCTAAAAATTGCTCACTGGGTATCGTCGACCGCAACGTTCTCCATGTAAATGCTCGAAACGGTGTTGTAAACGAGGCTCCCGTAATATCCCACGTAGACGCCGTCTTTGCTGAACTCGTACCCAGCCTGTTTCACCCTGTAGATTATTCTAAAATTTGTAAAAAAAATCCAACGAACTCGATTTTGATCGTAAACGGGGCTGCGGTGAACAGATTGTTTCCAGTAACGATGTCACGGAAGTCTTTGCCCTGATTTGATTTTTTGATTTATTATTCAGCCTCATCACGACTTGAGAGTTTTCAAGTGTCTGCGTCTCTCTGTTCCCTCATCGGCGAGGTCAGAGAAACACGAAAATAGAATGTAAAAATGAGACGAGGAGGGCGCAGAAAATATCCCCCTCACCATAAATGTACTTTTCAACTACCTTATCCATTTCTTCCGTTCTAAGATAAATAAAGAAATAATCACATCAAACCAGGCACCAATCTGCTTCCCAGTGTCGTATTGAGCGCTGAAATGGAAAGTGCTAGGAAAAGTGGCTGGTTTTGGTTTGAGATATCGAGTTGGTCCGACGGGGAAATCCAGGTAGAATCTCCTGTTTTCTTTTTAATTTTTTAAATGCTGAGGTTGAAAACTTCTGTGGCAGCACTCCGGGTCCAAGTCTGCCGCGGATGACGATGACGTCACCGATTCTGAGCTCTCGTTTGAATTCAACGAAACGCGACATCATGTCCGGATGGTAGCCCTTTGACAGTGGCGACTGAAAATTCAAATCAACAGTCAAATAATCATGAATATCTAGAAGTAGTGGTGACGGTTGGGAATTCTGGAATTGTCGTAAATCTGCACAAAACTCTGGCTAATGCGCTCTGTCGAACAATGTTCCGCGTAGGACCCATTATTGGCCTAGATTGCAATTACGCCTGTATTTATGGGTAAACTGTATGTTTTTCTATAATTTAGTTTATATTCAAGTTGTAAGGAATAAATCAACAGTAAAATTATTTTTTTGGTGAAGTCTCACATTCCAAAAAGAATAATGCTCGGTAACAAAACTACTAAGCTAACTTTGAGTTGCTTATAACTGTCTTAGCATAACTTCAAGTCGGAAAACCTTCGAAAATTCACCAATTTCCTGCAGCTGTAGTCCTTTTCTGCATGCTTGTAGTGACAAAAGACCACTGGAAGGAGCACGAAAAAAGCAGAAATCGACAAGATTTTCATGACCTTCGACCTAATCAAGATTGATGCGGAAGCTTTTAAAGTTTTGACGAACGAATAAAACGGATAGATTTTTATTGAACAGGCACGAGGTAGATTTGGAAACCATAAAATGAAGCTTAAAAAGGCTACAAGGAAATGCAAAAGTGCAAAAAACAAAAGTCAATCCTACCATAAAAGTTTTTTTTTTGAACGTTTATAGCTTGCTTATGGAAGTGCGATGAGGTTTTCTAAGATATCCTTTTCTTCGTTTTTTGAACTAATGCAAGGAGTAAAGTGCTGATGAGAGTCACCTCCTATGCCGTACACTTTTAAGACTCGAAACGGCTGCGCGATATATTGTAAATCCAATCTAACCTCTGAGCTATTCCTTTTTTTATTTATTATTTATTATTTGATAATTCATCTTTTTCATTTTTTTCACATACATTACATTATAGACTTGTCAAAGTTAATATTAAAAAAACAGAACTAGAACTGAATCTTAAACTCACATTAAAACATTAGATCATAAATTGTCGGAAAAGTACCGTCATGCAAAAATTTTCGAAGGTCATATTGTTGACTGAGATCTCATTGAATTTATGAAGCTTAATGAGGTTATAAAATGATAAAAACTCTCAGGAACTCCAAAGTAGCCTCTAGCCCATGTGAGGAAGGTTAGGTGGACCCTGGACCTTCAACGGCTCCTAAGCTTGCCATTCCAGAAACCGCTCTGGCATTCCGTAGTTTATAGAAGTCAACGTCAGAAAGCCAAGATAATAAAAAAAAAGACTTTTAATCTGTCTATCATACCAAAACTTCCTTGGACATTTCTCTGTTCATTGTTAATACAATTTTGTACAAAACATTCAAACGAAATCAAAAAGTTTATTCATTTATCTTTGAAAACAGAAAATCACAAATTGAAGTCGGAGCTCTCGTCTACCACTGGCCGGGGCATTTACCACCTGAAATAAGACATTTTCGACATCTTTTGCAGTTTTCGATTATATTCAGTCTTTTTTACTAAAATCTGGAATAAGTTACTGAATGAAAAACTAACGAATGTGTTGGACATTGGAGTCAGCAATATGGACAGTCATTTTTTCGCCTCGAAGTGTCTTGCAATCCGGCTCATCCTCGCAACAGCTGAATGGACAACTTTCTAAAATTGGAAGAACTAAAAAAACGGACTAATCCTACAATACTATAACTCGAAGCAAAAACTCACGTCATACCGCCCAAAATACAGTTTATTCGTGTCAAGTTGAGCGCTGAAATGTAAAGAGCTTGGCGTGTTGTAATAGTCCTTCGACTAAGTTTGAGGTCCAGGAAGAATCTCATGAAACGGGGATTTCGAAACAGATGAGAGTTTTGAGTTGGACTTCTCAGGTTTTTTTCCTGGTCCCAATCTCGGACGATGATATTCTCGGACGATGTGTATTCTCTTCACTCGAAGTGGTAGCTCTCTCAGTCGGCCGAGGCTAGCCTAGAGTGTACACGGTGTCCGTGCCCGAGCCCCACCATCACCGCCGTGCCCGTACAAGCGAAACTGAGGGATCAACTTGTGGAAGAACGAGGCGAAGGACCGTAAGATCATGCTTTCAATTCAATCGACTACACGTTTTGACTTCTTTTTCGCCAAAGGCGGTGTTAGTGCCGCTCAAAAGAGCAATTTTTTCACCGCCTAGTCGATACCATCTGACTAAAACAACCAATAAATATTGTATTGTATTGTATTTTCCAACTGTTCGAACTCAAATTATTTTTTCTCCAAAACTGGGAATTTCTGTACTTTCCTAACCACACCTTCCGACACGCTATGAAGAGCTTCACAAAAAGGCATACTTGTCTCAAAACACACTTCAAAAACATTTATTTTAAGAACATTATTTCTTTGTCTAGTGTTTTTATTTTATTGTTTTGCATTTTGTAGACATTTTTCTCGGGATCTTTTCCAAATATCATTTATTATCGAAACAACAATCCAATCAAATTGTGCCAAACTTCTCGTCTACCACTTGTTGGGGCACTTTCCACCTGAAATCAGAAACATTTTGCAGTGATTTTAAATCGGAAGGAAGGTTTGGGGAAACGGTTAAATATGGTCGATTCACGGCTGGCTTGAGCCATCGAAAAAAGGGTCCTGGCACGATAAAATAAGGAAGTGTACGACATATGAGTTGTCATTATGTGAGTTTTGATTCTGTGAAATGTCATTATGTTAGAAGTCGTACTCCCTAAAATAATAAAAGTGCGATCCATTTACGTCCCATGCTAGCCGTGAATATCAGAAATGCAAGAGTTGTCTCTATGGTGATCAGGAAAAAAGGCCCTATAGTGGACCATTAGATCTTCAAAGGGCTAACGTTCAAGCGGTTTCTCTCCAGGAGCTACGTGTCTATATGTTTGACCCCCTCAAGGGTATGAGGGGAGCCCTAAAGGGTGCCACTACAGGCAACAGAAAATGGAGAACTAACGAATGTGTTGGACGCGCGAATGGCCAATGATGACGGTCATTCCTTCGCCGTGGAGCCTCTCGCATCTAGGCTCATCCTTGCACGATCTTAATTGATGGTTTTTAGAACAAAAAGCAACAATAAATTCAAGAAAAACCAACTCGTCATCATCCAAAATGATGTTCTCGAGATAAACGGTCTTCACGCTGGAATAGGCGGTGGCTTTGGATTTTCCCAAGAAAACTCCGCCTTTGCTGACCGCATATCCGTCGGTTTGAACACTTCATTTAAAATAATGTTATTTTTGAATACTGTTGCTTAGAACTCACTCGATTCTGAAGCTGAACGGTCCCTTATTGAAGGGTTCGCAATTGTGAAGTTATCAAACCAGTTTTGGCCCTACAAATAAATATGACAGTTTAAAAAAATAATTTCTTAAAGCTCTTTAAATTGCCTATATTTTAGGTGAAATAAAATACTAACATCGTATCGCCCAAAATACAGCCTGTTGGTGTCGAACTGAGCGCTGAAATGGAGGGAACTTGGCGTTTTGTAGTAATTTTGCGAATTTCCAAGTTTGAGGTCCAGGAAGAATCTCCTGAAACACGGGTTTTGAGAGAGATGAGAGTTTTGAATTGGACTTCTCAGGTTCTTTTCCTGGTCCCAATCTGCCGCGGACGATGATGCTGTCGCCAACTTGAAGCGGGCGCATCAGGGGAACGTATCGACTCATCATGTCCTGATGAGTGCCTGGGATTTCTAGCGGCTGAATTTTCAATATGAGTCACAAGTAGAACTTTTTCGCTAATATATAAAAATCTCATATCTTCCAAAAAAAAAACTCGATCGATTATTGATCTTTTAAAGAAGAAAATCAGAGACGATACGAAAACGTCAAAGGCAGCTCGAAGGATTATACAAAAATCTATTCAAATCTTCTTCACACGTCTCTGTACGGCTTGAGCCTCAGATCTATGAGAAAAGATCCTATCCACACATCAGTGATAATCAAGCTCTAACTACATAACCTTCTTGTTGTGTGCTACTTATGGATTGTGAAGTAATTTTTTAAATATTTTTGAGTGCTCTAAAGTCTGACTTTCTGAAAATCTCACCAATCTTCTGCAGATATAGTCATCTTCGTAAGGTGTGTAGTGACAAAGGGCCACAGGGAGAAGCACCAAAAGAAGGAAAACGATTCGCATTATCTTTGGCCGAACGAGAATTGAAGTTTTCACGGGGCTTTTGTCCTGCCAAACTCATAAAACTAATCTTATTTTTTATTGCGCCTTTTCTTTTACGAGGAGAAAAAGAAACTATAAAATAACCCTAAAATGTTGAAAAGATAATTTTACGATTTCAAATAAAACGCTGATTTTACGATAGAACGCCAACTTTTTTTTTATCGCACATCTAAATTCAAACTGTGCTTTTGGACTCCCATTGTTCGATTTTCGAAATAAAAGACTTGTGTTTTTTTTTTGGAAAACTACAACACGACTTGATCAAATTATTTATTGAGCATTGAAAAAGTTCCAACCATCGAAGTCGAGCCTTGCTTCTACCAGGTGTTAGCGGAAGGGCAGCTTCCTCCTGAAATAAAACTATTTTTCCTTCTCAATATGGTCGAACTTAATTCAAAGTAACTTTGTGAAGAAATCAAAAAAAAAAAAACAAACGAATTTGCTGGACGCGGGAATCGGCGATGATGACACTCAGTTGGTTGCCTTGAAGATTGTCACACACAGGCTCTTGGTCGCAGCAGCTTAATCATTCATTTTCCGATCCATCCAATGAGCTACTTGAGAAAAACTTGTCATCTTCGAAAATGAAGTTCTCCACATAGACGCTGTTAACGCTCGAGTAAGTGTTGCTCTTGTATTTTCCCAAGAAAACGCCGTCTTTGCTCACCGAATATCCATCGCTTTGCACACTTTATCCAAAACTCGTCATTCAATTGTGTTGGGACCTACTCGACTCGGAAGTTGAAGGGTCCGGCATTGAAAGGATTGGGAGCCACGAACCAATCGACCCAGTTACCGCCCTAATAATTTTTCTTTTTCAATTTGATTCAAAAGTAAAATTTGAAATTAAGTTACATCCCATCGGCCGAAGTACAGGAGGCCGATGTCGTACTGACAACTGAAGTGGAACGTGCTCTGCGCTTGAAGGTAGACTCGAGAATCTCCGACGGGAAGGTCGAAGAACCACCTCCTATAATTTCACTTGTGCCCTACTAAGTTTTCCAAGAAAAATATCGTCCTTCGATGTGAAACCTGAGTGAACGATTGATGGTTCAGAACATAGGAAAGCTGGTATATTTTTGGCGACTGGGAAAGGCGAGGGAGGCAGAGAAGTGGACGGGTTCTTGGCACGAGTTCAATTCAACCGCCAACGACTATTTAGAGCGCTCATTTATCGCTCTTTTCATTTTCTCTTCTGAATCGATTATTTTTATTTTTGCGCTTAAAAATAGCAGAATTGATAAAAAAAAGAGCGGTGACCGAGATTTTGAAATCGCTGGCGCTTGCACTGAACTCGGGCCGCTGGCGCTTGCACTGAACTCGGGCCAGAACCCGCGTACGTACACGCTACGCCTCTCGCCTTTCTAGTCGGGATGGATTGACTATAATGCTTTCAATTTCGGCCTTTATTCGTTATCAGCTTGAGGGGCCTAACTGATAGTTTGTTCAGATTTGATCACCAAGTACAACTACGTCATTCGAAGACGCTCTGTGGATGATACCCTCTTTGATTGGTTTATCCCGTCATTAGGGGGCGGAACATGACCGACGAACTGACACTCAAAATATGAACAGACTGTATAGTCTGTGAACCACGACTTGGAATTTCACCGAACAACATTCCGCTGTTCCGCTTGGCGACGCAACGGAACAGCGGAATGTCGTTCGGTGAAATTTCAAGTCGTGGCACACAGACTATACGTGTCATTTAAAACTCGAGATATGATCAATAAAGTCTTACTTTCGAGGCAGTACCCCTGGCCCAAGTCTGCCGCGAACAATAATGGAGTCTCCAACTTGAAGGTTCCGCTTCAAATTTACCCAGCGGGCCGTCATGTCCGGGTGATAGCCTTGAATTGGTGCTGGCTGAATTTAATTAGGTTCTATAAACATCTTTCGAAAATGAGCTAGCACTTTGGTTTAGCATTGTATCTTTGACGGATAAATGTCTTTTATCTTTTAATCGAAACTTGAAATCATCTCATTCAAAACGGGTTTAACGCGTTCCGGTTGAGTAGAAAGTTGAACTTTCCGTTTTTCAGGCAACGCCGCTACGCGTAAGCCGCATCCCGGTCGGGCAGCATTTTCATAAAACCGCTTCGCAGCCGTTACTCATTGAGCCATTCCCTATGCGTCCAAGGATCTCCGATTACGTTTTTCAACATTTTCTACTTCCTCTTGATTTTCAAAACGAAACCCTCACCAATCTCGAACAGTCATAGCCCGGCCACGCAATATCCTCGGTACCGTAGACCCACGCCAGCAGGGCGAGAAACACAGAAATCGCCCAGTACAGCATCGAAAATCTCAAGGGAAAATAGCAAAAAGAAACTTTATATCCGCTTCAAAAAGCTTTACAAGAACAATAAAACAAAATTGCTTTTTAATGGTTTCCGTTTTACGAGGAAGAGAAGAAAAGAAAAAATCTTAACGACTTTCGAGTCGGCGGAATCGAAAAGTTTCAGCATCGAAGGTTTGGTCAAGAGCTGGTTATTCAAAACGAAAGGTCGCATTTGGAATGGCTCGATGCGTCGCGGCCGCGTTGCGGTTGGAATCGACTACAACTTACAATTTGAATTTTGTTTGCGTAAGCGATTTCAGGTCGGGTGCTTTGAAAATTTGAGTTTCTATGATCGATATATATATTTCTTTCTCATTCCGAATAAAATATTTAAACAATCTTCCTGAAGCCTATATTCAGATGGGTTGACCGAACGCTTCTTAACTCTCTTTTCCAACTTTTTTTTGCGATATCCCTCTTGAACTTGAAAAAAAAAGTTTATTGAGCAAAGAACAAGAACATGAATTGGTTAATTCAACGGGTCGATCCTCCTTTTCAGAACTTGCGCTCGTATGGGCACGTTCCACCTGAAAATCGCATCGATTTTAGACTTCAAAAAGGTCTCGAAACGAATGTTGGTTTACTGTAATTTTCAAGTGAAAAAATATGACACGCTGGCGTGTAATGTCCTACAGTACTGGCCCTTTCAAATTTTTTGGGCATAAAAGCTGAAGTGGCAGAAAAATATATAGGTCTTTAACAGCCATAACTGCACAGTAATTTCGCTCTATTGAGACTGAATTTATGATATTAGAGCCACCAGAAGTTCAAAAATAATATTCTCTCCCTATTTAGAACAAGACTTCCTGTACGTAAAACTAACGAGTTTGCGTGATTTTCCCGTCGCCAATAACGACGGTGAGCTTATCACCGCTCAGGTGGGCGCATTCCGGATCCTTGCAACGGCTGAATCAGAACATTCAACCTCCTCTTCCCAAATGTTCAAACGAACACTCTCTCGTCGACAGTGAGGTTCTCCAGGTAGATCACCTGGACGCTGGTGTAGGCGCGGGACTTATATGTGGCCAGGTAGATGTCGTCCTTGTAGACCGCGTACCCGTCCTCTTTGATCCTTCAATTCCAAGTCTCACTCTTCAAAAAATCGATGAAGCATACTCGACTCGGATGGTGAATCGAGCCTCGGTGAAGGGGTTGGAAAGTGTCCAGAAGTCGATGAAATCTTTGCCCTGATTTCAAATTAGTTGAAAAAAACTAGTATTTTGTAATTTTTAGAAAAGAAAAGGAAGAGATCAACGGCTGGCTTAATCCATCGAAAAATGGTCCTGACACGAATAATAAAAAATAGTGCCTGGTTAGCGGAGAGCGCAGACAGTGCCCCGCCTTCTATTCCTCGCTTCTCTGGTGTCTCTTCAGGCCCCCGTTGATCTCTCCCTTACACCCATTGCTCAATCAAAACCGGAAACGTGTCGAAAAATAAAAAGTAGGTTCAATAAAGGCGAGAGATCAACCGCCGGCTGTAGAGAGTCCAGAGAAAAAAAGTCATTTTTTTCCTCTATTATCTCCTCGAAAAAGTGATTTTTTTCACATCTTGGCCAATTCTTTCGCCTAAAGTTCATAGCTTCATACTGAACGCTCTCTTTACTCTCATAATATTCATCCCTCCGTTCCCATTATTTCGCCGGCGAGAGGAAAGAGACGCAGAGAAATCAGAATTTCCTAAGATTTGGCATATGATGTATACGAAGATTGTTGATTTTTTTTTTCTGAAAATCACTGGAGTGGAGAATTCCTTTTTCTCTGTGTCTCTTCAATTAACTGATCTCTGAAGCAGGAATCTCTAGATAGGGGCCGCAAGCCATTTCTTCAGAACGATTCAAAAAATAAGTTTTTCACACTGTTCGATAGAGGAGACTGTCCATTTTCATAATCCGTTTAGTTTTCGAAAAAAGCTCCACTAAGAAAAAAGTTATGGCCAAAAAACGAGCGCGCGCGGCGTACAACTGGAGGCAAAATCTCACGGTTTACCCGCTGCCGCACGCTTTCTTTTTAAATGTTTTTGCGCATTTCTGGACCGTTTTCAAATTGGTTTTCTGTTCTGAGAGGTTGTCAGAACTGAGCCTCATGTTTTGGCATGAATCTTTTTGTACAATCCTCATAAGAATTTTTTTGATAAAATATCAAAAAAACTACCTAGAAAAAAAGGTCAACGGGATTTTTTTCAGCTTATTTTTTTCTTTTTCTAATCAGAAAATTTATTATCATTCGATTTGGAAAAAAAGAAAAAAATGAAAAAAATGATGTTATTTCGAAATAAAACAGGAAAAAAAGTGCAATTTGACTCCGAAAAAAACGGCTCCTGCGACATTTAAAAGGGCGCATCGGTGTGTTTGACGCAAACACTGCTACGGACACTTGCACGAAATCTTCCGAAATTTCAAAAAAATTGCCATTTTTTTCGAGGTTTTTCAAAGCCGTTATTTTTTTCGCGTCGATCGATTTTTTTCATAATTTTTTTCATTGATAGAGTTTTTGAACGCTTAATAACATAATCAAAAAAAGTATAGACGCGATCCTATTCTCTCATGCGTCAACGAGGCAGACGAAAAAAAAGGAGGTTTTGGTAAAAACTCAAATATAATTTGATTCGCTGTCCCAATAATTATTTTTCATTTTGAATTTTTTTATTTTTTTGGACACACTGTTAGTTTTTTTAAATCAAATAAAAAGTATACCATGTCGCTGAAATTTTTTCGCATTTCAGCTTTAAAGTTTGGTGTCACTTTACAAGCTTTAATATTTTTTTCGCGTCGGTAGATTTTTTTCATTTTCACTCAAGAAATAAAGAAAGTGTTAATGTATAACATACTTAAAATTTAGAAGCGTTCCTCACTTGGTTTTCTGAAACGCGACGATTTTGTGAAACTTGTCAGTTTTTTTCGTGGTAAATCTTACTTTTTCGCTTATTTTTGAAAGATACATAGTTTTAAAAGTATTCAGTCTTGTAGAGCGTTGTCGATTACATAGATTAACAGAAAACAGTTTATTTTTAAAGTGGGACTTTAGCTAGTATAAACGCCTCAAAACCGTTTTTGCAACAAAAAAATCGTCATTTTGGCTGCGTGAAGGGGCGGGGCTTTGCGCCCCCTATCTCTAGATTAGTTTTTTTTTCTCTAGCGTCTCTTCAGAACACCGTTATTCTCGCTTGCGATAGACTGTTACTTAACATGCCGTCAGAAGAGACACCAGGGAAGCCATGGCACTCTCTTTCTCTAGCGTCTCTTCAGAACACCGTTATTCTCGCTTGCGATAGACTGTTACTTAACATGCCGTCAGAAGAGACACCAGGGAAGCCATGGCACTCTCTTTCTCTAGCGTCTCTTCAAAACACCGTCACTCTCGCCTGAGATAGACCTTTATTCAACAAGCCGTCAGAAGAAGCGCCAAAGAAGTCATGACACTTTGTTTCTCTAGCGCCTTTTCAGAGAACCGTTGCTCTCGCTTGAGATAGACTTTTACTTAACATGCCGTCAGAAGAGACGCCAGAGAAGTGATGACACTCTCTTTCTCTAGCGTCTCTTCAGACCACCGTTGATCTTTCGCTTGAGATAGACTTTTAATTAACATGCCGTCAGAAGAGACGCCAGAGAAGTCGTGAAACTCTCTTTCTCTAGCGTCTCTTCAGAAAACAGTTGCTCTCGCTTGCGATAGACTTTTACTTAACATGCCGTCAGAAGAGACGCCAGAGAAGTCATGACACTCTCTTTCTCTAGCGTCTCTTCAGAAAACCGTTGCTCTCGTTTTCGATGGACTTTTAATTAACATGCAATCAGAAGAGACACCAGGGAAGCCATGAAGCTTTTTTTCTCTGGCCTCTCTTCAGATTATCTTTATTCTCGCTCGACTTACGTTGAAACGGCCAAAGTAGAGACTTCCGGTGTCGTACTGAGCGCTAAGATGGAAAGTACTCGGGAAAGTTCTCGGCTGGGTTCGGTAGGTGCGGACAGGTCCACGAGCAAAGTCCAGGTAGAACCGTCTGTTTTTCGTTGATTTGCCATCATTTTTTGATTGATGGTTACTTTTGGGGATTCCTTCCGGGTCCGAGCTTTCCGCGGATGATGACCGTGTCGCCTTCTCTCAAAGGACGTTCCAGTTCGACGTATCTGGCCTGGTGGTCCGCGTGGTAGCCTTGCACCTCTTCCGGCTGAAATTTTAAAATTTTTTTTCAGAGTTCCAGTCATCATATTCCATTTTCAAAGTCACAGTAGAACATGGGTTATAGAGCCTTTCATTAAATAATGAATGGTAAAGTTTGACTGTAAATGATTGCTTTAGAGATTGTTTGGTAGATCAAACTTGTCTGCGGAAAGTCACAGCGGTCACTATATGGGCAGCCCTAGACCAGGGTTTTTATAGGTTCCCCTGGAGGTACCACCTAAACTCTTTCTTTGGAGGGCTCTAAAATGAAGACTCTAAGGGTTTCAGTAAGTGACAACTCTAGGGCATTCTAGTGGTATACCTATTTTTAACTTCAAATGAGAACAAATAGATCCCTGTAGAGAACACTTGAGCTCAACGGCAAGAAAAAAAACTCCAAAACGGGTCATCTAAACTTCATCTTTCTGTCTTTTTTTTTTTGAAGCCGAGCCAATTTTTCCTATAAGGACCCACTGAATTTTAAGCTTCTAGGGAATTACGTTTTGTCCACCTTAGTGGTTTTTTTTTTCCAGAACCCCTATAGTGACCACTCTGCCTTCCGCAAGGTGAACGTATAAATAAATAGAAATTTATTTTTTTAAATAAAAATTTAAAAAAACATCATCCGTTTTATGAGAAAAGCTGACCAAGTTCTTGCAGGAGAAGTCTCTGGAAGAGGATCCCGAAGACGGTCTCGAAGGACGCCTAGAAGGTCTCGAATAGTCTCCATGGTCGCCGTGAGACGCGGCCAATGGCACCAGGGCCAAAAGGAGGGCAAAAGTCGGGAATCCCATTGGACGAGAGTGAATCTTCAAATCGCTACCGTAGCTTTTAAGCGTTCCTTGGACCGATAAAAAAAGAATCGTCGTTTTATGGGGAAAAATCTTGGCACAAAAAGGGAATAAAAACTAACGAGGAAACGGAAAAATCTTCTGCTTTTTGTGAATCGTAAAATTTGGAAAACTTTTTCTGAATTTTTTTCTTGTTGAAACAGCACAAATATTTTCCGCAAATTTTTCAACAATAACAATACATGTTATAGTCCCGGTAGGACCTGAAAAAAAGGGGGAGACTTGACAAAAAAACGAGAAAATGGGAAGGGGGGGTGGCAAAAAAACGTCGCCAGTCATGCTCATCCTATGTATAAAGATAATAAATTTAAAAATCGTCAATTTTTTTGCCAAAGCTTTGATACGCCGAAGGACAAGATTTATGTTTGAAAAAAATTGACAAAAATTTCAGAACGATTTTTTTAGCTCATTTTTGAAAAAAATGGAAGCGTATCAAAGTAAAAAAGGAATTTTTCATTTTTCTACATGAAAAAAACTTCGAGAAGTAAAAAAATTAAAAAAATCGTTTAAAACAAGATTTTTAAAAAAATTATTCATTTTTTTAAATTGATTTCACCCTCATAGGGAGCGTCTAAGATCCATCAAAAAAAAAAATTAGAAACTGTCTATATCTCTAACACTCTCTCTCTGCTCGCAGCTGTCTCTCGCTCATGGTCAAGTCACGAGGGTCGGGCGAAAAAAGGAATCTTGTCGTTTTCTACGTCGTTTGAAGACTTCTACATATCAAAAATCACTTTATTATAGAAAATCGATGGGTTCAAAAAAAGACGAAAGAAAGAAACTTCAGTCAATCGATAGGACATATGGTGAATGAAAATCAATGAAAAAAGTAGACGATATTTTCGGAGACCCTCGTTTTATTTTCTGAAATTCAATTTTCTCATTATCTGCATAATGAGATTTTCTAGTCTTCTGAGACTTCTTAAAAATCAGAATTTCTGAAAAAAAAGACCTCAGAAGCGTGAAGTTCTCTGTAAAACTTAAATACTCCAGAGTGGCCCCTATAGAGAGCGTTTTTCCAATTCTAAAAGCTGTATTTTTCGCTGATCCCTACAGAGACCACTAAGTCATTTCTAAGGTCCGCCTATTTTTCCCAAACGTGAAAAATAATCGATTTTTTTTTTCTCAATTCAGTACTTGTGTATGAGTGTAATATAAAATTTTCATTTTTTTTTTCCGGTATTTTTCCCAAAATATACAACTTACTTGATCGATTCCTACCAGTATTCTTCTTCGGAATCGTCATCAAAATAATCAGCATGATATTCTGTTGCAAAATCCAATTTCGAACTAGTTCCGACTGATCCATCCAAACTGAAGAAAAAAATCTCCATTTTCTGTTTTTTTAAGAAGAGAAATAATAATTTTTATTCCTGTTGATTATCTATAAAAAAATAAGCAAAAAAAGGCCAAAAAGTTGCGTTTGAACATGAAGCACCTCGCTTCAGTGATTTTGGACGCCTAAAGGCGTAAAAACGTTTTTCGGTCGGGCGCAAAAAAATCGTTGAGCTACTCTCACCAATACAATCAGTATACCATAGGTAACTTTTCATGCTGATCCCGAATATGAAGTCAAAAACTGCCAAAAAGGTCTTGGAAAAAAATTTTCTATTTTCAAAATTTAGTAACGCTTCAAGGTCAAATATTGCCTTGAAAATGCTCCAAAAATCAATCAATAACATATTTTTTCTATTCTCAGAGTTCATAATTTTTTTCAAAGACTTCATCGGCATTTTTAATTCTCAGATTCGGAATCAGCGTCAAAAACTGCATCTAGTGGTCTTATTATCATTAAAAAGAGCTCATCCCAAACCTTGTAAAAAAAAAAATAAACACTTAAAAGGCCTTTTTTTGATTCACGAATAAATCCAACAACAACCTTTTGGTAAAGCTTTTTCGAACAAGAAGCCCCTTTCTTCAGTAAAAAAACCTCTCTTGGGGGGGCGAGGTTCCGATTTTAGCCAGGAATTCGACTGAAAACTTGTATTTATATGAATTATTTTATTAAATTTCAAGAATATAAGAACAGAATTATATTTCAGATAATTATTATGTCAAAATTCGCAAAAAAAGTAAAAAAATGACATGATTATAAACTTCCTTCAAAAAAACGAAGAAAAAAACTTGAGGTCAATATTAGAAAAATTTTAAAAAAACTCAACCATCAAGCTTATATTTTCATTCAAAATCGAGACATTCTAACTTCTCTGCGCTCTCTTCTCTCTAACCAGCGAGGTGAGACATAAAAAAAATAAGTAGTGGAGAAGTGAGAGGGCGCAGAGAAGCTAGATATATTTCGCCAATGAAGTTCCCAACACACCTTTCTTTGTTTTCGAGTTTCATTCCGAAAACCAACGCAATAAACTGCTTCTCGATAAACGATAGAAAGTCTGAAAAATAATTTCAAAGAAAATGTCTCGTTTTGGCCGCATTTGGAATGGCTACAGATGGACCCACCCAAAAATTACTCTTTCTCATTTTTCTCTAACTGTTCTTTTTAAAAAAAGTTGAGTTTCAGTGCATTTTTTGAATATTTTTAGCTTGAAAGTATGTAATAAATTATACTACACGACGTTTTTGTTAGTGGAAGAAAATGCAAAACCAAAAATTAGTGGGGCGTGGTCAAAATCTCCGCCGTTCCCATGTGACGCCATGGGAAAAACGCGTATCGTCTGTTTAGAATTTGAATGTCAAGACGTCGCTCAAGCTCCGCCCCTAATGGTGTGATAAACCAATCAGAGAGCGAGCCATCCACACTGTGTTATTGAATGACGTCATTGCACTCGACATTCAAAATCTGAACAGACTATAAACAACGGGAAATATTATAGGCGCATAAATGGGTCATGAGACGAATTCATTTCTCATTTAAAGAAAAAAGCGATTTTTTTTAAAACACATGCCTTGTAGTTCCGCGAAATTCAAAATAGCCACCGAGGAGTGAAAAATATAACTTTATTTCAGAAATTCAGATATGCGAAAATGACGTTGAACTCGTCGTGTGCGAGAGCGCCGCAGTGTATGCACACCACACACTACACTTTACAGAAAAAATATGGACGTCGCCAAAAAAACTCCGTGACTAAAGCTACAAAAAACGCTTCTAAAAAAAATGATCGACGCGTCGCGGTTACTTTAACGCGACGCGATAGAATTAGTTTCGCGTCGCGGTATGGTTTATTTACTCGACTCGAACTTCTCTGCGCCCTCCTCGTTTCTCGGGGACCCTCTCGTGTTGCCGTGCTGTTTTCACGTTCTATCGGGTGAGGGAACAGAGAGACGCAGACACTCGGGAGGGATATGCTGCACACAAGTCGCCCAAAGTCGGACGCAGCTCTCCGACTAGCACCGAAACCGCAACGCGACCGCGACGCGTCCAACCATTCCAAGTGCGACCAGAAAATGTCACAAACTTGTTGCATTTGCTCGTTTTCTCATCCTTTTTGCATTTCGCTAAAACTTCCGTCTGGTAAAGCTTTTCCAGATCGGCGAAACAAGCCAACTTCGCAGTTTGGGAGCAAATTTCCATTATTTTCGCGGCATGTTCTCTGAAGTTAATCCTTTTCGAAAATGATTTTTTTTTTCTCTGATATGTCTGCTCCCTCTTGTTCTCTCATGAGGGACTGGTCTCGCTTCAGTGAAACTTCTTAGTGAGACTCAAAACAGTTTTTTGCGCTGAATTCGAATCTGGGCTCAGAAATAGCCAAAGAGGTCTTTGAAAAAAGTTAAGGACGCCCAAACATTTCCAAAAACATTAAGTTCAAGGCAAGTTGTAAAATTGATCATATTTCAAAGTTCAAAAAAAAAGCTTCTTGAACTTGAAAGATGAAGAAAACCGGAATATTTTATCTTCAGGCAAAATTTAGAGCCTGATTGTTCAAATGTACACATTATGAAGACATTGCAGAATACTATAATTTTTCGAAACTTTGTTCAAAATTTGAGGTTTCATAACTTTTCCTAAGAACATCAGTTTCTTCAGGATCAGCGTGAAAAATTGGATCCATTAAGTCTCAAGGTGAGAGAAACAGAGGGCACAGACAGTAAGACAAAGATGAAAAATGCTCACATTTGATGAAAATTGGTATCGTTCAAATTGGCTTTTAATGAACTTTGGTAGGAAAATCTTTTGTAATGTTTATCGATGATCTTGTGATAGAGGCTCTAAATCGAAAATTCAAAATTTCGAAGTTGAAAAAATTAAAAAAAGAACCAAAACCATTCTGTTTTCCACAAAATAATCTATTAAAAAATAAGAAAGCAACAGAGATATTTACCACAAAAAATTTCTAGAAAAGCATAATTATAACTTTTAATGACTTTAAAAGAACAAAAGCAAAAAGAAAGTTCAAAAAGTCCCCGGATTCTTTGCAAATAAAAAGCGCGCGCTACTTGCAAACAGGCCACGCCCACCAACCTCCGCCCCATTTTTGTCCTTTCTCTTGAAAATTTGGATAATTTCGTCGTAATGAGAAAGCATCGCCATGCACACCTCATCGCCCTCAAAATATTGTTTCGAATTTTATTTTTTTTTCTCCAACAACCTTTTCAGAATCGACCCAAGCATAGAAATTGTTGGCAATTTTTTTGGTTTCCAACTTCTTTTTTCGATGATAATGGATCAAATTGTGAAGGAAACGGACACGTGCAGGTTCGGAGTACAGCTGGAAAAATGATTGGAATTTGCATTTTTGAGATTAAAAAAAAGTAGGAAAAGGAAAAAGGTAGGAACGCCAGAGTGGTCACTAGAGGGGGAACCTTAAGGGCTCCAGTGAGCTCCCCTCGAGGGCTTTAACCGGGTGTGCCCGAATTAAACCCGTTTAGCACATTTTTTTTAGAAGTTTTGGTAGCTGTTTCAGCACGATTGCATGTTTTGGAATTAAAAACAAGTAGGTCATCTAGTCGCCCGGTTTTTTCCCCGTTTTCGCCCAACTGAGGCTGAAACACCTTTAAAAAACGCGGGCTAACAAAGGTCTTGAGATTTATCCTCCGGACAGGGGCCTTAAGCGGGTGTGCCCGTATTTGACCCGTTTGAGCACAGTCTTCAGAATTTTCGGTATCTGTTTTAGCACGACTGCATGTTTTGGAGTTAATAATAACAAGCCCCTCCAGCGCCCGATTTCCTCCCCGTTTTAGCCCAACTGAGACTCAAATAGTCTATCGAAAGGCGGGCCTAATAAGAGTCTTGAGATTTATCCTCCGGACAGGGGCCTTAAGCGGGTGTGCCCGTATTTGACCCGTTTGAGCACAGTTTTTTAGAAGTTTTGGTAGCTGTTTCAGCACGATTGCATGTTTTGGAATTAAAAATAAGTAGCCCCTCCAGCTCCCGTTTTTCTCCCCGTTTTAGTCCAACTGAGACTCAAATGGTCTATCGAAAGGCGGGCCTAATAAGAGTCTTGAGATTTATCCTCCGGGCTGACAGGGGCCTTAAGCGGGTGTGCCCGTATTTGACCCGTTTGAGCACAGTCTTTAGAAGTTTTGATAGCTGTTTCAGCCCGATTGCTTGTTTTCAAATTAAAAATAAGTAAGTCATCTAGTCGCCTGGTTTTCTCCCCGTTTTGTCCCAACTGAGGCTGAAATAGCTTTAAAAACGGGCCTAATACGGGTACACCCGAAGAGATACCAGCCATGAAGCTTCAAGAAAAAACCGATGAACTGTTGGTGAAATTTTTCAAAATCGCGTTAATATCTTCCGTCGTTTGGTTGACTTCATAGTATCCATGTCCGTCGGCGTTGATCAGCAAAGGTCTGTCGGAGGAAATTTTCAAGTTGGCATCTGGTAAAGAGAACGGTTTCAAAGAGGATACTTAATAGACATTGAGGAAAAAAGATCGTTTGTTTACTCATCTTCAAAAATTGACCAAAAACCGAGAAAAAATCCAAAACTTGAGTAGGAAATATGGTAGGAAAAATCGATAAATTTTGAAAAAAAGTATTTCGAGTAAAAAAAAAACTGATTCCAAAGCTTAATTTCAAACAAAATTAAACATCTTTTTGATAATCCTGGGGTCTAGTAGGTAGGTACAAAAAAACCAAAAAAGAAGCTCTTCAAGTACAAAAATGAACAATAAAAGCTGAAAAATTCATATATTAATTCAGAAAATCATGAAGAATATCAAACTCTGAAAAAAAGTTGCAATTTCAAAAAAATTATTCTAAAAAAATCGTGAAAAAAAGTGTGAGAGAATAGGTATTTTTAAAAATATAATTAGGAAAATGAAACCTCAAAGTTCATAAAGTCACTAAAAAGTGGAAAAAAATAACCGGAAAAAGCTCGAATTTTTGTAAATTTTTATTCGAAAAAAATCATGAAAAAAACGTTTAAAAATTGATTTTTTTAAAAGGCATAACAGTTTAAAGGGGAAAAATTCTTGGTTCAATAAAAACTTTGAGAATATCTTCTATGATTCTGAAATTACAATGAAAAAAATCGGAAGATTAAAGGAACCGCTAATTATGTGAAAGAGAGACCACCAGGGATTTTTTTGGTACACTCAGCTTTTTTTATCGATTTTTTTGGGATTTTTTTCATTTTTGTAGTATTTTTTTAAAATGATATTTCGTGAATTTAAATTTTTTTCAAGTTAAAAAAATCCTCACTTTGTCGTAACCAATCAAAAGAGAGTTTCGATTCTCCCAGTTTCTGATAAACTATCGGAATGTCCCATTTGAAACTGTAAACTTCTTTTTTATTAATTATTCCTGATGTCTCTGCGCTCTCTCATCTTCCTGTGCTATTTTCCTGTTTCTCTGGCCTCATCGCGAGAGAAAAGAGGGCGCAGACATGTCAGACGTTAGGAACGCCAGAGTGGCATCTATAGAGGAAGTTTTTGGGGTCTTTGAAGGTCCCTTCTAGGGGCCACTTCACCTTTACCTGAAGGGACCACTTAAGCTCGACAAAGTGACCCCTCTAGTGGGCATTCTAATGGATTATTTTATCCACCCTAAACCTCTATAAAGAAAACTTCGTTATGTGGTTTCGTTCTCCCAACCCCTTAGGGACCCCTCTGGCTTTCCTAAGACTTTCAAATCGATATTTCTATATAGTTTCTCACCCATGTTTCGGATTCTTATAACGATCGGGCAATTTATCCATTCCTTCCGTTGGGTTTTGGCTCAATTCGTATTCTTTCCCGTTTTTGGTAACTGTGACGATGGGATAGAGAGCCTTCAAAAAAAATCTATTCAAAAATTCAAAAACACAAGCAAATGTGCTCCATTGAGAAAAATGTTTTTCTTTGAAAATTTTCGAGAAAAACTCTAGTGGTCACTTAAGTGGTTCCTCTACTTGGAGAGGACACTAAAGTGGCCACTAAAACTACCTCTATAGAAGCCACTAATTTGCGGCTTAGGGGCCACTATAGTAGTTCTAATGATCTAGCGGCACCTATTCTTCTTAAGAGGCCACTAATTTTTAGTCACTTGAGTGGCCACTTTCGACTATTATACAAGAGCATGTTTAACTTGCTAAACTGTCAAAAATGAGCTCCAGCTTGTAAAAATAATCAATAGAGGGCGGGACCCCATATGAAGAGTTCGCTGGAGCGCACTTTCAAGATTTAACAATTTAGCTATATTTTTAACTATTGAGTTTTTTTGCTCTGAAATTCAAATTCGTTTTTGACTTTTTTTTTCGTAACTGTGACGACTTAAACATTTTTTTGATTTAAATATTTTAAAACAGAAGCAAATGTGCTCCATCGAGAAAGAGGCTTTTCTTATTTTTTTTCGAAAAAGCCCTCACAGGATGAAAGTAAAAACTTGTTAAACTGTAAAAAATGAGCTCCAGCTTCTGAAAATAATCAATAAGGGGCGTGGCCACCCAACCAGATGTGAAGTTCGTTGGAGCGCAATTTCAGGACTTGATAGTTTAAAATTATACTAATTAACTGAATTTTTCAAATATCTTTGCTCTGAAATTCAATTTTCACTACGACCTGCGTCGTCCATTGTTCCATATAATCGCTCAAATCAATATTCCCGGCATTGGAAAATCCGGAAACCGGTACACCCTTGAAAATATCGTACACATCCTGGCTTTCGACCGTTTTGCTCGCGAATCTCCCGACAAATTCCTGCAGTTTCTTCAAAATCATTCTGTAGAATCCAATGAAAAACCTTGACTTTTGTCTGAAAAACAGCAGGTGTGATCAATTTCTCAATTTGGCTCAGGATCAAGCCGCCCTGAAATTTGAATATGTTGAATTTGGAATGTCCGGGTCGCATTTGGAATGGCTCGAAGCGTGAAATGAGCCTAGAGCTAGTTTTTCTCTGATAATTGATATCAGGTCGCGAAAGCCGTTTGAGGTCGGGTGCAATTTACAGTCAACCGCTTCAGAGAGAGCCATTCGACGGTCAGCCGCAATCGGGATGGTTTTCATTAGAAATTATTTTAAAAACTTTCAGATTCAAAAAAAAGGTCGCATTTGGAATGGCTGGGTCGCGTTGCGGCTAGACTAGCATTTTCCTGATTAATTGATACCAAAGCGCGAAAGTCGTTTCAGGTCGGGCGCATTATGCAATAGGCGCCTCAGAGCGCACCATTCCACCTACCGAAGTTTTACATCGTTTAAAATCTAAAAAAATATCTTTTTTCCTGGAACGGCATGGGATTGGCCACGCCCACTTTTTGAAATGACAGGCGGTTCGCTAGGGCGCACTTGCACGAAAATTATTAGGATTTGAACATTTTTGTGCATCACGTCGCATTTTTCGGTACAGAACTCAGGTGATTCTTAGCTTTTTCGATAAAAAACAGCCATTTTGAACATTTTTCAAAAGCTGTTCGCTGGAGCGCATTTGTAAGGTCGTTTTTTCAAAATTCAAAATTTTTTTCTGTTAATCAAAGCGCATTTTTTCTCAAAGAAGACAGCTAATTTAAAGATTTTTCTCAAAACTATAGCTTTTTGGAAATTTCTTAAAGGTTGTTCGCTGGGGCGCATTTGTCAGGTTTTTTTTTCAAGATTCTAAATTTTTTTTTGGCCGATTCTCTCAAATTTTTGCGCTGAATTATGGATGTTTTCGATGAATTTACATTTTATTAGAACATTTCTGCACAAGTAAAAACCCAAAAAACCTTTTTTCCCATCAAATCGTCGTGATAACGCCTGAGGTCCTTGAATTTCTTGATTATATAAACAATCGGATGCAATCTTTTCCGGTCTAATTTCATAACGGAGCTCATTTCTGCCAATTGACGGTAGGCCTAACAAGGAAAAAAACAATTATTTTTTTCAAAAAAATCATAAAATCACAATGTGTGGGTTGTTCTGAAACAGGAAAGTGGAGCAGGGGGCCTCGAAAAAGTTGGCAAAAGCCTCTTTGAACCAGGAATCTTCCCAGGACGTCATCGTGACCACATGGCCGATCACCTCGAATTATTAAAATTATTATTTTCCCTTGATAATCCTCCTAATCAGAAAAAAAAAATTTACAACGTGCGAAAATTTCTGGCAAAGTCGGCCATAGGCCGATCGACGATATGAGGGCGGTGTGAATTTGGAATCGACCAAAAAAATCTTTTTTTCTCTGAAATTTATAACTTGAAATTTGGAAAAAGATAAATCCTACTCCATGATAAAAAGACCTGGACTTTCAAAGCCGAAACTTGGAATCCCCCTGGTCCCATATAAATCTGAAAGATAAATTATATTTCTCTTTCAAAATAAATATAAATTATTGAAAAAAACATGTCCAGGAGATCGCAAAAAAATTCTAATTCACTCACAAAGCAGTAGCTGCGTCTTTTTTTGGCGCGCATTTTTCCCATTTTTTTGGAAGTTTCCTATGGATGGAATCTATTTATAAACTTCAAATGCTTTTTCAAAAAAAGTGCTTTTTCACAGAATAAATGAACAAAAATTTTTTTCGCGCCAAAAACACAGCGCGCCCGCCTTGCAGATTTAGCAACTGTCGCACGCTGGCGTTTCGAAAAACCAAAAAAATGCCATTTTGTATAATTTTTTTGATTTAGAATAGAGTCGTATTCCTTTCGTGGTTAATGGGAAATGGAAATTATTAAGAATTATAAAAAAATTCGAATTGACCATAAAACCGACCAAATTTCTCTGAATAATGATAATTTCCATAATAACCGATGAAAAAAATCCTGAACATCAATACATTTTTTTCCAAAAAAATCCGAATAATTGACATAATCTGCGATTTTTGTCAATGAAAAATGATAGAAATCTGCATATTTGATTATTTTTTTCGGGAATTAAAAAAACTGACATCTACACCTTCTTTTTGTCTGTTCCTTAGAAATCTCATAGCTGGAAACCACGACGCTTAATTGGTCCGGAGAAATTTTCGGCGATTCGGTAAATGTTGACCGTTCGTGATAATAGTCCATTCTTCAGTTGAAAAACAGTAAAATTTGAAAAAAAGGTTTTTTTCTCACATTTTTTTGAATACGCAATCTTCGCATTTGACACAGCTCTCAAATGTGTAGGATGGATGAGGGTAAGATTCCAGGTAGTCTGAAATAAAAACATCAAAATAGGAATAAAAAACAACACCCAATATTGCGAATATTCATGGAGTATACTCGAAAGAATGGGATAAAGAGCCAATAAAAAAAGAGGTATCGAACCTTCCCTCGAGATTCCATTTTGGTCTTTACATTCAAAATTTATAAAGTGACTATAAACAAAAAGTTTAAAAAGAAGAAATTCCGACGAAAATTTGTGGAAAAAAACTGAAAATAACGCTTTTTGCTGCAAAGGTGCTCTATAGAGACAAAGAGTTGTCGTCATTTTTTGAAATCTCGATTATTTTCCAAGATTTTCCTCAATTTTAATCATTTTTGGCTTTTATTGTTGTTTTTGTTGAAATATCCGTGTTGAAATTTACAAATTTTCATTTTAGCGATAAGATTTTCTCAATAGGTGTGTATTTGGAACTCGTTTTGTTCGATTTTGATTTTCATACGTTTTTTGCAAAATAATTTCTCGATATTTTACTTTTGCTCTGTATAATGGCTTCAAGTTATGAATTCTTCGTAAATAAATAATCCTTCTACGGGAAAACTTTAAATTTTTTTTGAAATCCTTTGCATTTTCGCTCATTTTTTTCAGTTTTTGGTCTCAAATTCGAACAGTTGGAAAAAAATAAAATTTTCTTCTAAGTATACCTTTAAATGAGGTTCGTCAAAACAGGGGACCATTCTCCTCGCAGCTGTCGGTTCAAATTGTGTGAAAAACGCGAATCTTCAAGAAAAAACTTGAAAATTGAACATTTCTCGTAGTTTCTCACTGGTCCCTCCTCTTTTTATTGGCCAAATTCATTAGGAAAACTGGTCCGAGAGTGTTATTGCCCTTGTTCAGTATTTTGTTCATATTTTTCGCTTTACCGCTGTAGTGGAGCTGAAACTGAGGTTTTTAAGAAGCGAATATCAACAGAGAAAAATTTTTTTACTGCTAGTTTTTAAATCATAAAACTTGAAAACTAAGTTTTTTGTTTCGAAACTTTTCGGAAAACTTTAGCATCATTCTCAAGAGAAAAGTGTTAAGTTCTTCTTTTTTTTATTCTTATCATTATTAATGAATAAACTTGATATTTTGTAAAAAAAAAAACTCACAACAGCCACTATTGGCGTTCCAGCCTCGACTTTTTTCTCTAATTTCAATAAAATCGTCGCCTGAGGATCGGCTCGGTCTATTTCGAAATCGAACTTGAATGGAATTTCAGTTCCGTTCTGAAAACATTTCTTTTTGATGGACCTTTTCGATTGGATCATTTTTGTAGAATGGAACGTTTCGGAAAATTTTGAAAAATATTAGTTTTGAGAATTTTTTGAAACATGGCTGAGCTGTGTTCAGAGCTATTTTGGCGATTTCAAAAATGAGGCGTTATTCGTTTGAAATGATTGAGCTGTTAAGAAATTTGGGTCCTACAACCGTAAATTGCGAAATGAGGAAAGGGGGGCGTTTCTACAATAGAGATAGCCCCCAAACAATATTTGGGGGAGCTTGTTCGGACATGGGGGCGATTCTAAAATTCGAAATTTTTTTAAAATTTTTTCGTACTAAATTAAAACCTTACCACAAAAACGTGACTTTTCTCGAGATGATGTACCAAATTGACCGAATGCAACTCGATGACGTCAGTTTCCACTTTAGTGATCATTTCAATCCGGACGAGTCCTTCGAAGACGACCTTTTTTTGGATCGTAGTGTAGCCCGGCATCATCACCTTCATTTTCAAGTTATAGTGGGCTGAAAAAATGCCATTTTGAGGTTATTTTTCACGGAAAATTGTCGAGAACCGACTTGAAACCGCTCAAGGTCGGACGCAATTTTTTTCTACTATGTGAACTTGGTGATATTATTCAAAAATCAGAAAATCAGCCTTTAAGCTTTCATAAAGATTTTTTGTGTTCCAAGATTCTCCATCTTCTGAAAAAGTTGGCAGAAACAGAATTTTTTATTTTTCTATCCTGAGAAACTTTTGAGGAGTCCCCATTGGGATCCCTACGCTCTCTTCATAGGGGCCTCTAAGATTTTCACCCTTATAGGGATCCCTCAAACTAGAAACCCCTATAGGGACCCCTAAGAAGTTCCTCAGACGGTTAAAATTGAATTGGCAGAGTTTTTATTGGGAAAAATTTTCCGAATTCAAAATTCTCTGACTCTCCAGAATTCAGTTGTCCTTTTCACTCTCTGACGGCTTTTTTGAATTTCGCGGGAAAACAGAAACTTTTCTAGATTTTCTGCTACTTCTTGAAACTCACTCGGTATCACGGTATCATTCAAACGTCGGTAGCCTTTCACTTTGACGAACGGTTTTGTGGTCGTCGTCGAAAAAGAACTCGGATCATCTTCCGGTTCTTGATGATCATGAACACTTTCTTCGTGTGAGTGATGTGAGTAGTGATAATCCGATTCCGTGTTCAAGGCCGCAATTGATCTGTTTTTTGAAGTTTTAAATTTGTTTCTATAGTTCATTTCTCGCGAATCGAACTTCTCTGCGCCCTCCTCGTCTCTCAGCGACTCTCTCAAATTGGCGTGCTATTTTCTTGTTTCTCTGACCTTGTCGGCGAGGGAACAGAGAGACGCAGACACGCCGTTGAGTGAAAAAAAATTCAAATTTTTCCTTATACCGGTCAAAAGTCTGTGGAAACATTCTAAAGAGATGAGAGAGTTTAGAGAAAAAAAGACTCTCGCTCTCTCCTTTTCAAACACTCTCTAACTTCTGCAGATTTGGACGTAGGATCAAAAATCAATCTCAGAACCCCTTTTTTGGCGACTTGAGCTTCTCTGCGCCCTCTTCGTCTCTCAGCGAATCTCTCAAGTAGACGCGCTATTTTCATGTCTGGCGAGGGAACAGAGAGACGCAGACACTCGAAAACTGCCGAAAAATCAAAAAACCTACGTCAAAAGGATCGCCAGTAATAATAGCAAGAGAAAAAGGCCGATAACCACGTAAACCTTGACTTTTTTGAATAATTCAAAAGCCTTCTGCTTGAAAGTTTTTTCTTCATCCTAGAAAAAAAAGTTTGGAAGAAAATTCTCGAAATTACCTCAAGGGTCGGAATCTTTCCATCAGAAGGCTGGAAAAATCAATAAAAAAGGAGTTTGACAAGAAAAACCTTAGTAGGTGTCCCTGAAGGGGTGGTAGCGGGGGAAATGGTTTCAGGCGTGTGAACACGCTAAAAATCCGATAATCAAGTCAAAAAAACCTTTAGTGTCCACTTAAGGAGTTCCTCAAGGGCTACTTAGGGAGGACTCTAAAGTGGTCCCTAAAGCAATCTCTTCAAAAGCCCGTTTCAGTGGCCCAGTAGGCTTCAAAAGGCCACTGAATTTGAGACCCTTACGTGGCCACTGACTCAATTTCTGAAAAGCCTTTAAAACGTCAAAACCCTAAAGTCCCCACTTAATATTCCCCCAGTAGAAGACAGAAATACCTGTCTTTTATTCGGGGTAACCGGTTTAGAAGTCGAAAAAGTCTGAAAATATACATTTTTAAGCCCAAATTTATTTTGAAAAACCAAAGGAGTGCTCGAAATCGGAGTTTTTGGAATGGAACTTGGGATTTCAGCCTGAAAACCACTCAATTTTACCATGAAAACCAAAATTTTCGAACCGAGTGTACGATAGGAGAGACCGGAGAGTCTGGAAGCTCGCCAGAAGCTGGAAACAGCTTCGGCTTCTTCTTCATTTCGGAGAAATGGCTCAAAATCTCGTTTTCTTTTTATTTTTTGAACGAAATCGCGGTAAAGTTCATTTTTCATTGATCCTGTTAACTTGGCTCAGTCGGTAGAGAGTCAGGTTACCATGTGGAGGGCCAACGGTTCGACTCCAGTCAAGAACATTTTTCATTTGCATTTTTTTTTGCTCGTCTCCTCACAGTTATATCATGTCTTCTTTGACTACCTATCGGACGCTTTATTGAATTTTCAATTATTTTTTCAGTCGGTAAAGATCCAGATTATAATGTGGAGGGTCAAGGGTTCGGTTCCAGTTGAGGACATTTTTCATTTGCATTTTTTTTTCTTGTGGTCTTGTCATAATTTTTTCCAATTTTTCTTTCTGGTCCGATGAGGAAAGCTACTAAACTCAGAAACGCCTTTAAGGCGTCTTTCAAATCGAAAAAAACACGCTCCAACGCACTACTAACAATATTCCAAGTTCCCTTTTTGTTCGGTTGCAACTAACACATTTATTCATTTGAACGGTTCTTTTCAAAAAACATAAATGATTGGAAAAAAATAACTAGACGATAGTGAAAGGTAGACTTTTGGAAATTGATAAAAAGGAATTTTGGCTTTTCAAAAATTGAGGAGAGACTAGAGAAGTTAGTTGGTCTAGCGAGAGATTATGCGTTTGGCGAGGGGAAAAAGATCAAAATTAATACCATAATTATGTGAGAATAAGTAGAAAATTTAGAAAAATGACATTGAGAAGTTAAAAAGGGAAAGTGAAGAAGGGTTGGAATTTACTGGGGCGGAAGCGTCGCCGAGCCGCCGACCGAGTGTGGGGGCTCGCCGGCCGGTGGCACCGTAGCGCTCTGAAAAATCGATTATTTATTGATTTGTCGAGAATAAAATCAATTGGGAGACATTTTCTGAGCGAAAAAAATTTTCATTTCGATTTATGACTTTTAAGAAACTTATAAAACAAGTAGCAATCGATAATTAATTCACTAAAGGTTCATAAATTTGAAATTGATTTTTAAAGTTCATCATCATCTTTTCAAAACAAAGAATGAACTGAATTTCTTGTGGACTTGCTTTTTTTTTGATTTTTCAATTTTCCCAGTGCTAATTGGATAATAAAAAGAAATTTGAGATGCCTGGTTTTCTGAATAAACTTCCACCTTTTAGCTGACCAAATTTTGACCCATATAAAAAATGAATATTTGAGAGGGTAATTATACCGCGCGCGATATCGCGACTCTAGCTGCGATATCGCAAACGTCTCGCGCTTTTTGAAAAATTTTCATTCAAGAAACTTTTTTTCGTTTCATTTCATCATAAGTCAAGAAAAAAGCGAAAAAATGTTTCGATCTAAAAATTATGAGCAGAAGCGATATGGCAGCGATGGCCTAGGCGATATCGCTCTGCGATATAGTAATATATTTTTGATGCAGCTATAACCGATTTTACAAAATCATGTGGGAAGGCAAGTCAGAAGCTCATTTTTCTCGGTAATGTGAAACGGACGTTTCTGTGCAGTTCCAGGTATCACTTAAGAGTGCTGGCGCTACTAAAGTGGTCACTAGAAATTCCCAGGAACCTGCGGAGCACGTCTATTTGGCGTTATAGAAGATTCACGGCTAGCTTGGGACGCAAAAAGGCGTGGCCTGTCTGCACTCTCCACCAACCAGGGCACTGTCTCGTCTCTTTTCGTGGCAGGACCCTTTTCTCGATGGCTCAAGCCAGCCGTGTATCAGCTATACCAATGTCCGAGTTTTTTGAACTGTCTCAACTTCCAGGGCCGCGCGAACGCGGCCCCACACGCAAAAATTAAGCTGTGAGCCGTTTCTTTATTCAAGAAAGGCCCCGTAGGTCAGCTCGACTCGAAAGTGCAATGAGTGGCCTCGCCACGCGGCCCCCGTCTTCCTGATCGCGAGGAACCGACCAGCAAGGTTTTGCCCGCGGCGAGGCATGCGTCAACCTCATTTCATCATGCCGCCGACTTGGAGCGGCTTTCGCCTTTCTATACCGCTTCTCCTTTCGAGTTGATTTCGAATGGTTTTTTCATTTTTTCCAATTATTTCTCATGTTTCGAAATTCATTGCAACTTCATCAATTACAGATTTTTGTACAATTCGATCAAAAAATCCTCGTTAAGGCCCTGAAAACGGCTCTTCCACTCGAGACCTTCAAAATATTTGTTCATGCGCCTTTAAAATATCACGGATTTTTAGACCAACTACAGCTATTTTCTCATTTTTTTTTAACTCTTTAAAGTTTCAAAAGGGCTTCAAAAACTGTGTCGCGTTGAATTTATGATTATGATGTTTTCAGTTCTCTGCACATCCAAAAAAGTTATAAATTTCTGCAAAAATGCAGAAAACAATTCAGAGAAGTTTAAGCCTCTTTTTTTCATTTATTTCTCTAGTTTTTCGCGTTGAGACCACTTTTTGGAGGAAAATTCGATGATTCTTCAAAAATGAGGCCTAGAATCAGGAATTTTCTTTCTGAGAAGAAAAAGAGGTCAACAAAAATGAGAAAACTTGGGTTTAACATGAAAAACTTGTTAGAAAAACTGACGTTTTGACCTTCTTTTTCACGGAAATAGTATCAGTTATAACAGATCCTAGTTCAGTTTTTCTCATAAGTATGCTTTCAATTCAAACAGGCTTGAGCGCAGGCCGGCCCGGGTGTCGCCCTCCGGGCCATTTTCAGCCCCGAAAAGCGCATATTTCTTCAAAGGTCACACATCCTATTTTTTGAGACGAAAATCACGTTTTTGGTTCATTTTGAACTTAAAATTCGACAGAAAGTGCGATCTGAGAAGTGAAAAAAATTTTTTTTGGTGTAATATATGGAAAAATGGTACCAACCGGATCTTGATCGTGTTGAACGCCGGGGATGATTTTTCCGATGGCCGTCTGGGCCTGCGAAGCGTAGCCCTTGGTTGTTTCAGCTGAAAAATGGAATTTTCATGATAACTCAAGTTCAAAATAATTCTTAAGGCCTTCTATAAGAAATTTCAGGTTAGTTTGTCCGAAAAAGCTTGCCGAATCGACTGAAACCCTGCTTTTTCAGGTTTTGACGGGTCTCGAAGCGAAAGCGCACAAAAAGGACGCGAATACTGTATCTATTTTTTTCAGCTGTGTTTAAAATTTATTCAGTAAATCCAAAAAAAATTTTTTTCGAGCTTTTTCTATCTCACTTTTTGACGGCATTTTTCGAAACTTTCTTCGGCCTAAAAAAAACCCCCATTCTAACAAAAATCTGTAGGAGAAAAGGCTAAAAAAACCTTGTTTTTAGAAAAATTATTTCAAAGTTTTTTTCTTGGACTTTTTGCTGAGATTCGTGAAAGATCAAAATGATTATTCCATAAGGTTTATGATTGAATTCACTTTGAAATAATTCTGAGAACACGAAATTTCTGATCCTGGAGAGCATTTAGTCTTTTCGCCACGACTGTCTGCGTCTCTCTGTTCCCTCGCCGGCGAGGTTAGAAAAACGTGAAAATAGCACGTCAACATGAGAGGGTCAACGAGAGACGAGGAGAGCGCAGAGAAGTTCAAGTCGTGAAGAACGGACTATATCATTTTACGCGACAGTGCACATCTTATATATAGTCGAAAATGCATTCCTATTTTTGTTATAAGTTTGAAACAGTAATGTCTTCAAAGTCGATTTTAAAATCAATATTTGAATACCAGAATATGTATTTCACTCGGTTAAATCGGATCATTCACTTTTAAAACATGAATTTATCGAAAAAGGCTTGAAATAGTCAAAAAAAATATTGTAGTTCAAAATGAACCCACCAGCAGTGCTCAAAACGTCCTTGGTCTTGTCGAAAATCGAGCTGAGGGCGTTCTTCTGTAATATTATAGTGAATTCCACGTACTCTGGTCATTTTTAAAAAAATTTATTTGTCTTTAAAATAATCTTATTTCAATGAAATATGACCAAGTGTGCTCCATAAACAAACTAAAATTATTAAGTTTTTTTAAATTTTTTTCTTTTTAAAAGTTTTTTTAGCAACATTATAGTCATGTTCCTTTCCGAAATTTCTTGAAAAAAATTTTTTGGGATTCTGACGAGCAATTTTGAAGCAGCCGAACAATGGGAAAAGAGCATTTTCTATTCAAAAATCGAAAAAAAGGCTTTGAGGGGTACTCGGGAGTTTTTTTTTTCATTTTGATGAAGTTTTGGGGGAATTTTGAGGATTTTTAATGGATTTGAAAGCTTCTTGAAGAGTGAAAATGTGAAGAAAAATAGATTTTATTACTGTTTTTTTGAAAAAAAAAAAGAAAAATCGCGATAAAATTTATGATTTTATATTATTCTTAAAAGCCTTAGGAACTCCAAAGTGATCCCTATAGGGCAACTACAGAGGCTCTTGAAATTTTCCTTCTAGGGATCCCTTTACCTCCCCCTATAGGGGCCACTGAAGCTTGAAAAAGTGGCCCCTATGGGGAATTTTCGATTTTAGCAATCTGTGGCTGCTTCCATAGTCAAAGCTCAACAAATTGGCCATAGAGGCTGTTTTTTTCTTTCTAAACCCTATAGGGGCCACTCTGGTGTTCTTAAGATCTATATAAGCCTAATAAAAAGCCAAATATCCCCACTTTTCTCCCTAAAAATCTCGAAATATTCCCCTATTTGGAAATTTCGAAAGACGAGGCGCCGAATAAACTTTGCACGAGTGGGCAATTTGCTCCTCGAGTGACATGAAAAGCGGGAAAAAAGTCCTTTTCTCGTGGCCCGCAAATTTATGCAAGCAACTGCGCGCCGGGGCTAAAAATGCAAGCTTTTTTGGTGTGAAAAGCCAGAAAAAAGGTCATTTCGAACATGTTTTGAAATTAATGAATTCTACGGTTCATTTTAAAAGTTTTTCAAAGTTTCAAATAAATGAAAAACGTGCTTGGACCTCCGTAACGAAAACGGAAGTTTCTGAGCATTTCTAAGCACCTTTTAGGGGCTTCGAAACCCTTAAGCGACCTCTAGAAATGCTCAAAAACGTCCCGAGCGATCTCAGAACCTTTAAGTGATCCCTAGAATCGCTCAGAAACGTTTGTAGCGGCGTCAGAACCCTCACGTGATCCCTAGAATCGCCCAGAAACGTCCGGAGCAATGTTAGAACCCTCAAGTGATCCCTAGAAATGCTCAGAAACGTCCCAAGCGATCTCAGAACCCTTAAGTGATCCCTAGAATTTCTTGGGAACTTCCGGAGCAGTGTAAGCACCCTTAAGTGATCCCTAGAAATGCTCAGAAACGTCCCGAGCGATCTCAGAACCCTTAAGTGATCCTTAGGAATGCTCAGAAAAGTCCGGAGCGGCGTAAGAACCCTTAAGTGATCCCTAGAAATGCTCAGAAACTTTCCTAATTGAACAATTCTCCACACTACTTGAAAAAGTCTGATCTCTCTGCTCTCTCTCAATTTCAAATGCTATTTCTTTCTCTTACCTCACAGGTGAGAGAAAAGAGAGCGCAGACAGGTCAGACTGCTTCAAGTCGTGTCGAAAGTTCATATAAGGCTTTTTTTCATTTTTTCCATTTTTTCGAATTTTAGCAGTCGGTTCTAGCTTTAGAAAACCCTCAAAAATATGAAATCTAAAAAAAGTTTAAAAAAATTGTATATATCATAAAATTGTTCTTTTATCTTCCAAAAATCGATAAAAAGGCCCCTAAAAATAGAAAAAAAGAGCAAAAGCACGAAGCTTCTGCCTGTGAATGATCAAAAAAAGATTTTCTAATAAACATTTCGAAACTGTGTCGTTTTTCCACTCAAAAATGAACAGGAATGTTTCAAAATGAAAAAAAAAGATAGTCAAAAGCTTGAAATTCTTCTGAACTGAATTTTACTGAACTGTTGTACTAAAATTGCCCTTTCCCCTTAAATTCGATCAAAGGACCCCTGAAACGGCAAAAAGAAGGAGGAAAAGCCTCGAAGCTTCTGCCTGCGCGGATGCAATTTGCGCGTTTCCCCGACACATACGTGCCCCCTTCTCTTTTTTTTTTCTTCTTTGCTCTGCTCTATCCGCTGCTCCGTTGGGTCCAATTATTCGGAGATGCCAAATGAAGTGGCGGCGAGGAGAGAAATGCCTCGTTTTGGGCCGATTCTAATTTTGGGAGAAAAATAGCCGTGGACATGAGAGAATTTGCGCTCCATGGATAAAAATTGAGAATTAGTGAAATCTGGAGGATTCACCCCTGGAAAAAATTCCGATTCAAAAATGGCGAAAATACAGTTCTTGAAAGAAAAAAAATGAGGAGAAAAAAGAGCCATAGAAATGACAGAAATTGCGCTCCATGGATAAAACTCGAGAAATCGAGGATTCTTGGGAGATTACTACTGAAAATTGAGCTGTAATCAAATATTTGGATTCAAAAAAGGCGAAGTTACAGTTTTTGAAAGTAAAATTGAGGAGAAAAAATAGCCGTGGAAATGAAGGAATTCGTGCTCCATGGATAAAATTTGAAAATTGAAGAAATCTGGAGGATTCGTTCATGAAAATAGAGATCACATAAAGAATTTTCGTTTTAAAAAGCGAAAAACTGTTTTTGGAAGTAAAAACTCGATGAGAAAAAATAGCCGTGGACTTGAGAGAATTTGCGCTCCATGGATAAAACTTGAAAAATGACGATCTGGAGGGCCTACTTCTGGAAAGAGATTTAAAATGGAAGATTTCGATTTAAAAAAGATAAAATACAAGTTTCCAATGTTTGAGGGGAAAAAATAGCCGTGAAAATGAGTGAATTTGCGCTCTATGGATAAAACTTGGAAAATAGAGAATTCTTGGGAATCTACTTTCGGAAACAGTGCTGAAATCAAAATTTTCGATCCGAAAAAGGCAAAATCCAAATTTTAAGCTTAATTATCATTAGAGCGCATAAGTCCATAATTTGACGGCGATTTTTTCCAAGCTTGAAAATTCTCATTTCTATCTATTTTTTTTCGGTTCTAACGGAAAAAAGTAACGTTCTTAGTTGAATTTCTTGAAGATACGTATTTTTTCTTCACAAAAAAAGTAATTTTTTTCAAAAAATATACATTCAAAACTGAACAAGAAAGCTTCCAAATTTTCAACTCCGAACCCAAGTTTTTTTGTTCTTCCGTTCGAAAAAGAAGAAAAGATTGGCTTTGCGTGGCTCATTCTTCATGTCGGCTGGTGGGAGACCAAGAAACCCAACGCCCAAAAGCTTCTCCTTTTTCTTTTTTTCGAAAAGAATACCATCAAAGTTGACGCGGAAGTAGTTTTCCATGAGAAGAGGCGAAACGAAATTCAATTTTTCGAGTTTTGAAAGGAAAATAGTGAAAAGGCCGCATTTGGAATGGCTAGACGCGTTAAAAGTATGAGAAAAAAATGGCTAATGTTATCTGATGCCTTCGAGCTCAAGTCGTTTTTGGTCGGGTGCACCTTAAAATAACCTCTTTGCAGCATAGCTCTCAATGTTTTTCTTTTTCCGAAATAAACATTATGAAAAGGCTGAAAGCGACGCGGTCGAAAAGCTGTTTTTTAAAAAGCGCCCGACTTGAAACAACTTGCGCGCAATAAGGTTTGAATTTACCACAAAGCTGTTTTTTTCTCCCAAACGAAACGCTTTAATCGGAAAAAAGTCATCTCAAATTCTTCTTTTTTAGTTTAGCCGCATTTGGAATGGCTAGACGTGTTGCGGTTGTGATGAGAATTATCTAACGCTTTCGATGTGTCTGCGCTCAAACCGTTTTTGGTCGGGCGCCCTATTTGATGGCAGATTCTTGATTCAACCATAATTTTTTCTGCCATAAACGGCATTTTTATGACTTTGAGACCTCATAGCCGCACTTAGAATGGCTCAAGAAGGTTTTTGAAAATGCGCCCGACCTGAAACGGCTTGCGCGCAAGAGCGCCTGAATTCCCGAAAAAGCTGTTTTTTTCTCCCAAATGAAACGCTTTAATCGAAAAAAAAAGTCCCTTTAGTTGGTGCTTTTTTAATTCAGCTGCATTTGGAATGGCTAGTAGACACGTTGCGGTTGTGATGAGAATGATCTAGTGCTTCTGAATGTGTCTGAGCTCAAGTCGTTTTTGGTCCGGCGCACTTCGAAGAGCTGACTTTGCAGAATCTACGTGTAACCATAAGTTTTTTTTTGCCAAAAACGAAATTTTTATGACTTTGAGACCTCATAGCCGCTCTTAAAATGGCTCAAAGCAGTTTTTCAAAAAGCACCCGACTTGAAACGGTTTTCGCTCAAGGTCTTTTTTAACTATGATGCGAAATTCATGTAGACTGCCCTCTACAGATGTGACCACGCCTTTCAAAGTTCGAAAACGACTTTTTTATTATTTTTTTCTAAAAGTACATATCCCAATCCTACAGTAACCTACATCTAATTGATTCGCCAAGCTCATCGGAAATGACCGGTTTTGCAACGGAAATTTGAATCCTTCAGAGGGAGACAAAATGGGCGGAAAATTGGCATGAAGAGACAGACAAACGACTTTTTCCGCCCCGGGAAAACGTCACTTTGAACCCCGAAAAAGTCATATTTCAACTGGGAAAAAGGCTTATAAGAAATGTTGTAAGAAGTGAGTTATTGCTTGATTTTTTTGGCCGAGAGCCAATGAATTATTACTTTTTGGAATTATTTATTGGAAAATTTTGAAGAAAAAAAATAATAATTTTCGGCATTCTCTTCATTCAAAAAGGAAATTAAATCAAAATTCCTTCGATTAATTTATTTTTTTAATTTAAATTAAATCTCATTAATGTTTTGATTTTTCGTATAAATTTGAATAAGCTTGGATATAAATATTCAAAAAAACGTTTTTCAGATAAAAAAATCCGAAAATTTCATCCAAACCCATGAAAATGATAATTTTTCACGATATTATCCATGGAGCACACATGTCATCTTCAGTCGGATTTTTTTGAAACTGCCAAAAAAATAGGAAAAATTTTGTAAAAAAAGTCCGATTTTTTTCTCTTTTTTTCGAAGTACTCAATCAAATTTTTCAAAAAAAGAGTTTGTAGTTTTGTCCATGGAGCGAAAAAAAGTCGTTTCAAATCAGCCTCTTCCCGCTCAAGTCCGTAATTATTTATATTTAATCAAAAAAAACTTTTTGCTGATTTCCCCATGGAGCACATTTGCTTTTTATTGAAAAAAAATTATTTTTGATTTTTTTCAAAGAGAAAACAATTTTTTTCAAAGCTCCAATTTCAGCTTCCAGACCATTTCTTTCTCCTCTAAAAAAATTTGAAATTCTTGTTGAAAAAAATTAATTTTTAAAGAGAAACATGGAAAAAAATCCATTTTTTTAAAGAACAAATGATTTGAAAAATTTTTTTGAAAAACCGTTTTTCTTTTTTCATCGTTTTTCAGACAAAAAAAATCATCTTGAAGTCTAGAAAAAGTAAATTTATGATTTTTCACTCCTTTTTAAGGTCAGATTCTTCATAATCATTCAAAAACTCTCGCTCAATTATTTCCAGAGGAAAAATTCTCAGAAATTCCCTTAAAAACCAACGTGTCATTTTTTTGTCTCTGAGAAGAAGCCAAAAAAAATATTAAAAAAATCTTCATTTTTTTCTCCCCTTTTTAAGGCCAAATTCATCAAAATCTCTTCTTTTTTTATTTTCAAAATTTCCAGACGAATTCCCCCTCGAAAACTCAAAAACCATCATGTCCCCCTTGTCTATAATTAAACTAACGAAGAAGTCGAAAAAGAAAAAAGAAACTCACAGCGGCGTCGGCCATGTCTGTCGGGGCGGTTGTGTGCGAAGGCGGAATGAAGAGAGAAGGCGTGGCGGGCTCCCCGAAGACTCCCGCAGAGCTCCACGCATCGATTTGCCACGTCTTCTGGAGCCGAAGGCTGCAGGGGGGGCACACCGCAATAATGGGATTATCGTCTCGGGCATGGCCCTCCGTGTTTTTCGTCTTTCTTCCGTGCTCAGACGACGTTGCTTGTTTTTGGGGCCCGGCGAAAATTTTTGAGACAAAATATCAAGCTTCTTGGTGGAACTTACAAGCTTCGGAAAAATACTGCTTCAGAAATAAAAAAAAAATAAAAAAATCAAGGTTCTACTGGGAAAATGTTTAGTGGCCACTTTAGTGGCTTGCCAAGGACCCACTTCAGTAGTTATCCATCCAGTATTCCTTCCAGTAACACTGATAATTTTAAAACAAACAGATTGGACCAGTTATGTTGATCCACTGACCCCTTAAGTGGCCACTAAAAATTTTAGTGCTCTAGTAGTAACACACAGACCCCTACAGTGGCCACTATTTTTTAACCACTTAAGTGGCCACTAATTTGACTACTATAGTGGTCACTAAAAATTTTCCAGTACTCAAAAGTTTCAGAAAAAGCGTTTAGCAAAAAATAATAGGAACTGCAACAAAAAAAAAAATGAGATAAATTTTTTTCAAAACCTCCAAGAAAAAAAGCTCCCTCTCAAAAAAAAGTTTTGGTTGAAGACAGAAAACTCAAATAAAAAAGATACTGCAAAAAAATGGTACCGAACTTCTTGGTAGTACTTGAAAGTTTCATAAAAAGGTGAAATTGGGAGAATTTTGAGCTGAACTTTCTATAAGAAAAAAATTGAAACAAAATTTCCAGCTTCTTGGTGGAAATTTAAAGCTTTAGAAAAAAAAATTCATTCCAAAGAAAAACAGGAGTACATTGAAGGTTTAGCTGAAGATTTTCTAGAAAATGTATCTTTGAAGCAGGAAAACTGCGAAAAATTTGGGACAAAATATCGAGCTTTTTGGTGGAACTTGGAAGCTACAGGAAAAATTTTCCTTCCGAAAAAAAAAACAAATTAAAATAAGGCAGTTTGAAAGGTTGGCCTGAATTTTTATCTGACGAAATTTATTTTTTTGAGCAAGAAAAAAACTGGAAAAAAAGTGAAGGCTATACGAGCAAAAAAATTATATTTTTCGCCAAAAAAAGATAAAATATAAGGAGATTGGAGGGTGAACTTTCCCAATTGAAATTATCTAGGAGCCAGGAAAAATTGACAAAACCGGGTGAAATATCGAGCTTCTTGATAGTACTTGGAATATTCAAAAAAGGGCTCTCTGACAAAAAAAATTTAAGAAGAGATACTCTGAAGCCGCGTTGATAGAGCCTACAAGTACGGAAATTTTGTCGTTTTTTAATCAATTGAGGAATTTTCAAACATTTTCGTACTTTTTTTGAGCTTAGAAGAGTATAGAATCTTGTATAGAATCCGGGAAAAAAATGCGAAAAAAATTTGGGACAAAATATCGAGCTTCTCGGTGGAGCTTGGAAGCTACAGAAAAAAAGTTTCCTTTCGAGAAAAAAATTAAATAGACTGCTAAAATTTTTTTAGAAGCTTCAGAAAAAAATTGCTTAAAAAGTGAAATTATGAGGAGTTTGGAGGTTCATCGGAACATTCTCAAAGAAGAAACAGGAAAAAATTGAAGAATGGGATAGAATATCAATTTTTTGTGAGACTTGTAAGCTTTGGAAAAAAAAAAGCTATTTTTCTGAAAAACTGTTGGATTATTTTTGAAGATTTGGCTAACTTAGAGTTGGACGCGTTCTACGATTTGGAGGTCAACTGGATGACGTGAAACTGGAACATATGGGCATTTTTTTCTGACTAAGAGGACCTGACGCTTCGTTTAAAACAATAAAATTTCAGAAAAAAAAATTTCGAAAAAATGTTATTACACAAAAAACATTTATTTCGTCCCTGGCTTTTGATTAAAAAAAGTTTCATTCGATTGGGAACAGGGAGAAAAAAATTAAGCATGTCGGCAACAGTAATCCACAAAAGGGGCGGAGCCTTTCAAAACCTCAACTGAAAGGTTCAGAAGCTTTTGTAGTTAATGTAGTGAAAGTATGAGCTCAAAAAAGCAACATGAACTTTTAGTACCTCACCGTTCTGGTAACTTATCGATTCTCTCGGAAAACGTATGTTAAATTATTTCGAAACATTCTGTTCGAACAAATGCACCAAGAGGAGATTAAAGTAGCGAGTGCCGTGTTCGAAGTGATTCCGTGAGACTCAAAATAGCCGTCAGAGAGTAAAAAAGATAATTATATATTGGAATGTGAGAAATAATTTTGCGTTTCTCACGCATGTTCAAGGCGGCCGGTCGTATTACGGTAATCAAGCGAGGTTTTTTGGGTAAAAAAAAGAAAACTTGTGTACTTTTTGTGACGTAATTTGTCTTGTAACCTCGAGAAATAGGTCCTTACTAAATTGCAAAGAAGAAAAAAAATTTAGAAAATTTCCTGGCTCCGGAACTGACTGCGCAATATTGACCGGCTACCGGCCGCCGTAACACTGTCTTAAACATGCGTTTCTTACTTTGAAATTATTTGTTCACTTGTTAGGGAGAGGTAAAGTGGCCCCTATAGTGGAGCCTTCAAGAGTCAGGATTTTCGAAAAAAATCACGAACTCTTATGTGAGGTGAAGGAGATGATGAAAACTTGACGTTCAAGGGTCTTTTATCTTTTTTTTTTTTTGCCCTTACTCTCGGTTTGCGTTCCAGTAAGAGAAATCATGATTATAAGAAAAGCTCAACTTTCTCTCAAAAAAATTCTTAATATCCTTCAATTTTTGGTTTTTTGTGTTAGGATGATAAAATTTTTCTTATCATATCTCATTTTTTCAATATTCTGGGAAACTCTAGTGGCCCCTAGAGAGGTTTCTGAAGGACTTGGCCTTTGATTGGGCACTCAAAAAACCTTTATAGAATCTACTATTTTGCGTCTAAGTGATCACTACAGTAGTTTAGCGGTCCAGTAGCACCACTTAGACTTTTAAAGAGGCCACTAAATATTAGTCATTTGAGTGGCCACTAATTCGACTACTACAGTGGCCACTAGTACGTCAAAACCCTGAAGTGGCCACTAAAAACTCTCGCAGTTTTTATTGGAATAACCTTCCAAATGAGATCATCAAAACTATCAAATTTTCTTGAAAAGTTCCCAAATTCCTCCATTCTTCTCCACTTTACCCCGTATTTTCTCTTCCCCATCCATTAGTTCCGGAATAAATGGTCCCATAGAACTTCAAAGATAATGAGAAGAAGCCAAAGTGAGTGCGGCGAAATCCGTGGGAAAAATGGTGGGCCAATCTTGGAGTGGACCCGTCGTTTTTCCGTGTCCCCTGTGGCTTCTTTCCATTGATTTCCAAGTCTTTTTCTGGAGTTTCTTAGGTTTTTTGAAGTGAATTTAATGTTAGAAGGGTTTTAAAGCTTCAAAATTGAGTTGATAAAATGTAAGATTTTCATTTTCAGTTGTAGGAAGGTACAGAAAAACGAAAAATTCCTTCAAAAAAAAAATTTGAAGTAGAAAAAAGCGGTTTTCTTGGTAGAATATGATGAAAAAAGGATATTTTCAAGTTTTTTTCGAAGATAAAGTATAGGAAAAAGTATGAAAATTAGAAAAATCAAGAAAAAAATTAGTAAAGCTTGAAAAAACAGTCCATTTTTTTCTATCCACGCTCATTTTTTTCAATAATTTTTTTCTCCAGAGTGGTCCCTTTAGGGGCCCTTGAAGCTTCCTTTCGGGGCCACTTTACCCAATCTGAGATAAAATCGAAAAACCCTATAGGGACCACTTGAAAACTTCATCAACCAAGCTCTAAACCACTAGAGGGACCACCTAAATTTCACCCCCCTTTTTTGTTCCAGAGAAGAGCTGTTTTTCTCCTAATCCCTATAGGGACCACTCTGGCGTTCCTAGGTATTTTTAAAAAACTACCTGTTCGTTCTAACATGTAAAGTCCTAAAGGACCAATAAAACCCTCAAAAAGTTCCCAGAAAAGGGCTGTTTTTCCCCTAATCCCTATAGGGACCACTCTGAAGTTCCTGAGTACTTTTTAAAAAGTTATCTGTCCCTCCAAAAACCCCCAAGAACCAATAAAACCCCTCAAAATTCCTTCCAAACCCATTTTGTTTGTAGAAATTGAGGCCCCTGCGGCTAACTCAATCACTACCTTCCCTTTGAATTTCATTCCATTTTCTCCTATTCAAACAAGTCTTTCTTCAATCGTTAATTCGTCTTTTTTCATATCCAGATAGATATCATATTTTTATCAACAATCAGTAGAAAAATTGCTGAGGAAACCCTCCTTTTTAAAATTCTGTTATTTTTCCGCGTTTCTTGGTCATTTTTGAGGAAATTTTTTGACGTTTCTGGTCATTTTTGAAGGATTTTTTTGAATTTGAAACGCTGGTGAAGTCAGAATTTTATTCTTCTAAAAATTCCAGTTTAGGGTTTCAAAAAGCCTAGAAAAATTCTCCTGAAGGTCTCAAGGCTGTTTTCACCCTTTTTTTGTATTAAAGTGTATTCAAAAAAAGCTAAGAAAAAAAACCTTTTCCGGAACTGATAATGAAGCTGAATATGGGCATAATTTATTTTTTGTCCTTTTGAGAAAATTTATCCGAAAAAAATAATTTTTAAAAAAAGGCCTTAAAACCATCAAAAAAACTGTGTTTTTTTCGACAAAAAAATCTAATAATTCTTTTGCTTCAAAGGAAGTTTTTGTATCGAAAATACATGATAATTAAAATTGGAAAAATTATAAATAATTTTTCCAGGTCATTACACACAAAATTTTTCGTGAGCAGGAGCATTAAAATAACTCTTTTTTTGACAAAAAGCCAGGGAAAAAAGGTTTTTTTGAGTTTTTGACAAAAATCGAATCAATTTTTGCTTCAACGGCCTTTTCATTAACTAAATAAGATAATAATACACTTTTAAAAACATTTTCGGACTGTTAACACGCTGTCTCTGTAATTTTCAAAAAGTCTCAAAAGCAACGGGTACAATAAAAGATTTTATTTTTTGATTCTGATGAAACTTCATCCAGTGTGATAACCCATCATCAGTAATGCGGACACAACTTTTTGAGCCATTTCCTCCTGCTGTAGCCGGGTTACGGTAGGCAGGTGGGCACCTGCGTATCTAAGTAAACGAAATTTCGGCCGAACATAAAGCATAAAAGTCTCCCCAAATCCTTTTAAATATTACACAACACACTGTAGTAACATTCTAAAAAGTTTTCACACCAACATCTAAAAAAAGAAAAATGTTAAAAATCGTCAACCCCGACCAACCCTGGCCGCCAAGGGCCAAGTTGCGCGCGTTCGGAGTGAAATCTCGAGTTGTTAGGTTTAGAAATTCTAACTTTTTTTTGTGGCATTGTGTAAAGCATACTGAAGAGCATATTCCATGAAAGCAATCACGATGCGATTCTATGCCGACGGCCAGGGTGACCGAAAAACCGACTTTCCAAACACAAAAGTCACCGTAACTCGAAAATTCCTACAGTAACCCGGCATGGCATGTACTGTAAAAGTTTCTGAAATTGGATTACCTATCGATTGATGTATCACTTGCCTAGTAAAAACTTTTCAATACTTAGATACGCAGGTGCCCACATGCCTACCGTAACCCGGCTACAGTAGGAGGAAATGGCTCAAAAAGTTGTGTCCGCATTACTGATGATGGGTTATCACACTGGATGAAGTTTCATCAGAACCAAAAAATAAAATTTTTTATTGTACCCGTTGTTTTTGACAGTTACAGAGAGCGTGTTAAACACTTTCAAAACCAACTTTTTCGCCAGCAGAAACATCAAAAAGCCTCATATTTCGACATGAGGGAAAAGCTCAAAAAATCGAGCCGTTTCAAACAGGCGTCCCGTCCGGCCGTTGTTTAATAGCCAATGTTATCTGATGCCCGTTCTCTTTCTTCTCACTTCCGTACTTTGAGAGATGGACTAAACTAATAGAAAAAAGGCGAGAACACATGGGTTTTGTTGTGCTTTGAAATGGGTTATTTCGACCAATCCAATCTCGTTTTTTGAAATTTCTTTTCCTTGTCCTTTCAAGGCTTGGTTTTTCTAGATTTCCTTTTTTTTCTCTGTTCAAATTTGAATCGATTTCATAAAGAAAAAATCGTCAGAGTGGTCCCAATAGAGGTTAGGGAAAAAACAGCTTCTTTAGGGGGAAAAATCTGACTTCTAAGCACTTAAAATTTGAGTGGCCCCTAAACGGTTTTTTTCAAAATTTTTCCGTTCAATCCTTTATTGACATTTTTCATTCGAATTTATTAAGATTCGTAAGTTCAAAGAAAAAACGAAAAATACTCAGGCTCGAATACCACTTAGGCCCGAAAAAGTGGCCCCTGGAGGGGAATTTAAAGCTGTCCCTAGAGGGAAACCTTCAAATGTCTCTGTTTGCCACTATAGAGACTACCCTAAGCTTCATATGAAAAATAAGGGTAAAATTCATTTCAATTAAAGATTAGCACGAACTTCATGATTTAAAATATTATTTTTACTCATTTTTACTAATTTTCAAGCTTTTTCTCAAATTTAATTCCAAATATTCCGTTCTAAACATTATTCCAGTCCTAAATTTCGACTTATTCCATTTTTCTGTCATTTTTTAAAAATGAAAAACTTTACAGAAATCCAAAAAAATGAGAAGTTTCCTGAATTTTCTCCTTTTAACAAGTTTTTCCTTGGCTTCCCCGCCCGAAGTCCGACTCATGAATGATTTATTGGCTGGTTATGTGAAGGTTTATCTTTTCTATTCAAAAGATAGTTTCATTTTTGAATTTTTTCCAGGAAGAAAGACCGGTCTTGGATTCGAATAAACCGGTTGTCGTCACGTTGGGCATCGCTTTGCAGCAAATCATCAATTTGGTTCGTTTTAAATAACATTTTACATTTTATAAGCCTTATAAAAAACAAAAATATTATTCATTCAAAAAAAAAAGTTTCAGAACGAGAAAGAAGAGCAATTGGAAGTGAACGCGTGGCTCAAATTCGCTTGGCACGACGAAAATTTGCGTTGGGAGCCGACAATTTATGAAAATGTGACGGATCTGCGGCATCCAGCCGATACACTGTGGCAGCCCGACATTTTATTATACAATAGGTAAAATAAAAATAAGAAAAATTAAATAAAAACAATTTTAAAAAAATGTCCAAAAATTTTGAAAAATTTGAAATTTTCGCACAAACGCGCTCGACTGAGAATTAAAGATTACTGTAGACTAATTTGCTTAGGAACGCTAGAGTGGTCACTAGGAAGGGAAAAAGGGCCTATAGTGGACAAAATAGTGCTCCCTATAGGGTTAAACTTAAAGTGGTCCCTATAGGTGATTCATATCAAGGGTTTAGAGCTCAAGTGGTCCCTATAGTGGTCTTTTAATTTTTTTTTTTTTGGTTTGGAAAAACGCTAGAGTGATCCCTAGAGGGACGGCTTAAGAGGCTTCTGTAGATTTTCCTCAAGGGACCGCTTTACTTCCTTCTTTGGGGAGGAATGAAGCTTTCATAAGTGGTCACTTCAGGGGTTTTAGTAAGTGGTCACTCTAGGGGAGAATTCTAGCGATATTTTTATGACGTTTATTTTTCAAACATCGACTTTAGGCAAACAGCATTCTCCCCCCTATATTGGCCACTTTTGCAAGCTTTAGTGCCCATGTAGAGCGAGGCGAAGTGGTCCTTTAAGGGAACCTCCAAAGGGCCCTAAGAATGCCCTCTAGTGACCACTCCGGCCTTCCAAAGACCTCAATATAATTTCCAGTGTCGACTCGGAATTCGACTCAACCTACCGCGTGAACTTGGTCAACTATCACAATGGGCTAATCAATTGGGTCCCGCCGGGAATTTTCAAGGTTATTTTTTTGTCCCAAGTCCCAAGCTCGATTTCAGGTCTCCTGCAAGTTGGACATCTACTGGTTCCCGTTCGATGAACAGACATGCTTTTTCAAGGTTTTTTTCATTTTTTTTTTTTGTTTTCTTGAAATCAAAACTTCAGTTCGGCTCATGGTCTTTCAGCCGTGACAAGATTGAGCTTCAAGTTGGAGATTTCGACTTTTCAGAATTTATTCCCAACGGCGAATGGATCATTTTGGGTAAGGGAAACCTTCAGAAAATACATTTTTTTAAAAAGGAGATTTCAAAAAAATCATAGTCAATGTTTCCCGACTTGAAAGGCGAGGGAGGCTTGGCAGGGGGCGGGACGCGTAGCGTGTGCGTACGCGGTTTTTTTGGCACGTGTTCAATTCAACCGCCAGCGACTATTTGAAGAGCTCGTTTTTTTCGCTCCTTTCACTCCTTTTTTTATTATTTATTGATTTTTTTCTATGTGCGCATCAAAAAAATTAGTAGAAAATACAGAGAAAGAGTGGTGAAGCTTTTAAAAAAATTAATTGAATTGAACTGGCGCCAAAAAAACCGCAAACGCACACGCTACGCGTCACGCCCCTTGCCCCGCCTTCATCGCCTTTCAAGTCGGGAAACAATGACTTTAGGTCTACATCCGAGAATTCAGATTATTTTGTTCCTTACCCCTTAAAACTTGGCAGAAACTGATTTCATAAATAAAACGGATTTTTTCGGTGAAACTTTACGGAGATACTTTTTGATATTTTTCAAAGCCGAGTCCCGCCCAGGTCCCGAAAAAGTTGGCCCGAAGCCCGGGTTGGTCCAACCTGAAATTTTCGATAAGATGATTGCCTAGGAAAACGGCTTCGCGCCGCGACGCACTCGCCTTTTTCTTGGCGCGACATCGCACATTTCTTGCAGTCACCTCAAAACAAAAAATTGAGAATGCGATGTCGCGAAAAGGGAAAATACAAGAATGGCGCGGCTCCAAAACAGCGTTATCGCAAATATACCGCGACCTCGATTCCGGCAGTTCTTCTTAATGTCTCGGGCTTCTCTGATTTTCGTTTATTCCGGTTTGAGGGGTTGATAGTTATGAGTATATAACGACACTGAGAAAAACTGCCTAGATATACTTGATGTCGCTGGCAGTACATTGACGATAACGCAAAAGCGCTGAGTTGGAGTCGTGATCCGTATTTTTGCTAGACGCGACATCGTGTTTCTCTTGCAATCAAAAATATGAGGAAGACTTTCGCAATGTAGCCAATATACCGCGATATCGCATACATCTCGCATGTTTTACTGAATGTTACCTTCTCCGGAACTGAGAATAAATGCCTAGAGGAAAGCGATTTTGCTGGCGGTCCATTGACGACATCGCAATGGGACTGCTTTGTACTCGTCATTCGCATTTTTTCTTGGCGCGACATCGCGTTTCTCTCGCACTAAAAAAACATGAGGAAATGCAAGACTTTCGCAATGTCGCCGAGGTACCGCGATATCGCGTTTATCTCGCACGTTATACTGAATGTTACCTTCTGCGGAACTAAGGATAATTGCCTGGAGAAAAGCGATGTCGCTGGCGGTTAATCGACGACAACGCAGAAGCGCTGCTTTATAGCTCTGTTTCGCATTATTTTGGCGCGACATCGCGTTTCTCTCTCACTCAAAAAATATGAGGAAGACTTTCGCAATATCGCCAAAGTACCGCGATATCGCATTTGTCTCGCACATTATACTCAATTTTACCGTTTTCAGGCCACAAGGCAAACATCACGGTGAAGCAGTACGAGTGCTGTCCGGAAAAGTACGAAGACGTCACTTTCACGCTTCATCTTCGCCGTCGGACCCTCTACTACGCCTTCAACCTGATCATGCCCGTCATGTTGACCATGGTCCTTGTCGTCCTGGGCTTCACCGTCAGTCCGGAAACCTGCGAGAAGATCGGCCTCCAGGTGAAACATATTCTCAGACCTCGGTAACGCGACAAAAACTCGGGACATCTCTAGGGGTCACTTAAGGGTACTGATGCCGCTCCGGAGTCCGGACGTTTTTGAGCTGGTCCAGGGATCCCTTAAGGGTTCTCACGGCGCTCAGGGCGTTTCTGAGCGATTCTAGGGATCACTTAAGGGTATTGCCGCCGCTCCGGACGTTTCTGAGAAGTTCTAGTTGTCACTCAAGGGCTCTGACGCCGCTCCGAATGTTACTGAAAATTTCTAGGGGTCACTTAAGGGTACTGGCAATGCTCCGGACGTTTCTGAGCAATTCTAGGGATCACTTAAGAGTTCTTACGCCGCTCCGGACGTTTCTGTACATTTCTAAGGATCACTTAAGGGTGCTGACGCCGTTCAGGACGTTTCAGAGCAGTTCTAGTGGTCCTTTAAGGGTACTGACACTGCTCCGGAAGTTTCTGAGCAGTTCTATGGATCACTTAAGGGTTTTTACGCCGCTCGAGACGGCTCTGAACGGTTCTAGGGATCACTTAAGGGTACTGGCACCGTTCCGGACGTTTCTGAGGATCAAATTCTTCAATTCTCATTGAAACAGCAAACATGAGCACTTTTTCAGATCTCCGTTTCTTTAGCGATCATGATTTTTCTGACCATGATGCACGCCCAAACGCCTCAGACCTCAGAAGCCGTGCCATTATTAGGTTTTTGAGCAATAAAGTCCCAAAAAATTTGAGTTTGAGGCGTCTTTTTCCACATTTGCAACGCGATTTCCGTCTTGGCCACTTCTTTCACGGTTTACGTGCAAAGTTATCACTTCCGGAATCATCAGGTCCAACATCGGATGGGTTTTTGGGTGAGTTTGGAGGAAAATCTGGCTTTTAAAGAAAAATAATGGGAAAAAAATGAAAAAAATGCGTCCGTATTTAAAAGAATAAAGAAAAAAATTTGGGAGTTTTCAGAAATTTTCAGCTTTCCTTCCGATATTTCATGAACTTACTGTTTCAGAATTCGGTTTTTATCAAGCTTGAAAATATTTTTCTTCAATTCTGCTATTGCATCGATAAATTTCAAGGATTTTTTTGAAAAAAAGATAAGCTGTTTTCCATACTATCCTTTTTCAGTTAAGACTTGCGATAGATAAAAAAACAATGTAAAAAAAAATCGAACTCTAAACTCAGATTTCGTTCCAACTTAGCTTAAAAATACCATTTTTTGCACCAAAAAAGGCAGATTTTTCGATTAGAAACATGAAATTTGTGACATTTTGCAGATGCGCTACACTTTACTGGAATGGGCGCCCTGGTTCCTGCGGATGAAAATGCCGAAAAGGGAAAACACTCTGGAAACTCTGAAACAGAGCTGGAGCGAGCGGAAACGACGCGATTCCGACGCCAGAACCGCTTTTGAATATGTTTTCTTCGAATAAAGTCACAGGAAGTTCAAAAATAATAATTTTAGACCGATGGGACATCGAAACTGATGCAAACCATGGGAACAGCCATGCAGCAAAACTTTGAGAGCCTCGTTTTTCATGTCAAACATGTTCAGGTTGGTCAATAGAATTTGAAAAAAAATGAAAAAAATAAACCTTTTAAGCTTGAAAAAATCTTAACAGTCTATTTGATTTGAAAATCCGCTCAAACGCTGTCTCTGTAATTTTCCAAGTTTTCTCAAAAACACGGCGTTCCCCAACGGTGTGGGGAGACGTCAAAAAAATTTTGGCGCGAAATCAAAATCTTGAATACGCAGCCAAATGTATTGTTCATGCCGTTGAATACTCAGTTTAGTTTGCAACGATAGGTAGCTGTGACGTCACAGTCCTTTTATCCGAACCGCGCACTTGCTTTTTTTGTAAATTCAGAAACTTTGACGCCTCCCACACCTTCCCTCATTCCATTAGGAATGCCGTGAAAAGTACAGGAAAATTTTTTTCTAATCGATTCTGATGAATTTTCAACCAGTATCATCATATAAAGTCAGTATTGGGGACGCAAATTTTTGAACCATTTCCTCCAACCGTAACCGCGTTACGGTAGGTTCCTGGGTATCTAGTTTTCTTTAGGCAAGTTGTATATCAATCGATAGGTAATGCAATTTTAGGCATTTTTCAGTTTATATCATTTTTGGTTACTGTAGAAATTTCGAGATACGGTACTTTTTGTGTTTGCGATTTTGGTTTCATGGTCATTATGCTCACCATAGTCATTTACCGTGGAAGTTTTTTAGATCATTAGCTAGGCCTTTAACCTTTTTTTAATGTCTGAACTTTTGCTGAAAATTGTTTTGATCGGAACTACTATCCATAAACTTTTTTTTCTGTACCCGTTTTTTTTGAAAATTACAAAGACGTCGTGTTAAGCTCTTGATTAACATTCCTGACAGTTGCTGCAATTTTCAACTTCGAAGTTTTGTTTTTTTTTTTTTTGAAGTTGGCGTTCATCACCCGCTCACACCTACGGATACCCATGTTTCGTAACTTTTAGAAAATCATACTTCAAAAACTAAACGTTTTCACAGGTAGCCACTATCAAGAATCTTAATCTAGAGTTTTTTTCAAGAATATTCAAAATTCAAAGAGTTTTTTTCAAGAATATTCAAAACGTGAAGTAAAATGACTTCGTTGTCAGAAACTCTGGAAAGATCGTATTTCTGGTCGTGGGGAAAGCCACGCTTCAATCCAACCTCTGATATTCAAAAAAAAAAAAACTATTTCAGAGACCCGAAGAAAATCGAAACGTGGAACGGCTTCGCGTTCTGCAGAAGATCTACGAGCACGTCAAGGTTTGAGGAAGTGAAGGGAAAATCCAGGGAAAATAAAAACTGAGCTTAGCCTTCAAAGGATATACTTGAAATGAACTTCGAACCGCAACTCAAGAGAAGGAAATGAAGAAAATGGAAGAAGACTTAACAAAAAGAAGTTGTAGATGATCCGAGAGCACGACGACGACTCCGAGGAGGACAGACACGTCGCCTTGGAATGGAGATTCGCGGCCATCGTCGTCGATCGTCTCGCTCTTTTCGCCTTCACTATCATCATATGCATTGCCACTGCAGTTATTGTCATCCGTGCACCTTATTTCTTCGCTTAAGTGATCACTTGGGATCTCCAGATGACACTTACGTACAGTCTGTTCAGATGTGAACCTTCAATTCGTCATCCCACAAGCTCCGCCTCTTTTCCGCGATGAGCCAATCAAATCAAAAGTAGCTTTTGAATGACATCATTGAGCTTGACGATCCTTTAATATGCATTGCTACTGCAGTTACTGTCACCCGTGTAACGTATTTTTTTTGCTTAAGTGATCACTTGGGATCTCCAGATGACACTTACGTACAGTCTGTTCAGATGTGAACCTTCAAGTCATCATCCCACAAGCTCCGCCTCTCTTCCGTGATAAGCCAATCAAATGGATTCAAATGACGTCACTGTGCTCGACATTTCCACAAAAATGATAGTCCTCTTTCGCGACTTGAACTTCTCTGCGCCCTCCTCGCCTCTCATTTTTACGTGCTATTTCCATGTTTCTCTGACCTCGCCGGTGAGAGAACAGAGAGACGCAGACACTTTCAAGTCGCGGAGGATGGACTATAACTTGATGCTCTTTTTGTGCAGTTTTCAATCGAAATTCGAAATTAAGTGACTTTACAGATTCTGGCTCCCTTCATCTAGTTCCTAAATTTTTATTTTTATCACACGTTCCAAAGGTTTATCATTACTTGCTGAGCTTTTTTACGGGTTTCCTTAGTAACTTTACAGTTTTTTGAATATTGGCTTGATCCGCTGCTCATATCAATAAATCGTTATCAATTTACACAAAGAAGTTCGTTTTTCTCGCTTTGAATAGTTTCGTTGAACTCACTCAAGAGGGTGAAAACGTGAAATCGGAGACGATTTGCGTGGTTTTTCTCACAAGTATCACTTCTGGGGTCTCAAAGTGAAGAAAAACTACGCCATGTTGTCGGAAAAATTATTTCTTGGATAATTTTTTGATAGAAAGCTCTATGGAATGCATTTGGATGAAATACTGATGATCAAGTTTTAACCATGAAAGTTTCTTTTTTTAAAAGCTGAGTTCATAAATTATGAGGAGCGACTCAAAAAATCACTTAAGTGTCCCCTAAGCACTTGAAAAATCGACCTAAAACCCTTAAGTGATTCCTGAAAAAACTCAAAATCCCCTTCCAGTAAGCGAATCTTCACTATTCAATCTACAATCAACCCCAAATTCAAGTGATCCCTAATATCCTCAAAAATCGGACAAAATCCCTTAAGTGATCCCTAAGATTTCAAAAACACTCTTTCGGTAAGCGAATCTCCACTATAATATTTTCAATTGACCCAAAATTCACTTAAGTAATCCCTAAAACCTTCAAAAATTGGACGAAAAACCCTTGAGTGATCAAAGCAGTGCTCATTAGAGTGAAACCTTCAGGTGCCCCTTTAGGGACCCCTTTGGCGTTCCTGAGACTACTAATTATAAATTCCAATGAAAAAGTAGCCAAAACCCCTCTTTCAATCGGCTCAAGGAGCACAAAGCTCATGGAAAATCGGCTCAAACACCGCCGAGTTTCCTTACAAGGACACTCCGCCCCCCTAATCCACGCCGGAAACTCTCTGGCGAAATTCGTTTTTCGTCGCGAGACCCGTCCCCCGAGTGCCTTCTTTTTGGAGATTTGACTGCAAAAACTTGATTGTCTTTCAAATTGCCATGTCTCCGGCCTACTGAATGACCGCGAATTTCCTCTTTTTCGTGTCCTTTTTGTTCTCTCGGATTCAATTTGGGGATTATGCTCCGTTCAAAGCCTTTTGGGTCCTAAAAAAAGTTTTATCCTTCAGAGTGCATTAAGTTCAGAAAAAGGTCAATTTCCGAGAGATTTCCTCAAAAATTCGATCATTTTCATTTTTATTCAATTAGAATTTTTCAAAAGTTTATTCTCCCACAATTTTTTTAATTATTTTTTTGAAATATTTTTTTAACCTTCAAGTTTATCTTTTAAGCATCAAACTCTTTTTCCAAAATTGAATCACAATTTCAAACCTCGCCGATCTTTGCTTTTTCTCAACCAAACTCCTCAAGTGTCCTTGAAATTACGAAAAGAGGCTTGAAATTGTTTTTCAGTCGCTCTTGTTTTCTGAAAATAGCTTGAAAATTTAATCAATAACCAAGGATGTTTTTATTCAATCATACGCGTTAAAAAGATATTATTGTTAATAATAAAAGATACATCTTTAGAATAATATTTTTTTCATTAAGGATATCCCCTCTGACTGGACTTGAAAGCAAAAATCCCTTACAAACATAAAAAAATAAAAAGAAAATTTGGAAAAAAATTTGGAATTTTTTTCTTGGTACGACATTCCGCCCGAACGATTGTCAATAGGGCGCGAATGATGTCTTTCTTTTTAAAGAAACAAGTCAACTTTTATTTTTTGTTTCATTTTTTTTTTCTTTTTTTAACTCGAAAACGCTGCTTTTTCATTTTTATGTGAAATTAAGAACTTTAAATTCTTCAGCTCGAAGTTTTATTTGTTATAAATATAGTCTCCATTTTTATTTTTCTCAAACCATCGAAACAAAATGTTTCGTTACCCCTTCTTCACTTTTCGCAAATTGCCGATCCGAGAAAAAGCTAGGTGTCCTGAAACTCATTCCACTTCTTCTCGAACCCAACGAGAAAAATCTGGTCGAGAAAATTGAAAGAAAAGGGGCCAATAATTCAATTGTGGGATGTTTCCGCCGGAGGTTCCCATCTTTCGGCCCTTTTACTGGATTTTTTCTTGAATTTTTTCTGTTTCGTACAGTTGAGGTTTGCTAGAAACTTTGTTGGAGTCGGAAAAAGTGGAAAAAAATCACACAGACGGGGGGATTTTTCGCGGCTCGTTGATCACAAGTTGATGGATGAATTGGTCAACCGTCGGAAGTTTCACAATAATATTTTGTCTGGAGTTCAGGGTTATTTGCGGTGGGAAATGAGTGATTGGCTCATCAATAATCCATCAATCAGCTCGAGTTTTAAGTCCGCTGATCTTTGAAAAATAATAGAGGTTTTGGAAGTGGTCAATTTTGTTCTTCCTTGATAGCTTCTAATTTCTATTGATAAATTAAAGGTGCATAGACAAATTTGATACGGGTTTCGAGGCGAAAACCCATTTTTAGGGATGTTTCAGCCCACAATTATTTATAGGGGCAACCTCAGGAGCCCTAGGTTCCCTTGAGGGACCACTTTAAAGTTTAAGGGCCCCTGTAGGGACTGTTTTCTCCCTAAACCCTTTAGGGACCACTCTAGAGTTCCTCAGTAGAACTTTTTTTGTACTTAAAAAAATTTCAACTTAATAAAATGCAACATTTTTTTGGTCGATGGAAAATTCCTTGAAGATCAAAGGCTCCAGAGTGGTCCCTAGAGGGTATAGGCGAAAAAGTGGTCCCTATAGGGATCTTTAAACTTTTTCCTACGTTTTGAAACTGAAATTGAATACATTTTTTCATAATTTTACCTTAAACCAGGTTTTTTTTCATTTTTTCCGGAACCCAAAGAAACGAAAATTGGGTCGGCTGATGGTGAATGATGGGCTTTTCCATACATCATAAAACTTGTTTATTGCCTTTTCGTCCACATTTTTCATCAGGATATGAAAAAGATGAAGCTTCGAAGCTTTGAAATAACTAACCAAAAAAAATTTTATAGTTTTTTTCGTGGATTATAACTTTGAGGTTTTTTTTCAAGTACTTTTTTAAAGGCTCTTTTTGTCAGGATTTAAAGGCATCTATTAATTTTCAAAAAAAAAAGATAAGAATTTTTTCAATTTTTTTGACTTTTTTTGAATTTTTGGTTAGCTAAGGGTAGCATTTCATTCAAAAGTACGTTGAAAATGGTTTTTCACGTTTCAATTTTTCCTCGCAAGACCTGAAACAACGCTGATAAGAGCTTTTCGCTTTGAGACCTTTTTCAGAATAAACTGAAAAAATAACATTCTTTTCCATATTGAGACATTGAAACAGGAACTTCCAATGATTCCTTTTCTTTTAATTTTCGAAGAAATTCTCGAATTCTTGAAGCTATTTTTGTATGAACTTCCTTTTTCTCAATTAAAAAAATGAATTCTATTTTTATTTTTGATGAATAATAGCAAGTTAATGGATTTAAAAGCTATAGCGCAGTGCGGAGGCTCTCCACTATCAATTTGACATCGAGGGTTCAATCCCCGGCGGGGTAATTCTTTTTTGCAGATGATTTTTATCGATTGATTTTGGAAAATTCAACTTTTTCATCAAATTTATGGCTCTTTTTTGAATTTTCAAAGCTCATAAGCCTAAAATAACCCTTAAAAGGGCTCTTCCCTGCAAGAGATTTTTATGAAGCCTGCCTATGCGCCTTTAAATCCGACCACTAAAACAATTGAAAATGATCGAACTATCAAGAAAAAGCCGCTGTTCGCCCGCAATGTTACACCCCGAAACGCCTCAGGGAACTACCACCAATCTCAGTTTTCATTCATCTCGAAGCAAAATTTCGTCCCATTGGTCCCTCTTTTTTATCCCAGAGCTCAAATTTCATCTCTTGCTACTCCACTTTACAATTAAACTTTTATGAGAGCTTCAAAAAAAGTTTTCACACGAAAAAAGTGAAATTTGAGCCTTGGTAACGCTGTTGATAATGAGTCAGTTTCCGAAAAATGAAACGATTTTTTTTAGTTTTCTTTCAATTTTGACGTTGGAACTTCCTTTTCGGATCTTTTTTGAATCATACGGTTTCTGTCACGTTTTTATCACATTTTCGAACTTAACTTTCTTTTTTTTTCGTGGTAAACTTGGCAAATATTAATTACCAAGTTCGATTTTTCGGAAATTCCAAGCCTTCAGTGATAGGAAAAATTTTGTCCTTGGAGCGCAAATGATGACATTTGAGCGGGCTATTTCTTCCCAGTGTTTTCGGAAACTCTTTCGAGGCAAAAAATAATAATCAAATTTTTTTTTAGCTTTTTTTAAATTTTCTCCATAGAGCGCACATGTAAAGGGTAGGTGAGGCTATTTTTTTCACAATAAAATAGAAATTTTTTTCACTTTTTCTTGAGTTTTTCTCCTTGGAGCGCACATGTGAGGGTTAAGAGAGGCCATTTTTTCACGATTATAAAAATAAATTTTCCTATCATTTTTGAACTTTCTCCCTAGAGCGCACATTCCAGGACTTAGTGTGGCTATTTTTTTTTCCACTTGAGATGTTCTCCCTAGATCGCAAATGTGAGGGTTCAGAAAGGCCATTTTTTCACAATAAAATAAAAAAAATTTCTTTTTTTATTTTTTCATTTTTCTCCATAGAGCGCATTTGTGATGGCTCAATAAGGCCATTTTTTCACAATAAAATCAAAAAAATTTTTTTTCATTTTTTCATGTTTCTCTATAGAGGGCTCAGTAAGGCTATTTTTTTATTCCACTTCTCCACAGAGCGCACATGTGAGGGTTCAGAGAGGCCATTTTTTTCACTAATATAAAAAAATAGATTTCTCTATCATTTTTGAGTTTTTCTCCATAGAGTGTACATGTAAGCCCATTTTTCCCAATATTTTCTCAAAATTGAAAAAAATAAATAACTCTTGCGGATTCACTCCGCGGACATGCGCCCTATCGGACATGTCGCCGTTCTGATAACCGTATCTCTGGCGCCCTCTCGATATCCCACGCTCTCTCGCTGTCGTCGTCGGTTCCCCAGAGCATATTGAAGACGTGGCGAGCATCTCCGTCATCAATTGTTTCCGCCACTCCCCTCATTTTTTTTTTCTTGGTCCTTTTTTTGGTCGTTCTACCCGTTCCATCGGAGGTTCTCATCTTGATTTTCCGGACTTTTTTTTTTTCTTTATTTCCGAAGGCTTGAGTTTGAGCGGCCCATGGGGATTCACTAATTGAAGCTTTTAAGCTTCCTAGGAGGTACTTCTTGAAACTTTTGATTTTCTTTCTATTTTTCTTTTTTTTTGAAGAGGTACTCCTTGAAATTTGGTTTTTTTTTTTTTGAATTTTCGTTAAGTTTAAGAAAAATTTAGTGTAGTTCTGAGTTAACCAAGTAGTTTTTTTAAGAATTAAATTTTTATGATTTTTTTAATTTTTATACTTTTTCTGAACGACGGGTAGTGGACTCATATGCATCAAACTGCTGAAATTCTAAAATAAAAAAATATTGAAAAAAATCCAATTTTTTTGTTTTTTTATCCTTAGAAGCTTCCTATCAAGTATCTCTTGAAAATTTGAACTTTTTTTGATGCTTTTTTTGAAAAAAAGTTCATTCAAAAACCACTTAGATAAGCTTCAAAACGCGTCCGAAAAAAAAGATCAATAAATTCAAGAAAAATGACCTGAGCTCGAATTTCTGATAAATAACTAGTTTTTATAAATATTTTTTGCCAAAATTAAGCATTTTCAGAAAATTTACTATGAAATAAACTTTTGGCCATCTTTTCGAAAATCGAATATTTTTCGAAAAGGTTTAATTACTAGTTCGTGGAAACTGAGACTTGACTTTAAAAAAATTCTTTTTTTGTCCGTTTTTTTCGTAACACACTTTCAACTTCTTCTTCTTCAAACAAAAAGTATATGATCATTAAAAAAATTCCAAGTTTTTAAATGGGAGGAAATGGCGCCTTGACAGCCGTTCTCAACGCGGAACACTTGTCAGCCCAATGCTCAGAGCTCATTTTTCACCTGAACCTATTCTTTTGCCTACCAATTTCCATGAATCGCTACGATTGTGTTGTTTATTATGAAATCTCCAGTCGGTTTCGTAAAAGTTTGAATTTATCAATTTTTTTTGAAAAAAAATGATAATAACTTATTAAAACTGGATTTTTTTTTGTTATAAGCAGATCATACAAAAATTTTGGAATATGCATATTCAAAAAAAAAATGTGAAAGAGACTCCGAAAAATTGAAAAAAAGTTTGCAAAACGTTGTATTTTGAATTTTTTTCGTCATGCGAACTTGCGTCGCGGTGCACAGAAAACATCTGACCTTACGACACTTTTTCGTTTTTCAGATGTTCTTTATAAAGAACAAAGTTTTTTCCTTTTTTTTCTATTTTTCATTATATTTTTTTCCTTTCACAATTTTTTTGACCAAATGTAAAGCTATCTAGTATTGATTTGATTCGAGAATTTTCTGATCTTCGCGCATAGTCATAATTGATGGAATTCTCAAGGTGAAAGGCCTTTTCAGTGTTTTTTTTTAATAGTTCAAGCCGTTCAGCGATTTCACATTTTTTTTAAATGTTATTTTAGATGAAAGGAGTATTCGAAGCGATTTCAAGCATTTGCGCCAAAAGTGCTGCGAATCGCATCGTTTCCTGTTGTAAAACATTAACGTGTTCAAATGGAGATTGTGTAACACATTAACGGGAATAAACAGAGAATGCTCATCAATTTTTGCGTGTCCGTTGGAGCGGCCTTTGTCTTTGATTAAAAGCCGAACACGTGCCGGAAAGGCGAAGAAGAAGAAGAAGAAGAAGTGGAGCTGAAATCCACTCGAGCAGCTTCCGGATACCGTGGGAAACCCAATTTCCTTTTGTTTTTTGTCCGGCCAAAGTGTTTTTTGTGGATGAATGGTACAGTGGGAGGAAGTTAATTTTGAAATTTTTGAGCCGGGGAATTATTTTTAAGGTCGTTTTTTGCTATTTCTTTTTGTAAAGTGATTTTTTCTTGGGATGGCCTTTTCTTTTAACGGCTTATTTTGTATTTCGAGAAGTTTTAATACAAATTTTAGATAGAACTCCGGGTTATTATTTTTTTTAGATACTGTTTTTCTATCATCTTTTCCCATTTTTTTTTTTCGAATTTTCTGGTTCAGTCAATTTTCGAAGCATGATAATTCAAAACGTGCTTTATCTGAAGTTTGAAAAAAACAGTTTCCTTTTCAAACTTCTGAGAAAAACTTTCCGATTCACCTTTTTTGTTGATAAATATCTTCTTTTTATTACTGATGGGCTCATAAAACCTATCTTTTATTTGAAAACTCGTTTTCAGGTCCATTTTGAGAAGTATTTTCATTAGAAGCTCTGCGGAAGTTCCCTTTTTTCACAATTTTTTGTTCGTATTCTTTTTTTGACTCGTTCGGCTTGTTTCTTTTAACAAAATCGACTTATTGATGTTTGAAATACCGCTTTCCATGGATGAATCTTTTCTTGAATTCCTGTCTCTCTTAGATTATTTTTTTCTCTCATACTTATTTTTCAATTTTATCCTTGTACCGTATGCAATGAATAAAGTTATTATTATTATTATAATTATCATAAATATTATTATTATACGTTTTCTCAGAATTCTCCCGATAATTTTCTGAAGTCCGAGGATTTCAACGTGGAGATAAAGTGCATGGTCGGCGACTGAATGATCGCCGAATGGCGTCGGGACGCGCGGTCGCTGGCCTCGTCGCCCTGCTCGCCTTCCTGCAGCCTCTCCAGGGCTCCTTTCAGGTTTCAATCATTCACGAAGTGTTGGACAAGGATGCGAAACGCCTTCTCAAGGCGTCTTTTTTTGAAAATAGAAAATTCGGCGCTGGTCTGCAATGCGCCGTCGGGTGTATGCAGACGAGACTTTTTTTTCACGCCATTTTTCGAAATTTCATCATTTTTCCTTTTTTTTTATTTTTGTATTAGTATTGTAGTACATAATTTTCATTATACTGCCATTTTTTTTTATAAAAAAAGGATCTCGCCAAATTTGAACGGAGCTCTTCGAATCATAAAAAAAATTTTTAATTAAAAAAATTCATTTCAATTTTTTTCTGAATGTATGTTTCCCAATAGCTGCTTTTTTCATTTGCGCATCGAGCCATTCCAAATGCGACCAGAATTTTTCCCAAAAAAAAAAAATTAGGAACGGCGACTCTATGAGGACCTCATGCGCGACTACAACAATCTCGAGCGGCCCGTTGCCAATCATTCGATGCCGGTTACCGTATTCCTCAAGGTAGCACGGGGATACTGTAGACATTGTAGCGAGAAATTCCCTTAAGGTCTCCCTGCAACAGATCATTGACGTCGATGAGAAGAATCAGATCGTCTACGTCAACGCCTGGTTGGACTATGTCAGTAGTAATCCCCTACAGTGACCCCGAAAAAAGTATACTGTAGACGTGGAACGACTACAAGCTGGTCTGGGACACGGCCGAGTACGGTAACATCACGGATGTCCGATTTCCGGCTGGAAAAATCTGGAAACCCGACGTCCTCTTGTACAACAGGTATCAAGGGGGAATGACGCAGTTGGGGAAATTGGATTTGTCTTGAGAAAATGAGGTTGAGATGAGGGGGAGAAAAGATTGAGCTGGAGGACTTGCTCTGGAAGAAGACCACCTTGTTGAGAAGAAAAAAAAATGTTTTTTGATTTCGAATTCGAGAAAAGTTGAGCATTATGGCTTAACGTTAAGGGAAATAGGGTATAGCTGAATTTTTTCAAAAAGGACTTTTAAAATGCTTCAAATTTCTTACGTATATTCGATAAAATGCGTAGAAATCAAAAAAGATTGAAGCTTTTTGAAAAATAATTTTTTAACTCTAAAAACCAAGAAAAAAGTTAAATTTGTCAATGGAGCGCAGAAACTTGTATTTTCGAGCCTTTCAAGCGTTTTCTTGTATTTACGTTCAGAAAGATCAGGAAAATGTGTGAAAAATGTGCAAAAATGCGAAATGAAATTTTTTCCGAGGGTTACGGTATGTTTAAGTCCACATTTGGCGTGTGCGTGTTTGCACATTTTGATTTTTTCAATCTTCGCGGTTTCTTAATCTTTTTTTTAGATCCGATTCAACTGTTACCTTTATTTTCAATCCATTTCGATAAAATGTAGAAAAAACTGAAAAAAAAACGCGTAGATCGTACCACAAAATGTGCAAACACGCCCACGCCAAAATGCGGACTTTCACATACAGTACTCCTCGGTAGAAGGAGGACTCGCCCTTGTCTCCGAAATGAGTAACTTGCTTCAAAATTAACTGCGAATCTTCCTGAACTCACGGAAACGGTCAAAAATGGGGAAATCAAAGCTTTTTTGAAACTAGACCATCTTTATAACTAGAAAGAATTTTTTCTCAGCGTGGACACAAACTTCGATTCGACATACCAGACCAACATGGTGGTCTACTCGACGGGAGATGTTCACTGGGTCCCGCCGGGAATCTTCAAAATCTCCTGCAAAATCGACATTCAGTGGTTCCCCTTCGATGAGCAGAAGTGCTTCTTTAAGGTAACCCAAAAAAAAAAAACGATCCAGGAACCAAAAAAGGGTCTTCCGTATTCAAATAAAAAGCAATGAGAATCGTAGAAACCAAAAAACCCTCGATAGGGCTCGAACCAGGATCCCTTTGACCATCAACTATTCCCTTAGCCACTTGACCAAGCTCTTCAAGTTGGGCTCCTGCGCCTTTTCGATATCAGACCCGGAATCAGTATGAAAAGTTAAAACTAGTGAGGCTAGTCTCTTTCAAAAAATAGTTCCGACCGTTTTTCGGTCGGCAGGACTCGAACCAGGGTCCTTCTGATCATCAGCTAATCTCTTAGCCACTTGACCAAGCTCATCAAGTTGGGCTCCTTAGCTTTTTTGATGTTACATCCGGAATCGGAATGAAAAGTTACAACCAGTGAGGCTAGTCTCATACAAAAATTTGGTCAGACCATTTTCTGGTCGTCAGGACTCGAACCAGGATACCTTTGACCATTAACTGTTCTCTTAGCCACTTGACCAATCTCCTTCAGTTCGGCTCGTGGACCTACGACGGCTACAAACTCGACCTGCGACCTTCGACCGGCGGCTTCGACATCAGCGAGTACCTTCCCAACGGCGAATGGGCTTTACCATGTTAACCCTCCCACCGTACCCGGCTACAGTACCCTTTCCTCGATTACAGTAACCACCGTCTCGCGAAACGTCAAGTTCTACGACTGCTGTCCGGAACCGTATCCCGACCTCACGTTTTACCTTCACATGCGACGTCGCACTCTCTACTACGGTACCCCCTACCGTAATCCAGCCCAAAGCTACAGTAACCCCTTGTTAAGGGTTCAATTTGATCATGCCGTGCATTCTGACAACGCTGATGACGTTGCTCGGGTTCACGCTGCCGCCGGACGCCGGCGAAAAAATCACACTTCGTTTGCCTACCGTAACCCCCTTTGGATTACTGTAGTTTTGTTGCAGAGATTACGGTATTACTGTCGATTTGCTTCTTTCTGAGTATCGTGTCGGACATGTCGCCGCCAACGTCGGAAGCCGTTCCGTTGCTGGGTTTGTTGGCTTTTTTCGCGGTAACATGAGCAATTATGAGAAGTTTGGGTCGGATTTTTTTTTCTATGAGTTTTGCGCATTTTCTAAACGTTTTTTTTTTCGAGTTTTTTGGATTTTTTCACAATTTCCAGGTGTTTTTCGGTTTTGCGCAGGTTTTTAGTGGTTATTTGTGCACGAAAAAGCGATTTTTGGCTAAATTTTTCATTATAGAACTTTAGGTATCTTCTTCACGTGTTGTATGATCGTCGTGACGGCGTCGACGGTGTTCACGGTCTATGTGCTCAATTTGCACTACCGTACCCCCTGAAACTCATGAAATGGGACCTTTGGTAAGGATTTTAACGATGAAAAAGTAAAAAAAAATTAAAATTTGATGAAAAAAACATGAAAAAAAAAATTCAAATTCAAAAAATAAGATTTAAAATGAGAAGCATGTTTCAAAAACTGAATTGAATATTTTTTTGATTTTTTTCTATTACGTGTATGATGTTGACCTAAAAAAATATTGGAATGAAATTTTTTTGAACTCAAAAAAATGCGCGAAAATTTAAGAATTAAACTTTTTAATGCATTTTTAAGAGAATTACAAAAAAATTCTTATTATTATTAATTTTCGGCAAGCTCGAAAGTTCGTTCGGTTCGATTTTTATAAAGCGTATTTTTTTAAAAATTTTTTTAAAAAGTGTGTGAATTTTTTTTAGGCTTTATTAAGAATTTAACGGTTTTTAAAGCCCTATTTTTTTCATCGTATGACCAGTTCCGAAGTCAATTTTTTTAAAGTTCCTAGTCCTTAAATTTACAAAAAAACTCATTTTTTCTGAATTGCGATATTTTTTTGCCAAGAAATCTTCTCAAACCTTCTTGAACTTTATTTCGCACTTGAAAAATGTCGATTTTACGTCAAATTTAAAAAGATTTTTCATGAAATTCATTAAAATAACGAAATCTCCTTTTTTTGGCTGCCCATATTTGGTTTTATAAAATTTAAAAATTAACCAAAAATCGAGAATTCTACAAATTTTTGGACTCTCAAACAGTTTTGAACTTAAAAAAACTTTAAAATAAAAAAATGGTCACTTTAAAAAAAAAACGACCGACTATCCAACATTCCAAACGTTTGAATGTCGATTTATGCTTTGAAAGTGATATTCTTTTTAATATTTTTAATATTTTTTTCAGTAGAACTGAGGTTTTTTTCATTAATAGCTTAACACTGGAACACCAACATTTGAAAACGTTTCAACGTTTTGACATTCTATTTTCGAAACGTATCTCTTCAAAGTTCGACACGACTCATTTCTTCGGAAAACTTGTTTTTTGCGAATTTCATTTCTACTTTCAGAGCATACTATTCAATAAGATCTCAAAACATTGATTTTTATTTTTGGGACTTTTTTTTTGGGGGCATCTTATTTTTCGGCTATGAAATCGTTAAAAAGATCTAAGTTTTGAAGATTTTTTGGGGTCTGATCCCTCAGCCCCTGAAGAGCAAGTGGTCCCTATGAAGGTCTTACAATTTTTGTTCAATTTGAAAATTAAAGAGACAAAATTGATCATTTTATGCTTTTTTGATATTTTTCATTCAAAAGTGCACTCAAAAGAGCGTGAACAATGTTTATAACAGTATCGACTTTAATGCCTCTAAAGGGACCACTTTCGAAACCCCTTCAGGGAGCACTTTTGCAAGCTTTAGTGACCTTTAGTAGGTCGGTATAGTGGTCCCTAGAGAGAACCCTTTGATTGTCCCTAAGTATACTATAGAGCTCCTAAGGCTCCCATAGATGCTGCAACTGCGAATATTTGGAGTTTTATAATTTTTTGAAAGCAAATGGTCTTATCACGAAATCGGTGATAATTAGTAGACTGGCCCCAGTGACATATATGTCCTTGTGGCTGACTCGAATTGTGAAACCCTGGTTTCTCACTACCAACCTTTCCTAAACCCTCGCTAAGGTCGCGACGGGGATCGAACTTGTGACCCTTTGAACCGTACTCGGACATTGGTAACGCGAAACGGACGTGCTCCGGACGTTTCTGGGCGATTCTAGGGACCACTTAAGAGTTCTGAGGCTACTAAAGTGGTCACTAGAAATGCCCCGACACGTCCGATTCGCGTCCCGTTTGCATTATAACAAGGTCCGAGTAGACAGGCACACAACCTGTTGCGCTAACCAAAATAAATAAAAAAATAAACGTAAAACAGACGCGAGCCCTGCTGCTCTACTGGATCCCCTGGATGCTTCGACTGCGACGGCCGGGCGTCAACATAACCTACGCGACGCTTCCGTCGCTGTTCTGCACGAAGCCGAAACGGCACTCCGAGTCGCTCATCCGCAACGTCAAGGAGCACGAGGCGTCGCTCTCGCGGAGCAACTCCTACGAAGCCGAACGACGTCTTCATCAGTTCATGACCGGCTTCGGGAATGGCTTGAGTCCCCTGGACACGGTCCAGAACACCCAGGTTGGTCGGGAGAAGTGATCGTGTGATCTGTAGATGGGAAAGGTCTGGAGTTAGGAAAATCTGGAAATACGCAAGATTTATACATGACGTGAGATGAGCATGACTGGTAACAGCCAAACCCCCCTTTAGAGCCAAGTCCCCCGCCCCTTAGTACCAAGTTCTCCCCCCTTAGTTCCAAGTCCGCCCCTTAGTACCAAGATCCCCTTAGTGCCAAGCCCCCCTCTTAGTGCCAAGCCCCCTCTTAGTGCCAAGTCCCCCCTAGTGCCAAGTCCCGCCCCCCTTAGTGCCATTAAACTATATTTTCGAAGTCTCAACCTTTGAAAATGCCTAGTTCTGGGAAAAAAAGTTCATATACCATGAAAAATATCCATTTTCAGACTTTGAAGCTGCATTTCTCGAAAAATAAAAAAATTTTTAGATTGGGACTTCTAAGACCTTCGTTTGGTACATCAAAAGCATTCTGAAAAAATCCGTAAAACTCCAAAACCCAAAGTAAAACTACCTCCTTGTGAGGAATTTCAAAAACTGAAAGACCTGACCCATGTATGGATGAGATCGTGGTTGTGTGCTCTCCAAAAACGAGTTTTATTTTATTAGAAGCAGATCCCGCCCCCGGGCGACGTCTCCCAACAGGCCACCGTCCTCATCCTCCAGAGGATCTATCATGAACTTAAGGTGACCGAGAAGTTTTATGGATTTAAAAAAGGGAGGAAACTTTCGATGAAACCTGGCTTTCTTCATGACGAAATGAACCGGGAAAGTTTTAGTGACCACTTTAGGGTTTTGGCGTTTTAGTGGCCTCTAGGGGTCTGAATCGAACTAGAACAATGAAAACTACTATAGTGGCCACTTAAATAAAAATGGCTTGAGGTGGTTTAGTGGTCCTTCAGGACTGCTTATTTTCAAAAAAAAGTTGATTTTTTTCGAGTTTTGACGCTTCAAAAAGCTTCAAAGAACGTTTTTTCTCCTTTTTTGTGCATTTTGAAGGTTCATAACTTGGAAATCCGATCTATTGAAGGATTTTTCAAATTTTTTTCCAGGACCAGGAGGTCGTGGATGAATTTCCGTTGTTAGTTCGAACTTGTGAAGTTTAAAATAATATAGAAATACTTCTGATAACAAAAAAATTAGCCCTCTTTTCAGATAATGACGAAGAGGATGATTGAGAACGACCGAGAGGAACAGGCGGCCAATAATTGGAAATTCGCGGCGATGGTAAGAGAAAGCGAGAGACCAGGGATTTAATGAGGCGCCAGAGAAAGAGAGAAATTTTTTTTTCTCTGGCGTCTCTTCGGGCCGAAGTTTATCTCTCACCTTTCTGCTTTTCTCACTTTCTAAATTTCTGAAGGGCTACAGAAAAATTGTAGACAGAGCGAGAGATCTATTACGGTCCGAATAGACGTCAGAGAAAGAGGAAAAGTATTTTTCTCTGTCGTCTCCTCAAGCAAGCTGATCTCTCATCGTTATACTCTTATTAATCACTTTAATTTCAAATGTATACCGAGAAATGTTTTAGCTAACACGAGAGACCAATCAAGGTCAGGAGAGACGCCAGAGAAAGAGAAAACGTTTCTTTCTCTGGCGTCTCTTCGCGCCGAAGTTGATCTCTCATTAATCTGCTCTTATTAAGCTTTACCTGTGCACGGTATCCCCAAAAACAGGGGAGGCAGAGCGAGAGACCAATCAAGGTCAGGAGAAACGCCAGAGAAAGAGGAAACGTTTCTTTCTCTGGCCTCTCTTCTGGCCACCGTTGATCTCTCTTTTGTTATTGTTTGGAGGTCAGACTTCAATTATTTTTTACTCAAAAAAATGCATTTTTTTCCTACTTTTCTGATAAACTTTCCAAAAATCAATATTACAAGATAAGAACCCAAAAAAGTCGAAAAATCCCCCGAAATCTTGAAAAATTCAGGTGGTCGATCGCCTATGTTTATACGTCTTCACAGTGTTCATCATCGCCTCAACTGTTGGCATTTTTTGGTCCGCGCCTTATCTCGTCGCCTAAATATCTTCGTTTTACATTGTATTTCTTAGAAATGCCGGAGGGGTCACTAGAGGGGTTAGAGAGGAAAAAAGCCTCTATAGGGGGGCAAAATAGTGCTTTCTAAAGGGCTGAGAGATGGGAGGACCCTATAGGATTTCTGGGTCTGATCCGTAGCCTTTTAAAGCTCTAGTGGTCCCTTTAGAGGTTTTTTAAGCTTGAAAGATCAGAAGACGTATAGAGACTAATAGCAAGCTCCCCTAGAGTGGCCACTTTCACAAGCTTTAACACCCCTTTTAAGGGACGATAAAGTGGCCCCTTGAGGGAAACCTACACAAGCCCTTCTAGTGACCACTCTGGCGCCCCCATTCAATCCCTTGCTCAACGTCTCCTCATTTCAAAAAATCGCTTTCTCGTAGTTTTCCAATTTTCAATCGAAAGAATGCAGGTAATTTCTGAAGTTCCTCATTTTCTAGAGCTTTTTGTGATCGTATCATCATCAAATCACGCCACAGAACATATAATATTGATGAAAATATCACTGAACGACTTTTTTCTTCGCTTTCGAGTTCCCTGTGATTCAATTATTATTATTTTTGAAATTTGTTCAATAAATAATTCTTGAAAAAAAATATTGATTTTTCCATAGAAAAATTATTGGAAATCAGTTATTCAAGCGAAATTTTACGAAGAAATGCAAAAAATCACGAAATTCGGACGAAAATTGAAATTCTTCTGAGGGGTCCCTACAGGGAAGTTTCATAGAGGCCTCCCCCTATAGGGGCCGCTTAACCGGTGTCGTAGGGGTCCCTATAGGGGTTATCTTTAAGTCACTGGGAAAAACTAGTGGCCACTTAAAAGCTCCCTGGACCGCCTCAAGCCATTATTTTCTAAGTGGCCACTATAGTAGTTTCAGTGATCTATTAGTACAACTTATACTTCTAAAAAGGCCACTAATTTCTAGTCACTAAAGTGGCCACTAATTCGACCCCTATAATGCCACTCGAACCTCGAAACCCTAAAGTGGCCACTAGACCGCCTCAAGCCATTTTTTTTGAAGTAGCCACTAATTCGACCACTATAATGGCCACTAAAGCTTCTAAACCCTAGTGGCCACTAAAACGTTCCCTTCTTTCTGGAAAAATCAGAAAAAGGCTTCAAAACACTTTATTAAATGTGGAAATTCAAAATTTTGGACCCTTGAAAGCAAAAAATTGTCGAATAAATACTGAAAAACACCTAATTATTCATGATTATACCCAAAAAGCGATTATCAGATTTTTTTCTTTAAATATACGGCAATGAATGTATAGGGAAAATAGATAAGTTAACAATCACAGTAACAAAAAAGAGGATTGGAAAGCAATTAGGCCTTGGAGACAGTTTTTTTCTTTTCCTCCTCGGTCTTTTTCTTCTTCTCCAAGGCGTCCATGTTGGTCCGGAGGAGCGTCGCGTAGGCCGTGTGGAATTTGTTGACTTCCTTCGCGGTTATCTTCAAAACAAGTTTCCCGTTTCCACAAAAAATTATTAATTTTATTCTGAGATTTCTATAATTTTATTTTTTATTGGTTTTTTCAAATAGTCGTCAGAAAATGGAAAAGATAACTGAATTTTGGAGGGTCAGAGAAAAATTTGAGTTTTTTAAACATGGCATTCTGGAAAAGTCCGTCAGTTTGGAAAACTAGGCCACGCCGCAATTTTGCTCCATGGAACATTTCGACTTCAACCTTTTTAATCATTTCTGGGTTTTCCTTCGTTTTTTTCTATGGGATCTATGCAAAAAAAGGCAAAAACCTTAATTAAATCAAAAAAAGGAAGAAAAAAATTCAGAAAAGAAAAAATTCATATTCAAAGTATTCCATGGAGCGAAATTGCGGCGTGGCCTAGTTTTTCCAAAACCGACTTTTTCCGAACTTTTTCCAGAATGCTTTATTTTTTTGATTTATTTAGTAGTCGTCAGAGAGTGGAAAAAGATAACGAAAATTTGGAGATTCAGAGATAAATTCGAAATTTTTAAACAAGGTGTTACGATCTTATGCAGTTGAAAATAACGAATAAAAATTTGTAAAAAAGCTTCAATCTGGGAAATTTCTTGGTTTTAACGTTTTAGTTGTCACTAGAGCAATTGATTCAGTGGCCACTAAAGGGGCTAAAATTTAGTTGTCTGAAATCACAAAATTATTATTTTTTTATTGATCTTTTTAAGTTGAAAAAAAAATAAGGAAAAGGGCCTAAAAGGCTAAAAATCGATACTTTGAAAAATAAAGGAGAAAAATTAACTTTCCGGGCTAGTTAAGATCGCATTATCCTGAACTGGAGAAATCGGTTAAGAAACACTCAAGAAACAGCAAGTTGATGGAATTCTTCAGAAATGAGGTTTTTTTTTAAAGAGAAGATTTTAACAAACCGCGGTGCTGATCCTGTGATTTCCCCACTTGGCCCGACAGAGACACGAAATATCGGCATCGTCGCCGAATTCCGTCCCCGCCGCAACGGCTTTCGTCCGCCCATCGTCTTGGAAAGAAAAATTATAACATTCCAAAAAAACAAAATGAAAAAGAAGAAAAATATTGAAATTTAAGATAAAGCAATTCACTCCAATTTTTGGTACTTGAAATTTTTGGTCGCACGTAGAATGGCTCAAAGCGCCGCGGCTTTAATTTTAAAAGCTTTAGTTAATTATCTTTGATGAAAAGAAGCGTAAGCCGTCTTGAGTCGGGAAAATCGAGCCATTCCAAATGCGACCCTCGGCTATCCAGTTAATGTATTTAAAACCGGAAAAAAGCCTTTTTTTCATAGCCAACATTAATCCCTTTAGACGTAAAAAGCGCAAGTCGTTTTTGGTCGGTTGCAAAATTTTTTATCGAACCATTCCAAATGCGACCTTAGGCGTCAGCGTTAGGGAAAATGGAGCCGTAAAAAATTGAACTTTTGCCTCAGCTCAATAATTTTTGACGCAAAAAGCGCAAGTCGTTTTAGGTCGGGCGCAAAATTTTTTTATCGAGTCATTCCAAATGCGGCCCCAGGCTTTCAAGTTGAGGCGGATCATAACCCGAAAGATTTTAGCGTTTTTCATAGAACTCTCTAATGATTTTTGTCGCCAAAAAGCGCAAGTCGTTTTGGGTCGGCCGCATTGTCAAGCATCGAGCCATTCCAAATGCGACCTTTGAAAATCAGATCCGCAAAGGTTGAATAATCCTCATAAAACTTTAAAAATCATCCAATAAGTTTCTATAGTCCGTTTTTCGCCACTCGAGCTTCTCTGCGCCCTCCTCGTCTCTCGGCGACCCTCTCAAGTCGACGCACTATTTTCGCGTGTATCTAACCTCGCCGGTGAGGGAACAGAGAGACGCAGACACTCGAAAAGTCGCGGTGGATGGACTATATTGTTATAAAATTGTTTCAAGACTACAAATTCCTTCTATTGTATTCAAACGTTTTCGTGAAACTTACAAGGTTTCATTGTAACGTAGACCGACTTGGAACCCTTGATTCTGGAATCCATGTAGAATCCCGCCAGACGCGACAGGAATTCCTCGTTCGTCAGCAACGTCATCTGGAAATTCAGAAGTTTTTGCAGTTTAACTCACTTAAGAGACGCCAGAGTGGTCCCTATAGGGGTTAAGAAGAAGAACAGCTCTTACAGGCGACGAACAAATACTCCTTTAGTGTTGAAGCTTGAGTGGCCCCTAGAGGGTTTAGAGTTCGCCTCCCGAGGCCCAAGTGGCCCCTAAAGGGGGAGCTTTCCAGGACCCTATGGGGCTTTAGCACTCACTTTTGAAACTCCCTCAGAGGGTTTGAGTCCAAGTGGCCCCTAAAGGGTTTAGGGTTGACCTCTTAAGCCCCATAAAGCTCAAGTGGTCCCTAGAGGGGCTAAGAAAAAAAAAACAGCCCCTATAGGTGACTAAGAAGAGCTCTTTTCAAGGGTATTATTTAAGTGATATAGGGAAGCGGGGTTAAGTATTCACTTAAGGGGAACCTTCCAGGGACCACTTTAGTGTTCTGAGTCACAAAAAAAAACGCAAATCCGAACGTTTTTGAAATGAAAATTGGGTAATTGTGGAGAGCTATGATTAATTTTTTTCATATTTTTGAAAAAAATTGAGGTTCAAAAAAAATAACTATTAACCCTTTTTTTGGTCGTTTTTTTCAGAGAAACTATGAAAAAAATTCAACCAAAAAAAGCCATTTCGACAAAAAAACACGAAAAAAATCACAAAAAAAGTAATCAAAATGGCAAGAAATACCATTGAAACGAATCATTCAAAAACGATTAAAAAATAAAATTTTTATTTAAAAAAACAAGAATAATCTCAAAAAGTCACACGGAATTGGATACTACCCGTTTAAAAATCCAGAAAAAACAAAAATCAAAAAAAAAGACAATCCCAAAAGTGATCATCGGCATTTTCAACGAGGGGCATGACCCGGGAGGGGAACTTCCGGAGAAGGGATTTGAAAAAATCTCGGGCCACGATTTTCTCCCAACCCAAGGCGAAGCCGTCGTCTCGGACGTAGGGGCAAAGGAATGTAGAGATCTGGAAAAATCTTTTTTGAAAAATGTTTTTTTTTCTGTGAAATCATCAACATTTCCGTTTCCGGTTCTACCTTACGAGGAAAAAGGCCTGGTCGCATTGCGAATGGCTCAAGGCGTCGCGGTCAGAACTGGCTCTATAGCCGCTTAAGAGTGCTGTTTAGCTACCCTAGGGACCACTTAAGAGGGCTCAAAACACTAAAGTGGCCACTCGAAATGCTCAAAAAGGGCGCGTCCAGTTCAATCGGATGTGAATGAAAAGAAACTTTCTTTTATAGCCGATACAAAGACGCTAAAGGGCGTGGCCTGTCTGGGCTCTCTTCCAACCAGACACTATCTCTTTTTTTATCTTGTCAGGACCCTTTAAAAGGGGCGTGGCCCGTCGGTGCTCTCCTCCAATGATGCACTTACTCTCTTTTTTTTTTATCGTGTCAAGACCCTTTCAAAGGGGCGTGGCCTGTCTGGGCTCTCTAAAAACCAGGTACTATCTCTTTTTTACTCGTTTCAAGACCCATTTTTCGATAGCTTGAGCCTGCCCCCTCCAGTTATAGTTTTTTTGATATCCAGAAGCTTGGTTAAACAGTTTTTGATGCCATCACGCGGAAGTCGTTTTGGATCGGTTGCTTTTTGTTCAAATGACCTTAACTTCTTGAGCCATTCCAAGCGCGACCATTGTCCTTCATATTTTTAAGGAACAAAACTTATACATTTTTTTCACTGACCAGCCTCATTGGGCTTTCAAAGGGAATCAAAATAAATCATAAGCCACGCCCACAACTACAAAACTCTTTTCGCTTCGAGACCTCGAAATGTGAAAAATTCGAACTTTTCTTGCTATTCATTTATTTTTTTTGAAGATTTTTTCTTACAAAGTTTATTTATTACAAACTCATCACAAAATTTTCGTTTCAAAAATGTTCTGAATATTTGATTTTTTAGCCGATTTTGGGTGGTTTTTTGGATTTGTATGAACCTGACCCTATAAAAGACACCGAATTCAAAAAGTTCACGCAATTTTCCTTACAAAAATCCTTTTCCCAAACTCACAATCTCACAATTTTCCTCCATCGACGGCAAATTCACGAAACGATCCCAAAATGACGATCTCAAGGCGCACATCAAACGGAGGATTGACTGAAAAGCGTAAAAATTCAACTTTTTCTGGTTGAAAATGTACCTTTTCATTGCCGAACCAAGGTATGGGGATTTCAGCTTCAGGTTGTGACGTCACCAAGGTCAAGAAAAAGGCCAAGAATGGGGACTGAAATTGTGGAATCAATGGTTTTTATACAATCATAGTCGGTTTTTAGGATCGTCAGAGTGTTAAGGCTAATAAAAACATAAAAATTTCAGGGTTTTTCAGAGCTCACTCTAATGATTTTTTAACGCGAAAGGCGCAAACCGTTTTTGGTCGGGCGCACTGTCAAGCATCGAGCCATTCCAAATGCGACCCTAGGCTTCCAAGTGGAGAATGAAACTAAGAATTTAGAGACGTTTTTCACAGCTCTATTGCTTTAAGAAGCACAAAAGCGCAAGTCGTTTTAGGTCGGGGACATTAAAACGCATCGAGCCATTCCAAATGCGACCATAGATTTGAAAATCAGAAATAATTCTCATAGAACTTCAAAAATCATCCAAGAAGTTTCTATAGTCCATTTTTCGCCACTCGAACTTTTCTGCGCTCTCCTCGTCTCTCGGCGACCCTCTCAAGTCGACGCACTATTTTCGCGTGTATCTAACCTCGCCGGTGAGGGAACAGAGAGACGCAGACACTCGAAAAGTCGCGGTGGATGGACTATATTGTTATAAAATTGTTTCAAGACTACAAATTCCTTCTATTGTATTCAAACGTTTTCGTGAAACTTACAAGGTTTCATTGTAACGTAGACCGACTTGGAACCTATAGGGGCTCAGGATCGAACCTTTAGCTCTTTAAGCTTAAGTTGTCCCTAAAGTGGCCCAGGGTTCAACCTTTAGCTCCAAAAGCCTAAGTGGTCGCTATAGGGGTTCAGGGTTCAACCTCTAAACTCCTGAAGCTCAAGGGGTCCCTAAAGGGGCCAGGGTCTAACCTTTAGCTCTTAAAGCTCAAGTGTTCCATATAAGGGTTCAGGGTATGACTTTTAAGCTTCTGAAGCTTGAGTGGCCCCTATAGGGTTTTTCCAACTTTTCGTTCAGATTCAAAAACTAAAGACACAAGGCCACTAACTAAACCTCCAGAATAGCCCCTTTTGCAAGCCTTAGCGGCTTCTAAAGTAGAAACTTCAAAGGTCCCTATAGGGACCCCTCTGGAAACGTCTTTTTCTCACCTGATCAGAATTCGTACTCTTCGCAATTCGACTACTCGTAATAACGTCCAAAACCTTGTCCATTCGATTTTTATCCGATAATTTGATGCAGATCGACCCGAAAATGCACAAAAGGACGTTCCTAAATGGGTAAAATCGGATTTCCATCACTTTTTGGTGTGAAAGAACCTTCCAAGTTTACTTTCTTCATCCGAATACAAATCACACAGTTGTCGTACGTTCATAGTGACGAGATCCCGGCATTCCAGCCAAAAATCGAACTGTCTGAAGCTTGAAAATCATCCATTTCCTATTTTTAAAATAGAAAATAAAAAAATGACCGTTTTTTCGTGATTTCGCGAAAAATTTTGTGATTGGAATGACTTTCTTGTGAAAATAACATGATTAGGACGCGTTGCGGATTGCATTTGACTAACAAAACTTCAAGTTCCCAAGAGGCGATAACCGTCCCAGGTCGGGCGCAGTCTTATAGCAACCGATATGTGTTGAGCTTTTTAACTTTACTGGTATTGCCAGAGTGGTCCCTTAAGGTTCCAACCAGCCGAATCAAAGACCACCTAGACCTCTAGAAGACTTACTGGAGCTTGCAAAAGTGGCCTCTCTAGGGGACAGCCTGGTCGTGGCATGTTCTAAAACACGAGCGGTTGTGGGGCACGAGCGGCACGACCGTTACTAAATCACAAGCGGTTTCATTTTCGCTCCTTCGCGAACGCTTCTAAATCACGAGCGTTTTTGGCTTATCGTTCTGTTCGAGCGTTTCATTTTAATCATTTTCTTTATTACCATCCAAGTGTGTTTTTTTTTTCATATTTCTACCTTCTTTTTCTCCTTGAATACAAATTTTGACGATCTTATATGCACATTTTTTCGCTCAATTTGTTGATTGATTCACATTTGAGGTTAATATAATGAATTTTTTCTAAGTTTTTTTGCGGTCTCTATAATTTCACAGATTCTGCGTATGGCAAATTTTTTTCTAATAATTTCATCTGATTTTTCATATTCAATATTTCACAGATTTTTGCGTATGATAAACTAATATTTCACAGACGTCTCGCATGAAAGTCAATATTTCTCAGATTTTTATTTTTTATTATCTTTCAGAGAACCAAAACATCATCGGTGTTCACCTCGATGAGATTAATTCTTTTTCGGATCAGCCATATGTTGAGGGCGAATTTTTTTCGGATGTTAGAAAAGTTCCCCTGAACGTTCTGCGCGGGATCCAGTGAGGAGAATTATTTTTTTCAATTTCACCTGCTTACACGAAGCCCCCTGTTATTGCATATAAACTCTGATTTATACATTGATTTCCTTTTTTTCTATATTTTTCATTTTTCCAATCTGTTTCGTTATACGGCTGTCATTCACCGATGAACCACCAGACGCTTATGGCATTTATTTCATTCATTCGCTACGGTTATTAATTTATTTTTGATACTTCGTAAATTTCGTATTTTTTTTCTCGTTTCATGATAAATATTTTTCAAAGCTTGGAAACGAATAAATTTTTTTGGTAGTATCTCCAAAACTATTCTAGCGGGTAAGAGGAGAATAAAATATGAATGGCATCAATTCGAATATGAGATTCTATTACCAGAAAAAAAATTTTTGAGAGAAAGTATTAGAAAAAATTTGCTATACGCAAAATTTGAGAAATATTGACTTTCATGCGAGACGTCTGTGAAATATTAGTTTATCATACGCAAAATCTGTGAAATATTGAATATGAAAAATCAGATGAAATTATTAGAAAAAAATTTGCCATACGCAGAATCTGTGAAATTATAGAGACCGCAAAAAAACTTAGAAAAAAATTCATTATATGAACCTCAAATGTGAATCAATCAACAAATTGAGCGAAAAAAATGTGCATATAAGATCGTCAAAAATTTGTATTCAAGGAGAAAAAAAGAAGGTAGAAATATGAAAAAAAAAACACACTTGGATGGTAATAAAGAAAATGATTAAAATGAAACGCTCGAACAGAACGATAAGCCAAAAACGCTCGTGATTTAGAAGCGTTCGCGAAGGAGCGAAAATGAAACCGCTTGTGATTTAGTAACGGTCGTGCCGCTCGTGCCCCACAACCGCTCGTGTTTTAGAACATGCCCCTGGTCGTTTATTGTTATGACTCTTGGAGAAAAAAACAGCCTTAAAATTTTTTTTTGCCCGCTGTTTTTTTCTAACCCCTACAGGGACCACTCTGGCATCCCTTGAAAAATTTCTTATTACCTAGAAATCTGATATCGAAACTCGGCCGGTTCGATGATCGCCTTCAGGAGGATATTCGTCGTTTGTCGAGCTTCAGTTAGGGCCGGAAGGGATTCGCGTAAAATATCACTCACCACCTCAAAAATAGAATAATTAATTCATTTTATTGATTTTATTGATTTTCAACATTTCGAAGCTCGGTAAGCGCCCGGGACGTTTCTGAGCACTTCTAGGGGAATTTCAGAGTGATCCATCTACGGTTTAGATGAAAAAACAGCTCCTATAGGGTCCGGAAAAGTGGTCTTTATAGAGGTAAAATTAAGGTGGTCCCTATAGGGGTTTAGGGCCTGACCCCTTAGCTCCTAAAGCTTAAGTGGTCATTATAGGGGTCATTTAAGTTTATTCAAAAAAGTTCATATGTCTAGTTTTTCGCATGGAAATTCTTCTTCACATAAAGATCGACTTGCTAGACCCCTATAGAGGCCGCTCACTGAAACCCCTTTAGGGCCGCTTTTGTAAGCTTTAGTGGGCCCTATAGGGGTTGGTAAAATGGTCCTAACGTTGCCCCTATAGGGACCACTTTGGATTCCCTAAGTTTAGCGGCGTCAGACCGCTTAAGTGATCCCTAGAATTGCTGCGAAGCGTCCGGAGCGCGTTTTTTAAAAAGAAAAAATTGAAAAATTCTCTAATTTCTCCGCGCTCTCTCACATTCCCATATTATTTCCATGAACCTCGACGAGAGAAAAGAGAGCGCAGACAGGTCAGAAAATCAAAAAAGAACCTGATAATTTTGCAAATTCGCCAAAGCCTTCGACAAAGACTCTCTCCGTGCCAAATCCTCCGAGTTTTGAGCTTTTTCCACGATTTTCCTTCAATTTTATCTTTTATTTTTTTCCTTTTTTACAATTATATAACTTCAAAAAGGCTGGAAACTCTTTGAGAAGGCAGGATCCCGATAATTTTTGTCAAATTTTCAGCCAATAATCCGAGAGATTTCTCGTCGATTTTTTTGACAAATTTTTCGGCCGAAGTCGCTTCTTGGAGGATCTGAAAAATTAAATTATCAACAATTTTTTTCAATATAGCCTCAGAAAGAGCAACGTGTTGATCACAAGCCAAAGACAAAACGGAAAATCGAGAAATTTCGTCGTTTTGCCAATCCGAGAGATTTTTTGTTATGATGGACCAGTTGATGGGCGGGAGTGTTCTGAGAATAATTGAAGTTTGAAAAATAATTGTCTAATCAAAGACTTAAGAAAAATTTATAAAAAAGTATGAATTAAAAAAAAAGACTGATTAAAGCAGAAATTTGTAAACTTCTCCAAAAAGAAAAATCTTCAAAAAAAAAAAAATGTTTAGAAGCTTTTTCTACACAAACCTACAAAAAGGTCTCGCAGCGAAACGTGGTCAATTTTGGGATACGGTAATCTGACGAGAGTGAAAAAAACGTGACGAGCTTTCACGGAATAGGCTAGAACATTTTTTAAATGTGAATTACTTGCGGAATTTTCGAAAAAAAAAACTACAGTATACTGATCTCATTTTCGCATTTCGCTTCGAGACCTTCAATCTAAGGGTATAGGGTATTCTAGTCTAAAAAAAGGTGACAAGCTGGCGCGGAATGGACACATTTTCATAGTGATTTTTGCGCAAACTTGTCCCGATAAAAAAAAATTTATGAACAGTTTTTTTTTCGCTTCGAGACCTGAAAATTGGAAAATTACGGTATCTTGGCCCGAAATATGACAAGTTGACGCGGAATATGCTATATAGTGTGTTTTGTGCAAAATGGAAATAAAAAAGCTGCCGTAAAACCTAAAAAACAAAAAAAAGGGTCTCGAAGCGAAGTTTGGTATACGGTATTTTTGCTTTAAAAACACGGGATAGTCTCCACCAACCTTCCATCACTCCTTCTATGGCCAAAAAAGGCGGGAATCGAGTCTTTGACGGCTTCCGAATGCATTGGATTCTTCACGAAACACGAAAAAAGGACAGTTTTGAGGAGACTTGAATCCGGCAACTCATCGACGGCCAAATATTGAGGCTCTTCCAATCTTCGCCAGGAAGTCAGAGCCAACCGTGAAAATCCTTGAAGGAAAAATCATTTTTTTCTTCAAATTTTTCGGAAAAACCTTCAAAAATCGCTCTTCTCGGTGGTTCTTCAGCCGAATTCCAGACTTTTTCGAATTTTTTCAGCTTTTTTCCAAAATCGGTCAAGAAATTCTTGTTTGAATTGGCCAGGGCTTCGAAAAGCTTCTGGAAAATGTAAAATTTCATTTTTTAGACCAATCAAAGAACTTGGAAACTCTGAAATGGTCCCTATAGGGGTAACCTTAAAAGCTCTTGAAGGCTCCCTCTAGAGGCCACTTAAGCTCCCCCTCAGGGGCCTCAAAACCTTGACAATTACCCATTCAAGGAGTTTATTCAGTGGTCCCTCCAGGGGACATGCTAGTCTGAAAATGATCCTACTTCCAGCTGAAATTTCAACAGGAGTGGTCTGGAGGGGTTGGGGAAAAACAGCCTTCATAGGGGGACAAAAAGTGCTCACTATAGGGGTGAAAGTTAAGTGGTCCCTCTAGGGGTTTAGAGTCCGACTGCTAGGTTCCTATAGCTTAAGTGGCCCCTCTAGGGGTTTAGGGCCAGACTGCTAGGTCCCTAAAGCTCAAGTGGTCCCTCTAGGGGTCTTTCTTCTCACCAGTATACTCCCCTAGAGTAGCCACTTTCGTAAGCGTCATTACCCCCCTATAGAAGGAGGGAAAGTGGTCCCTGTAGGGAAATCTTTCAGGACCCCTCAAGGGGCCACTCTGGTTTTCCTTAGCCCCTCAATTTTGCCAACTACCTTAACATTATCAGGAGTAGAAGCTTGTTCCAAAAGCTCATTTATCCGATTTTCCTCCGAATTTTCAAATCCCAAGCTTTTTTCCAGCTCCAGAACCGTTAATGGATGGGCCCCTAAAATGAAAATTATTTTTTTATTTTTTTCTTTTATCAAAAAAACCTGCCGCTTCAGCCCAAACGTTCAAGTCTCCCCTGGAAACTCCTTGAAAATTCGATTTTTTTCCAGATTTTTCTGATAAAAAAATGGCTCTTTTTCCAGCTGAAATTTTTAAACTTTCTTTAAATTTTTCGACTTAAAATTGAAAAAAAATACCTTTTTCAAACGTCTCAGCCTCAAAAAAACTCGACGACACTTGGAATTTTGGCCAAAAAAATTAAAGCTTTCCGGGCAACAGCTTCAGAAGACGGTTGACGGGTCTAAAATGATCAATTCTCCAGAAAAAAATAGCTTCAAAAAAATTAGAAAAAAAGAAAATATCCCATTAAAAAAAATTGAAAAAAAATATTTTTAGAAAATATTCTTAAAGATTCGAAAAAAAAAAAATCGATTCATCGAAAAAAAAAAACCCCCTATAAGTTTAAAAAAATTCGATTTTAAGAAAAATAAGCCCTTTAAAACTTTTTGAAAATCGATTCGAAAAAAATATAACCATCAAAAATTTGAATGAAGACATCCTCATAGAAACACGAAAAAAAAAATCAAATTTCAATGAAAAAATAAATAATATTTTCAAAAAAGATAAACTTTTTCAAATTCTGAAAATTACCAAGTTTTCTAGGGAACTTTTGGAGGAAAAAAGGTACTTTCTTGATTTTCTATCAATTTTTTTCTGGTTCAAAAATTTCTTATCCATCTTCCGTTATAAAATTCCCACGAACCGCCAGAATCTGAAAAATCGGATTGCTCTTCGGCTTGTGGTCATCGAAAGCGATGGGGAGGATATACTCAGCGACGGAGATCAGCCACGGTTTTTGGCATTTTGCCAGTTGGTTTGATAATTTTCGGTCTTCCATCTGAAAGATGAAGAGCAATGTAAACTATGACTTATTCGAAAAACACTGAAAAATCCAAAAAGGACATTTTTTCAGTTAAAAAATACTATTTCTGAAGCACAATGATGGTTTTGCCCTAACTTGAGAGCCTTTTTAAACCCCGCCCTCCAACAAAGTTTCATCAAAAGTTAAACCGGGGGGGTTAAACGTTGCCCAGTAAGACGACCCGGGGCGGGCCCCTGATTTTAAAATTCGCCCTCGGGCAACCCCGAAGTTTAAAAATGAGTTAAAATGTAGAAAAAAGGTGAAAAATTGAGAAAAAAAAAATGGTTTTTTTCACCCTCTGGGTCAGTAAAACTACTATTGTGGCCACTTTAGTGTCCTCGAGGAGCTTCTTAAGTGGCCACTAGAACTTTTCTTTTAGTATAACAGGCCACCTTATAGTTTGTACAACATGAAAGAAAAATAATAATTCAGGTCTCAAGATGATCAGAACAGCGAGAGAGCGCGTGAGAAAGAGAGAATTAGACAGCGCAAAAGCGCGCGAGAAGGAGAGAATTAGACAATTCTCAAGAAGATTCTAGTTGATTTCCTTAACTTCTTAGGTATTTATAGTCCATTCGCCGCGATTTTTCGCGTGTCTGCGTCTCTCTGTTCCCTCGCCGGTGAGAAAGCGCGCCAAGATGAGAGGGCGCAGAGACAATCTCTACCTTCCCCTCCAACTCGGCGATGTGATCAGCAAGAAGGGCCAAGACGACGACGACGTTGTCGAGACACGTGGAGGACTCCTGGAGGGCTCGCCGACATTCGTCGCTGAGCTGATCCCGTGTCCAGATGACGTCATTGCTCCGGGCCTCCATCAGACAGTTGAATCCTTCCCGCAGACACAGTCTCCAGCTGGCGAACAATTCACGTCGTTCAGTCTCATTTGTGGTTGGTGGCACCTGGAAAAAGATATGACTCCATTCAGAATAAAGGATTACATCGCAGCGGACCTTCGCCGCGACATCGCTAAAGTTTCGCTGCGATATCGCTCTTTTTCACAAATTTGAGATTAAAACACTTATTTTGCTCTTAATTTTACTATTAGAATGAAATGATTCCGAAACAAGAAAATTTTTTTTTGAAAGGCGATATAGCGCAAGAAGTTTGCGAGTGATTTGCGATATCGCTTTCGATATCGCATAAATTTTAAATTTTCTGCACATTTTATCGCATTAAACTTGACTATTATGATGAAATAAATTAGTAACCAAAAAAAATTTCTGAAAGACGATACAGCGCAAAAAGTTAGCGATAACGCCGCGAGAGATTCGCGATATCGCTTACGATGCGTTTCTGATGGCAAATTTAAAAAAATTCAGCATTTTCAGGTTTCCTGTTGAAGAAGGTTGACTACACACATCAAAATATTTCAAAATAAGGTCCTTTGAGATTTTTAGAATAAATGAGAGAAGATTATTTTTAAAAAATTTCAAATTCGCGCCAAAACGCATCACAACCGCGTTGCACAGTAATTTTTGAGCCCCATCGAGAAAAATGGTTTTTACAAGGAGAACACGTGACAGAATCGAATGTCTCACAGTGAAATAGTGTGAATTTTTACTCTGAAAAACCTGTCAGAATGAAATTTCACTAACTAAGGATCGCTAAAGTGGTTCCTATAGGGTTTAGGGAGGGAAACAGACCCTAAAATATTCAGAAAAGTGCTCTAAAGGGGACCGAAATTCAGGTGATCCCTATAGCGTTTTAGGGTCTGAGCCATTAGAACTTAAGTGGTCCCTATAGTGGTTTTTTGATTTTTTTTTTGTTGAGATTTGGAAGCTAAAAAGACGTATAGGGATTGCTAGAATGCTCCCCTAAAGTGGCCACTTTTGCCAGTTTTAATGTCCCTATGAGGGGGAAGATGAAGAGGGCCCTTGAGGGTACCCTACAAAAGCCCCTTTAGGGAATACTTCCGCATTTTTAAGACGAATTTGGTTACAATTTTTAAAAATATACACTTAAAATACCTCAAAAAACTTTCTGAAAAGGCTTTATTCGTCGTTTTTTTCGCTTTACTATCAAAATTCACCTCAATCAACAGCTTCCTGAAAAGTTTCAGCATGGAAACGGCTCGATTGCTGGGAGCGTAAAGTTGAAAAATGGGCGGGGTCAAGGACAAAGTCGCCTTCCAGAACCACGGCTCCTATAAAATTTAGCTGTATTTATAAAAATTGACCAGAAACTTTAAAATTTGTTAAATAGAAGTTGTGAAACAGTAACCCTATTTATAGCTGATTCACGGCTGAATTGAGCCATCGAAATATCGGGTCCTGACACGAAAAGAAATAATGCCTGGCTCGTGGAGAGCGCAGACAGGCCAAACTAGCCGTGAATCGACTATATCCTTGATCAATTGTTTTTTTGAGAGTACTAGAAAAAATTAAAAAATTAAAAATTGATCGAATAATTTTACAAAATGTTAAATATCAATCCTGAAACTGTAAACTTATTTATCACATATTTATCGATTTTTTTGAATGAAAATTTCTTTTTTTGACGGTACAAGAAAAAGATAAAGAAAGGTGAAAAAAATTGTCAAAAAAATTCATTTTTTTTTTCTGGGGTCAAACTACATACAATTTAACAAAAACTATCTTCAAGATAGAATTTAATGAGAACTAAGACTTTTTGGAACTAGAACAGAAATTTTTGAAAAAGCTATTCAAAAATTTAAAAAATCCCAAAAACTACCTCGGAAAACTTCTTGGCCAAGGTGTCCCTCCAGGCATCGATTTTACTGAAAACCGGTAGAAAATTCGTGGATTTTCCCATTTTTCCGGTATAAATGGGCCGGGGTAGCTCCTCAATATCGATAGCCAACCAGGAATGGAGAAAATTGGCAAATCCTACAAGATTTGAAATTCAAAAAAAAGAAAAATGACAGATTTTCTCATTTTTCCGACCTTTTCATAATGTTTTAAGAGTTGTCAGCCTAACAAGATGAAATTATAATTTTTCGAGTTTAAAATTTCGCTGAAACAGTAAAATTTGAAAAGGAAGCGCTCTTTTTTTACATGCTCCAAAGTCTTCCAAAAACACACTCATTTTTCGAAAAAAATTCTGAAATTCCTTATTTAACCGTTGCGGGGAAGAAATTTTTCGAAAAAAATCGGGAAATTTAAAATAGACGTCAGAGAATGAGAAAGATAACTAAAATTTGGAAAATCAAAGAAAAAAATTAAAAATTTTTTTGAACACGACAGTAGGATCATGTGCAATTTCGAAAAAAAATCAATGAAAAATCGAGAAAAAAATTCACAATCTGGGAAAAAGATCACTTTAGGGGTTTTGAGGTTTAAGTGGTCCCTATAATAGTTAAATTGGTGACCACTTGAGTGATCTAGATTTAGTGGCCACTTTAGAAGTCCACTAGGCCGCTAGAACCACTATAGTGACCACTAAGAAGAACAAAAATGGCTTGAGATGGTTCTTAGGAATTCCCGAGTGGTCCCTATAGGGGTTGGAGAGGAAAACAACTACTATAGTGGTCGAAAAGTGGGATACATAAGGGTAAAATTAAGGAGGTCTGATCTATTAGCCCCTAAAGCTCAAGTGGTCCCTCTAGGGGTTTAGGGTCAGACTGCTAGGTTCCTAAAGCTCAAGTGGTCCCTCTAGAGGTCTTTCTTCTCACCAGCATGGTCCCCTAGAGGGGCCGCTTTTGCAAGCATGACTGCTGAGGTTCTTCCTATAGTTCCTAAGTTTAGTGGCCACTTTAGTGCCCTCTCCAAGTGGTCCTTGAGGAGCCTCTTAAGTGGCCACTAGAGCTTTTGTTAATGTCTGTATATCAAACCAGAGCGCTTCATATTTTTTCAAATAAAGCCCTTGAAACGGTAATCTCATTCTTCCCACCTTTTCTCTCCAAAGTCTCCATTTTCGAAATCGCCTCAACAATCTGCAAATATGACACTTGGACGACGTTCATCACATCTTTTGGGTCATATTTTTCCTACAAAAAAAATATTTATTCTTTTTTTCAAGGAGAAAAAGAGACCCAAAGAAGTCCAAGCGGCTGCAGCCGACCTTTGCCGGGATTCGTCTTTTTCGCCGTGGCAGGAATTTTTTTCAAGGACCACAATTCCTGGATACAATCGTCCCGGAGTTCATTGTTCTAAAATTAGGATGATTATTATGGAGAAAAAGCTTTTTTTCGATTTTTTTCAAGGAATATTCTATATAGAATCATTGAAAAAAATTGCAGAAATCCGAAATTTTTTTCTAAAAAGACAGAAAAAAATCTAAAAAGAGCATGGAAAGAGCATATGAAGAGCATTAAAAAAGCATAAAAACCTGAAAAAATGCCTGAAAAATTTGCAAAAGTCCCAGTATGAGCAAGAAAAAAGCCTAAAACGAGTAAAAAATACTTGAAAAGGAGCAAAAAAGGCTTAAAAATTGCAAAAAAAGTCTTGAAAAAGCACAAAAAAAAATATGGGAAGAAAAAAATCCTTGTAAGAGCAAGAAAAATTAAAAAAGAACGAAAAAACCTTAAAAAGACCTCAAAAAAACCTCCAAAAATCGATAATCACCAAGTTTCCACTATAAAAAGTCAACCTTTCCATCTTTTTAAACCCTTAAAAAAACCCTAAAAAAATAATTCAATTCATGCAACTTTGTGACAAAAATCTCTATAAATAATCATCGTTTCAAGATTTTTCAACACAAAAAAATGACCTTTTTTTAGAGAATTCAGAGGGAAAACTCACAAAAAAATCGAGAAAAACACCGTTGAAATCATCAAAATTGTTCAATTTTAACTCAGAAAAAACGAAAAAATGTGAAAACTTTGAATAAAAAAAAACCAAAAAGCTCAAAATTTTCAAATTTTCTGAGACAGAAAAACCTTTTTTATTGAAAATAAGCTCAATTTGAACATTAAAACTCACATTTTCTTCAGTTTCCTCCTTATTCGGAACGGCGCCCAAGGCCAAAAGCTCAGAATAAGCTTCCAAAGCCGGCTCATTCTCTTTTTTGAGCACCTTTTTCGCCAGAGGTCTTTTGATTGTGGCGAATTCGAGGACCTGAGACATAGGAAGTTCAGAAAAACTGAAAATTGCATAATTTTTGAAAAATTTGATCGAAAAAGTGAGTAAAAATCAACTAAAACTGACAAAAAGTCGTCGTTTTTGGCTTGAAAGAAATCCTCAAGTCGCTAATTTTTCAAATCTACTTTTAAAAAGTTCTTTTTCTTATTTTTTTAAAAATAAATCTGATCGTATTTCCAAATAAATTGGGTAGAAAATCACGAAAACCATGTTTTTATCAATTCAAAACGGGCCAAGAGCCGTCGTTTTTTTGGCTTGGAAAAAAAATCATCCAATCTTAGGAATTCTAGAGTGGTACCTCAAGGGGTCACTAGAGCTTGCAAAAGTGGTCCCTATAGGGGTTTTAGATAGTCGATAATATGAACTCTAGGCGAAAAAGCATATACATGCGAAAATCTGAATAAAAAAACGTTTTTTGAATAAAAATGAAAGATCCCTATAGGGACCACTTGAGCTTTAGGGGCTAAAGGGTCAGACCCTAAACTTCTATAGGGACCACTTTTTGGCCCCTAAAGGGGCTGTTTTTCCCCCTGAACCCCTATAGGGACCACTCTGAAATCCCTAAGAACCATCCCAGACTATTATTTTGCCCTCCTTAGGGGTCACTATAGTAGTTTTAGTGGCCTAGTAGCGCTACAATGGGGGTCACTCCAGTGGCCACTTAAACATCAAAACCCTAGAGGGACCACTCTGGTCGCTAACTTTTCTACTTTAAAAACTTTTTTTAGTTGATTTGAAAACTATCCTTTTTTTAATTCCTAACACTTTCTGGTCGTATTTTTCAAGAAAAATTGGATAAAAAAAGCTGGAAAAAAATCGGCTTTTTTTCAGCTTATAACTGATCAAAATGTCATGGAAAAAAAGATAATTTTTCAGTTAAACCTTATAAGGTTACAAATTTCAACTTAAAAGATATAAAACGTCTAAAAAAAATTATTTTTCAAACCCACATCTTCCCTGCACAGAACAATGAGCACACGGATCGTGGCCGCCAACTTGTCGCCTTCATTTTTGAGCAGAGAAGTCAATAATGATAACAAATCATCACAACTGTCACTGAAATAAGGAAAAACGATAACTTTAGGGGAAATTTGAGAAAACCTGGCCAAACAAGCGGAAGAGATCAAAGCCAATTTGGCCTTGAAAATATCGATCGAATCAGTGGAAGGGAAGTCTTTGACGATTGGAATCAGGGACTCGAGAATACTTGGGAATCTAAAAAACATAAAAATATAACAAGTCAAAGTGAAACTGCAATCAGGGGTAAAAACGAGATTTTTTTCCTATTTTTTTATATTTTTTTAGAAAAATTTCATGCAGTATTGATTCCGCAAAATTCAAAAGGCGTCAGAGAAAGAAAAAGATAACTAAATCTTGGAGAGTCAGAGCTATATTTGCATTTCGCAGAGATTTCTCTAACCACGGAATTATAGAAAAAAATGGAAAATTTGAAAAAAATAATTAGAAAAATCTCGTTTAAAAATTGATAAATCTTTTTCGAAAAATTGATATTTTCAAATAAATACAATAATTTTTCTAAATTTTTTTCACGTGGCAAATTCAAAAACCATCCAAAATTGGGGAAAAATTACATAACTTCTGAAAGAAAAATGGCGAATTTTGCCTTCAATTTCAAAAATCCTCCTAAAAAACCTCATTTTTTCAGAAATCACATCGTTTAATTTTTCTCGAAAATGGAGAAAATCTGAGTTTTGGCATCGATATTTAGTAAAAAAATTTGCCCAAAAAAATTCAAAAAGACTGAAAAATTAAAAAAATAATAATAAAAAAATCACAAGACTTCATCATGAACTTTATAAAAAAAGTGTACTGAAATTTCAATATTTGTTTTAATTTTCAGAATTTTTTTCTGAAAAAAAGTTACTTGAAAGCTCCATAAAAAAATTCTTTAAAAACTCACGATTATTACAAAAAAAACATTTAAAACTTCAACAGAACCTTCTCAAAAAAATACGATTTTTTTCAGAAAAAAATTCGAACTTTTTCCTAAAATCATTTCAAAAACACGGTCTTCCCAATAAATATCCAAAAAAAACTCACGATGTAACCAAATCGGCCAAAATGCCGAAAATCTTCTCCCTTTCCGCAATTTTCTGCTGTGACATGGCGCACAGAAATCGGACGATTGTCGTTAGGGCGAACTTGAATCGAAAATTGAGCTTTTCAGGGGGAAATTGCAAACTTTATGATGAGCCAGTCCATGGAGGACGTCCAAAACGGTCGATTTTTGGATTTCGAAAAATGGCCTGGCGAATAAAGTGATGAAATATAAAGACAGAGAGTTGGCCTGAACTTTTTTTTTTGTTTTTGAATATTTTTAATAAAAAAACCTGTTCGGGAAATTTTTTTGAGAGTTCCAAAATTATTTCGCAGCACAATTTTTTTGGACAGATCCTTCCGTTTTTTTGGCAATAACGCGACGATGAATTTTAGGTTTTTTTGAAGCCATCTAAAAATTTCGAAAAATATATATTTGACTCCAAGAAAACCTGTAAATGTCGAACAGAATCCAGAAAAATCTTCAATGACGTCATTTGTGGCGATAAATGCGAGGAGATTTTTGATTGTCCCAAAAATCCCCAATTTCGGGTTGATTTCGTGGAGAATATTGGAATTTTTTTGACACGAATCGATGAGGGATTTGATCTGGAAATTTTTAAATTGAACAAATTTCAAAAAAATTTTAGAAAAAAAATTCAGTTTTTTTCTTCAAGAAATCGGTGAAAAAAAGCTCAAAAAGCGTAATAAAATCTCAAAAATTCGACTTTTTTTGTTAAAATTTCTGTTCTTAAACCATTTTTTTGTGCTTTTTTTCTCAATTTTTTTAAACATCAGCTTATTTGGAAATCAACTAAAAAAATTAGATAAATTTTTGAAAAATGTCGAAAAAAAGGCTCAAAAAAATAATGAGAAAAACTTGGAAAAATCCGCTCATAAGTTTGAAAAATTCTGCAAAAAAATATAGTTTTTCCTGAATAAATTGATATAAAATCGCCCTAAAATGATCAAAAATGACGAGAAATACTCAAAAATCCGTTTTAAATATTGAAAAATCTGAAAATCGATAAAGTTTACTTAAAGAAATCGCGATCTAAAGCTTAAAAATTCGTTTTTTATTGAAAATCATACTTTAACACAGTTTCCCCTTAATTTAAAACCAAAATTTAAACAAGTTATTTTTTTCAGAACTTAAAAAAAAATCAGAAAATTCTACGATTACTCAAAAACGATGAAAAACTATCAAAATTCGACTTTTTCATATTAAAAATTTATTTTAATACAGTTTTCTTGATTTCAAAACAAGGTTTACATAAGCTTTTTTTTAAATCACCAAAAAATCGATAATTTTTTGAGTTTCTGAAAAAACTAACCCTCAAAAGGTCCGCCTCTATCAAATTCCCACGTATAATTTTCAATCCGGTGGCTCTAAACTGAACAAATTGCATTGAAATACCTTTCCCAATGGTATTCCGATCATTTACCTGGCCTGCAAATGGGAAAACAAATCAGGAAGATGAATATAATGGGCAGGAATCGTTGGATTCATCAAAAGCACCTGATTTCTATTAATCAGCTCAGAAATCGTGAAACAATCCGCACTTTCGAGGTCCGCTTTCATCAATTCATCACAAGATAACCCTAAAAACTTGAAAAATCTTCAAAATCAACCTTTTTCTCACCTTTTAAGTACCCGGAATGGTTATATTTCTTCAAAATTTCTACTCGAAAGGAAAAATCTTGGAAATAATTCGCCAGAATGGGCAACTGGTCATCCGACGCATCCCAAATCAAAGCTTGGACCGATTTTTCCGAAAGAAATCCGGAAAAAATGGCTTGCAAAGCAAGTTTTTTGGTTCTAAAATCGATTTATTTATCCTAAAAAATGTGTTTCCTTTTCAAAAACCTGGCATTTCTATTGCTTCTCAAAATCCTGCACAGCAAAGCCTCATCCAATTGCTTCGATAACTTTAATAAAGAGCTGAAAAAATATGGTTTATTTTTTTTAAATTCACCTAAAACCTGCTATTCAAATCGCAGTTCTTCAAAACTGCGTTCAAAACATCTTCCGGATTTTTTACTTTGCTCAAACGTAACAGAAACCCTTCAAATACTTCTTCCGATTTCAAAACGTCTGAAATTCCACATTTTTCTCAAAAATTACCAGAAAAACCTTGAGATTTAAACTCTGAAACAGATTCGATCAGCCACGAACATGGCAACGGCCCGAATGCGTATAAACAATCGAAGAATAAATCAAAAGTATCGGTTCGACATTTGGCCGATTGAAAAACCCCGGTTTTCAATAATTGTAAAAGTTGCGAGAATCCCTACAACTTGATTTTAAAATAAAAATTTTCAAAAGCTTACCTGAGCTTGAATGACAGGACTTTCAAACTGGAGGTAAGACCTGATGTCTGTTAGATCTTCCTTCATTCAATAAACGATTAACAAAAAATAGTAAAGAAAAGTTTTCCAAAAATTAAAATTTCCAAATAACTTCTTACGACAAGTCCGCATGCACGATCGCCAGACTAAACACCGATTCGCCTTGGGGCGCTCTTTCCTTCTTTTGATTTCACAATTTCCCTTGTTCATAGTAAGCAGCTTTTTCCAGCTTCATCTTCGAGCTTTGTTGGATAAAGGCGTTTAAACATCAATTTCAAAAGGTACCCCGCGTATAGGAAAAAGTGATGGTGAAGGCCCAGTTATCTCGTTTATTTACATTTTCTCGGGCATAACAAAAGTTGAGTCATTTTGCGTCTTATCTTCGGAACTCGTGCATTTTTCTGCTGTCCTATCTAGGAAGGCGAACCTTTCTACCTTGTTCTCCTCACTTTCAGACAATCAAGCATCGATTTCAGAGTCAAAAATGGCTGAGAAGATATCCGCCGAGTTCGGGCGGATGCGGGTAACGCCGAAAAAGAACGAGTCAGTGGGTCCGAAATATACAAAGGTGAGAGTATTCTATTGAAACTTCGAAATTGGGTCATTTGTTCAGGAAGGAGGAGAATTACTGGTCCAAGAACGGCGGCCGGCAACAAAAGACGACATGAGCCGATATGACCAAGTCACGAGGCTTCTGGTCAATTGGTTCCGCATCTCGAACAATATCGAGGGCAAGATTGTGAGGATATGGCTCTGAAATTGATATATTTCAACGAGAAAAGCTGATAGGTTCACAAATAAGTTGGGAAAATGAGGAAAGTCGCTAATTTTGAGTTTCTTTCTTAAATTTTGTTTCAAAGCGCTGCAATTTCTTTACTCTAAAAAACTTCATTGGCCACTCAAGTGGTTCCCCAAGGAATATTTGGAGAGGACACTAAAGGGGCCACTATTTTGCGCCTTAGTGGCCACTAGTTGCACTTAGACTTTTAAAAAGGCCACTAATTTTTAGAAACTTAAGCGGTCATTATTTCGACTACTATAGTGGCCATTAAGACGTTAAAACCCTTAAGCGACCACTAGAAATTTTTCCAGCAACTTGAACTTTCCGAATTTCCAACCAGTCCGCTCTCAGCTTGTCGTTTTTAAAAATTAAAAATAATAAATTTCTTAAAAAATAAAAAAGGCTGTTCTAAAACCCTCATGAAGATTATTAAAGGCCCAGAAAATTTTCGAGGCTAAAAATAACCCTAAAAGCAGCAGTTCGTCTCGAGAGACTTTTTCGAAATTTGTCGATGCTCCTTTAAAGAGCAAGGATTTTAACTCGAAAATTTTTTTTTGAAAAGCATTTTCTTCACATTCCAGTCTATTAAAAATTTCATTTTTCACCGTTTTTCGAGGTAAAATTTCTTGAAAAAACCAAAATCTCATTTTTTTCGAACTCTAAAATACCTCCCAACACTTAGAAAAAAATTTCAAATCTCTAAGATTTTTCTTAAAGAATATTTTTCTCATCATTTCAGTCTCTAAAATCTCAATTTTTTACCGTTATCAGGCAAAATTTCTTGAAAAAACCCAAAAAATCCATTTTTTTTTTCAAATTTAGTACTCCTCTCGTCATCCTAGACCACTAAAGTCTTCATTTTTCCAGGTAAACGAGTACGAAATCGATTTATTCGAAGTGAGAAGCCCGCCGCCGCGAAGAGGGCGGGGCGGGGGTCCGCCCCGGGCGGGCAGACCCATCGAGAAAGCGATCAAGAGCAAGTAACCAATAAATAAACCAAAAGAAACAGGGATCTCACGTATTTCAGAGAGAAATTGATCCAAGTCTTCTGGTTTTTCATTCGTTCTGTCGACTTTGATCGCAGAACCGGCGTCATTTTCGACGATTTTCAGACTTTTTGGACCTGCGAAAGGCATCTTTTCAATCGCGAGTATGATGTTCCGCATCCGACGGTGAGAAAAGAGATATTTTCTTGGAAAAAAAATATTTTTAGTCCCAAAATATGGCACATTACTGTCACTAATAGACTTCATAGTTGAAAAAAATGATCATAATTTCAAAAAAATGAGGCCATTTCGACTCGAAAATTATCATAAAAGCCCATTTTTTTTTCGAGGAGGATGATAATGCAATAGCAGAAATGAAAAGAATAAACAAATGACGGGATTGAAACAGAAATGTCAAGTAAAAAAAATTTTTTTTTCAAAATCTTAATTTTTTTGCTCAAGGTCTGTACAGAAGTTCATAAATTTTCATTTTTCGAAAGTTCCCTAGAAGGTCAGTTAGAGATTCCCCTCCAGGGATCACTTTATCTCTTCCTATAGGGGCCACTGAAGCATGCAAAAGGAATCACTACAAAAAAAAAATAAAAGTCTCCTATAGGGACCACTTAAGCTTTAGAGGCTCGTGGGGTCCGATCCTAAATCCCTATAAGGACCACTTGAATTTTCGCCCTCTAGGGACCACTGCTTTGTCCACTAAAGGGCTATTTTCTCTTATATTCACTCTAGGGACCACTGGGAGTCTCTGAAATTATTTTGTATGAAAATCTTAGCTGCAAGTCTTTCAATAACACGAAAAATTGGTCTCCGACTTGAAAATATTAGAAAATTTATTTATTTTTTCTTTAAATAGCAAGGATTTTTCAACAAGATTTTTCATTTTTACCACATTTTTATCAAAATACAACTTTTCTTGTCATTTTTCATAGCTTTTTTAGTTTTTTTATAAAGTTTTTAGTTTCATTTTAACATCTTTTGACGATTTTCTAAAGCTTTTTCAAGTTTTTTTACCGTATTTTACTCAAAATTCAACCTCTCAACAATTTTTAAGAAGCTTTTACTTTTTTTTTTCGCACTTTTAATTGAATTTTAAACATTTTTTGACGTTTTTTGTCATTTTCCAGAAGTCAGGCCTGAAGTATAGGGCCAAAATAAGACACCTAACTTCATATCCCTTGACTTTTTCCGGCCAGGGACCCGAGGACTACGAAGAAGTCAATAGAACCCACAAATTCATGAAGGTTTTCCCTATTTTGAACCTCTAAAATCGAATAAATTGAAATATTTCAGTGTCTCTTGACGCAAAGAGCGAGATATGTGAGTGGGGATGGAGAGGACGACGTTCAGAGGTGACCACTTAAGGGAAAATCTTGGAAAACTCGAAAAAAATTGCAGGATTTTTCAACTATTTCTAACATTTTTTTACAAGGAAAAAAATCCTTGGTATTCAAAAAAAGCTGATTTTTTTCGAAGTTTTTTTAATTTATTTTTCCCACTTTTTGAAGTCTTCAAGGCTTCAACCAGAGAAAAATTTAATGGAATAGTTTGAAAAAAATTTGAAAAAAATTCCAGGGTTTCCAAGCATCGAAAAAAATTTCAAAAAAATTAAAGAAGAAAAAAATCTGATCAAAAGTTTTCATTATTAAAAAAAAATTTTCCGAACTTCTATCAATGTTTCTCATTTAACTAGGGAACACTTAAGGGAATTATTTGAAATTTTGAAAAAAATTCTATGGTTTTTCAGTCGTTTTTTTGATTAAATCTCGACAAAAAAATTCAAAATTTTTGAAAGTTTCAGAAAGAAAAAAATTTAATCAATGATCTCTTCAAAAAAATTATACAAAAAAACTGATTTTTTTCAAATTTTTTTAACGATGTTTTTTTATTCATTTTTTTGAATTTCTTGTGGTTAATTGATTTTTTTCAAGATTTCATGGATATTTTTTTCTACTGATTTCGGGAATTTTTTTCCAGTTCTTGGAGGTTTTTTTAAAGGGTTTACATTAGCTTAAATTTTTTTAAATCGAAATTCAGGTTAGAAAAAAATCATTCTAATTTTTCTTTATCAATAGAAAGCTCAAAATTCGAAAAAAATGTTTTTAAATCTCTTTTTTTCTAATAGAGAACTAGTTAAGAAAAAATTTTTTTTGATTTTTTTATAAATTTTTATGAAATAAATAAGTTTGTATAAAATTATCCCTTCTTTTTGTCCTTTTTTTAGATATTTTTGAAATTTTTTTATTTTTTTTTGTCATTTTTTTCCGAAGATTTTTTGAATATTTTCTATTTTTCAGAAGATACGCGAATAAATTCGCCGTCGATCGTCTGAATATCTACTACATTCCTAGAGAAAAAGGCGATCCAAAGGTTTTTTCTTGGAATTTTTGGAAAAAAAAAGAGAAATTCAGATCGAAGTGGCCCCTGGAGTGAACGCCTGGCTCGGATTGTATTTTGCCATCCGACAAATGCAGAATAACGACTTGGCCGTTAATCTAGGGTGTTAGTTTTGTTTTTTTCGTATTGAATTCAGAGAAATTTTTCAGGAAAATGTGAAATTTTTCTATAAAAAAATATGACTGGAAGTTTTTTTGAAAAAAAGCATTTTTTTGAACTTTTTTTGGTAAATTAAGAAAAATTTTTTTAGGAAAAGAGGGAAGTTCCTTTGAATTTCTCTTTTGAAATGAAAAAAATGATGAAAAAAATAGAATTAAAAAAATTTTTTTACTTGAAAAAAATCATGAAAATTCCTGAAAAAAACTAGAATTTTTCGAAAAAAAAATTTTTTGGATTTTTTTGAAAAATGAGCTGAAAATTGAAATTTCGTTCATTTTTTTCTTGTGAAATTTGTGAGAAATTCTGGAAAAATTAGTGAAAAATATGGTCTTATTCCAATTATAAAAAAATTTAAATATGACTTGTTTTTTTGAATTTTTCGAAAAAAATGAAAAAAACCCTTGAAAAAAAAGTAGATTTATGAACTATGTACTCAATTTAACTAAAAAAACGAAAATAAATGAATTTTTCGTCCAAAAAAATAAAGAATATTGCTAAAAAAATTTCAAAAATTCGAAAAAAAATCCTGAAAAAAATTGTCTTATAACAGTCCTGGTTCAACTAAAAATGACGAAAAAAACTAATTTTTTTATCGATTATTTTTTTCCAGTGATCAACGGGTTGTTCTACGATTTGTACGACACTCTACGAAGATCCAGATCGGAAAAGCTGGGAATTCTCGATTATTGTCTCGAAATTCAGTCCAATGTGCGTGATTTAATGATTGAAAAAAATGCTAAAATACAGGAAAAAAATTGTAAATTTTTTTAACTTCTAGCCTTATAAAAAAAGCGTCAAAATGGTTCTAGAATATAAAAATAATGACCTAAATTGTCTGGTTTTTTTATTTTTTTGTGCAAAAAAAGAGTTTATTCATACACAGGCAGTTATTTTTTTCATCGTTGAAGTAAGAAAATTATAATTTTTTTCCTTCAAAAAAATTTGAAACAGCTTCATTTTTCTGCCCTTTTTTTGAATGGAAAAACCCTCTTATTTTCTTGTAATTTTTCCTCATTTTTTTCTGATTTTTTTCTTCACTTTTTTTCAGTTTTTTTCTCGAAGAAATCACTATTATTTTTTTGAATTTTTTTGAAAAAAAGTTTGAAAAATAATTCTTCAAAATTTAGTTTAAGCCTGAAAAAAACCAGTTAATTTGAACGATAACAGCTGAAAATAATATTTTTTTCTACTTTGAAATTTTAAAAAATATCTTTTTCTGTCATTTTTTGTAGAGAAAATGTTCTTATTTCTTGTAATTTTTCTCATTTTTTTTGTTTTTTGGTCATTGCTCCAGCCTTATTTTCAAAGAAATCAGCCTTGTCTTTTTGAATTTTTTTGATGAAATTTTTGGAAAATAAGCCCTCAAAAATTATCTTAATTCTACACAGGCAGTTATTTTTTTACCATTCAAATCTGAAATTTATGATTTTTTTCCTTAAAAAAATTGCAAAAAAATTCCGTTTTTCTGCCATTTTTTTGAATGGAAAATCCTTCTATTTCTTGTAATTTTTCCTCAATTTTCTGATTTTTTTCTTCACCTTTCCAGTCTTTTTTTCGAAAAAAAGAAGCCTTGTCTTTTTGAATTTTTTTGATAACAATTTGAAAAAAAGAGTCCTCAAATATATCTTATTTCCACACAAACAGTTATTTTTCATCATTGAAATGTGAAAATTGTAATTTTTCTCCTTAAAAAATTTCAAAAATCTTCAATTTTCTGTCATTTTTCGAACGGAAAATCCTCTTAGTTCTTGTAATTTTTCCTCATTTTTTTGATTTTTTTCTTCAGTTTTCTAAGGAAAATCTCTTTTTGAAAAGACAGTTTTTCTATTTTTTTCAAAATCAAAAAAATGAGCCCATAAAAGCCCATAACTGTATAGAATCCGAGCTTTTAATGCTATTTCCTGAATTTTCAGCGTCTTCAAACAAAATTGATCCTTAAAAACTATTTCAAACGAAAAAAAATCTTTCAAAATTTTAAAATCAAAGAGTTTTTTCGATAATTCAGAGTTTGAGATTTTTTCAGGCCTCTCCGGAAGAATTGAAAGATCTGAAGGAGAGTCTGAGAAAAGGCGAATACGGGATCGGCGAAGGAGGAAGGTCCAAAATCCTGAAACTGATTCGGAATATGCGAGTTTGCTACGAAACGTGCATCAGAAACCCCAGAAGTAATAAATGGTTTGTTCTTCTTTTTTTAACAAGAAAAAATCCCGAAAAATCATGATTTTCTGGGAAGAATCCTAGTGTTAAGCGGTCCATTAAGGACTATTTGCAAAGGGCACTGAAGGGGTCACTTAAACTACCTCTATAGAAGCCACTATTTTGCGTCTAAGTGGTTACTATAGTAGTTTTCAGTAGTCTAGTAGTACCAATCAGACTTCTAAAGAGGCCACTAATTTTCAGCCGCTTAAGTGGTCACTAATTGGACTACTACAGTAGCCACTAAAGTGTCAAACTTCTGAAGTGGCCACTAAAAATTTTTCTATAACGGCTGAGTGGTCACTATGGGGAATAGAGCGAAAAGCCGCTATAATGAACAAAAGAGTGACCTCCGAAGGCCTCTAAAACTTAAGTGGTCCCTCTAGGGGGTCCAGTGATTTTCTGTTCAGACTGGAAAGGTAAAAAGATGCATTTAATGAAACTCGAGTGATTAATTGATACTTTTCATTCAAAAAAAACGAGTTTTCCATATATTAATAATTCTTATCATACACTCTAACATTAAACCCCTAGAGTGGCCACTTTTCTTAATTTTAGTGTCCTTTTTAGGGGTGGTTCCCTTGAGGGGAACTTGAAAAAGCCCCCCTTTTCTCTCTAGCGACCTTTGAGACGTTTCTAGAGTATTTTTTATTGATCTCGACTGAATTTCACTTAAGGACCTTCTAATTGAAGAAAATTGAAAAATTCCTTGTATTAAAGGCATAGGGGCAGTAAAAAACGGTGTTTTAGTTCAAAGCAGTACTTTGTAGAGCTTTTCATTGCGAATCGAACGGTGAACTTGGAAACGTAAAGAAGTTCCTTTTGGAGAAAAAATAATTCAAAATCGGAGAGAAGAAAGTTTGAGTTCCCGCGAAAAGGGCACTTTGCAGTAAAGTTGCTCCAAGGACAACAGGCTTCGCCATTTTTCTGGTTTCCGCTTTTTTCTTCGTTTCTTTCAATTTTCAATTTTTTCTGTTGTCACCAAAGTTCTCTTCGTCACAAATACTTTCTATTCATGTATAATTTGCAAACTTTGATCGCAAAAAAGCTTTTCTGGTGAAAAATGATGATTTTTACACAGGTTTCGATTGGGATAGCGAATATTTGTGTTTTCTTTATTATCGGTGTGTGTTTTCTGTTTTCTTAATCGGTTTTTCAGAGAAGAAACCATTCATGTGAAGCAGAAATCCGGTTATTTCTCACAAAATGCGAGTCTAATGAGACGTCCGCAACATCGCGTGCACGGCTACTGTAAACAGTTGTCTGCATGCCGATCCAAAGCATTTTTCATTAAAGGCGGGAAAGTAAAATCGCGTTTTTCTTCTCAAGTTGTCACATCTGTAATTTTTTTGAGTACACCATTCGATTCGCAAAGAAAAACTATACAAGATACTGCTTTCACCTGAAATCCCATTTTTTACTGCCCCTATGCCTTTAAGTCTTTTTTCGACCCCTCAAAGCCCTCAAACTAGACGAGTTTTGACATTTTGAAAAAAGGTCATTTAAGGGTTTTTCTTCACAACTTGGAAGATATTTATTATTTTGGAATCAGAATGTACGAAACATTTCCTTGGAAGCAGAACTTTTGGAACGGATTTTGCGATGATTACTTTTTCAAAATCGATATTCAAAATTTCTTTTTTCTTCTTCTTATTTTAACTTTTCTGTTCGAAGTAACGACGATTCATTTTTTCAAGCCAGATTATTCGAAAAAAGGGCTTTATTTTATTCAGATTTAAGTACGAAAACAGGAAAAAAAGCCAATTTTTTTTTTTGAAGTTTTCAAGCCAAAATGAAGTTTAACAAGTTATTTATCAATTAAAAAAAGACGTTTACATCAAGATTTCAATACGAAAAACGAAAAAAAGTGTAAAGTGTTAGAAAAAAAGCAGAAAAGAGTCTACCGTAACTTGGGATTTTTTTCGTTCTTTCGCTTTGAGACCCTTCGAAAAACACGAGTCTCGAAGCGCAATTCACACCAAAAAGTCATAAGGTTTCCATGCAGGACGAAGAAAATATTCAGAAAAAAAAGTTTTTGAAACTTAAATAACCAAATTTTTAGAAAATCGGTCCTCGAAACTGTCGAATTGATAATATTCGAAAATCAGTTCGAATTCGAAAAACTGAAAAACTAGACAGCATAAAAAATCAGATCACTTTCCAATGACATACTTTTTTATCCTTATTGAAAAAGAAGAAAATAGAATTCAGGGATGTTGTTGAACGACATGGAATCATCGTCGACATTGCCAAACAAACGCCGAAAAGTTATTTTTTTACGACCAAAAAAACGACGATGGATGCGGTTTTTCTACATGTGTGGGAGCAAGATCGAGTCCGTTACTTATAATAATTATTTCTACTAGAAAAAAAGAATTTTTTTCAAGTCGGATAATTCGAAAAAAATAGGGCTTTTTTTCAGATTTTTTTGTACAAAAAAACGTAAAAAGGCAAATTTTCAAGTTTTTTTAAGCCAAATTGAAGTTTAAAAAGATATTTTTTTAATTAAAAAAAGACGTTTACAAGAAGATTTCAATACAAAAAAACGAAAAAGAAATCATTTTTCGGATAAGATAAAAAGTCTATTTTTTACACATTTTTTTGAAAATTTTAAGTTTAAAAAGTGATTTTTTTCAACGAGGAAAAATTTTTTTAATCCAATTTTTTATAGAAAAAGATGTTTTTTTCCTTGAACATTTTAGCCATTTATTCGATTTTTTTGGAAGTTAGGAATGATTTTTCTATGAAAAAAATTATACTGAAAAATTTTTTTAAGGCTCTTTATTAACCTTTTAAAAAAATATGAATCTCATAGATATAAATAAATGAATAAAATTAAAGTCAATTTTTTTCAAATTTTTCAGCTTTTTTTGAAAGGATTTTTCAACAGTTTTTTTGCGGCAGAAAAAAATATTTTTTTGAGATTTTTTTCAAATTTTCAGCTTCTTTAAGGTAATTTCCAACGTACTTTTTCTATTTTTTTACGACTTTAATCTTCAAAAAAATAAAAAAAATAAGACTCAGAGTAATGGTTTTTCTTTTTCAAATTTTGACACTTGAAAAAAATAATAAATCATCTTTTTTCGCGGATCTTTTGACTGAAAATTGAAGATTTTTCTTTTTTTCAACCAATTTCCAGATACCCAACACTGCCTTGTCTCATTTTGAAGCAAAGCAAAAAGTCGGAAGATTTGCATCACGCCCCCCTTTGCAAGGTGACCATCAACGAGACGGCCCAGAAATTCCTCAATTCCATGGATACGAACATGAAAATCAAGTTTATACAGGTAGGGGTTTGGAAATGGAAGTATTAGGAAGATTATAAATTTGCTGAAAAAATTAATTTTCAAAAAAAATAAATCAGGTTTCGGGGTCCAAAAGAACCTTAAGAAGCTCAAGAACCTCAACAAAATTTCCTCTTTCCAAAAAAGTGCGAAAAAGTGGTACTACGCTCAACAATTTTAGTGACCACTTAAGGGTTTTCACGTTTTGGTGGCCATTATAGTAGTCAAATAAGTGACCACTTGAGTGACTTAAATTTAGTGGTTTCTTCAGAAGTCTAGGTGGTACCACTGGACCCTTGAATACTACTATAGTGACCACTAGAACGGAAAATAGTGGCCACTATAGAGGTGGTTCTAGTGACCACTTTAGTGTCCTCACCAAGAACTCCTTGAGGAACCCCTTAAGTGACCATTCGAGTTTTTCCAGGTACGAAAATCCATTTTATTCAGGTATAATTTCGGATAAGGGAAGGTTGGGAAGTTGACCGAAAAATTGAAATTTTCAAAAAAAAAAATTCAGGTTTCGGGGTCTAAAAGAACCTTAAGAAGCTCAAGAACCTCAAAAAAATTTCCTCTTTTCAAAAAAGTGCAAAAAAGTGGTACTACGCTGGAACAATTTTAGTGACCACTTAAGGGTTTTAAAGATTTGGTAGCCACTATAGTAGTCGAATAAGTGACCACTTACGTGGCTAGAATTCAGTGGCCTCTTCAGAAGTCTGATTGGTAAACTGGATCAATGAAAACTACTACAGTGACCACTAGGACGCAAAATAGTGACTTCTATAGAGGTGGTTCAAGTGACCACTTTAGAGTCCTCTCCAAATAGTCCTTGAGGAACCTCTTAAGTGACCACTAGAGTTTTTCTAGGTTAAAAAATCGAGTTTTTTTTCAGGTAAAATAAATTCAGGTCCAAGAGATGTTTTAAGAATCCAAAAAGACAAAACGTGTTCTTTGAGTTTTAAAAAAGGTACGAAAAAATCGTATTACCCTAGGAAAAATTCTAGTGGACACTTTAGGGTTTTGACGTTCTATTGGCCACTACAGTGGTCGAATAAGTGGCCACTTGAGTGGATAAAATTTAGTAGCCGCTTTAAAAGTCTAATTGGTACTACTAGATCATCAAAACTACTATAGTGACCACTAGGACGCAAATTACTGACTTCTACGGATGTGGTTCAAGGGACCACTTTAGTGTCCTCTCCAAGTAGTCCTTCAGCAATTTTTTAAGGGATCCGGGTTACAGTAAGTGCCTGCGTATCTAAGTATTGATGAGTTTTTCCTAGGCAAGTGATATATCAATCGATAGGTAATCAACTTTTAGCAACCTTTTCAGTACTCACCATCTTGGGTTACTGTAGGAATTTTTTGAGATACGGTAGTTTTTATGTTTGCAAAGTTGGTTTTTGTTTCTCGGTAAAGTTACTACTTGAAAAAATTGGTTATTTTATTAGATTTTAGTAATTTTGAAGCTTTTCCCTTCGAAAAAAAATGTTCCAGGGAGCCACAAGAGACCCCCATATCCACCATCAAATGACGAAAGATATGATGAATATGATGGAATTCGACACGACGAAATCCATCAATTTCCTCGACGCTTTTAAGGTAAAAACTGTTGAAAAATGGCGAAAATTATCCATTTTTAGGTGGATATCTCGACGAAAATGGTCGAATGCCAGGGAAAAGTCCTCAAAGCGCCAAATTTGGTCAATGGGGTCGGTTTTACGGAATTATTTGAGTTATATCCAGCATATTTTCAACTTTTTCGAGGTTTTCAAAAGCTTTCTTAAGAACGCCAGAGTGGCCACTAGAGGGGTTTAGCTGGGTTTCCTTTAGGGGCTCTTAAGCTTGAAAAAGTGGCCACTTGAGGGGGACATGCTACTGATTTTCATACTTATTTTCAACTTCAAACCATAAAAAAATTAAAAGTCATTGTAGGGACCACTTGAGCTTTAGGAGCTTCAGAATCAGATCTGAAGTCCCTATAGGAAACACTTGGATTTTACCCCTCTAGTGAGGACTATTTTGTCCCCTATAGGGTCTGCTTTTCCCCTAACCCCTCCAGGGACCACTCCGAAGTTTCAAGGCTGGAAAAAAAATTTTCCCTACGAGACCTCTTTCTGATTTTGTCTATGCGCCTTTAATTAGCCATAATTAATTTTTTGCAGAAAGGAAAGGCGATTGAAATCCTGCCGGAACGGACTTTCCGCGAGAAAGTTTTTGAACAGTTGGTTTTTATTTTTTTGAAGCTTCTAAATGAAAAAAAAATCGGTTTTTAATAATTTTCTAATAAGCTTATTTAAATTTAAAAAATGTATCATATTTAATTTTAGAAGTGAAAATTTGAATCTGCTTTTTTGAGCCATTCCAAATGCGGTCATTGTTCAAACCACGCCCCTTGCGACTCAAAATAGTCGAAAATCGGCTCTGAGAAAGTATCCTTACGAGACCTTTACAAAAATTTGCCTATGCGCCTTTAAATAGCCATAACTGCAATGAACCGTTGGTACAAGAATTTCAAATTTCGTTTTTGAAGGTTTTTTTGAATTATTAACACAGTTACTTGGCATATTGTGTAACGTTTTAACCTAGTTACTGTGAGGCTCCGCCCCCTCACTGGATTACGGTATGATTTTAATTCGAATTTCAGCGGTCCCGGGTAAAAGTTTGACGTTCGCTGTGATCGTGATCAATAAAGAGAACGGCGAACCTTGCGTCGTACCAGATTCTGCCGAGTGAGAAGTCTGAAAATCACAGAGAACCTTATATAGTCAATCCATGTAGTTCAAAAAAATGGATAGAATTAGCAAAATTGCGATTCTCTAATTTCAAAAAAATGAGCTTTTTCCTTGATTGATTTTGAAGAATTTCTAAAGGTATCACTTGAAATTTATTCAGAAAGGATTCTTAATTTTTTTACGAAGTTTCTACTTTTTTTAAGGAATAATTGAGAGACCCCTATAGGGACCACTTGAGCTTGAGAATCAGATCTGAAGTCCCCATAGGGACCACTTGGGTTTAACCCCTCTAGTGGGCACTATTTTGCACCTCTTTAAGAGGTGTTTTTCCCCATACCCCTCTAGGGACCACTCTGAAGTTCTACTCTCTCAGGGATCCTTAAGTTCTTGAAAACCCTTGAGTGGTCACTAGAGAGGTTAGAGGAAAAAGCCCCATTTATGGGACAAAACAGTGCTTTAAAGGAGTATATATTAGGTGATCGCTATAGGAATTTATAGTCTGCTCCCTTAAGTGGTCCCTAGAGCGACTTTTTTTTTTTAATTTTATGATTTTTTTTTTCGGATAAAAAGACGGAAAAAACCGCTAGTATACTTCTTTAAAGTGACCCCTTTTGCAAGGTTAGGAATCCTAGGGAACCTACAAGAGCCCCTCTAGTGACCACTCTGGCGTTCCTGAGTAATTTTTCTACTTTTCTTTTTCAGGAGGAATATAGTCCGTTCAGATTTTGGATGTCAAGTAGAATGACGTCATTCGAAAACACTCTGTGGATGACTCGCTCTCTGATTGGTTCATCGCGCCATTAGGGGGGCGGAGCTTGAGCGACGACTTGACATTTGAAATCTGAACAGACTATAATCAACGACGGAAAAGAGAAATTGTAATAGAGATTTTTGATATCATTCCTTGATATAGTCAATCCTTCTCGACTTGAAAGGCGAGATGGGAAGGGTGGCGCGTTGCGTACGCGACGCGGCTTTTGGCGGGTAACGTAAATTTAAACGCGAGCTACTTTTTTCAATATATTTCTTTTTTTAATGGTTTTATTAACCGGTTTCGAAATAATTTAGTTAACCGATTTAAAATATTGAAATAATAAAAAAATAATAAAACACATACCAGCCTATCCATCTCGCCTTTCAAGTCGGGAAATATTTACTATAATCTGATTTGAAGATGAAGAAACTTGAAGTTTCAAAATGTTTTTCTTGCAGAGTTTTCTTCCACAAACTCGAATTCGCGATGAAAGACCGTGGGATGACCCTCGCCGACCCTGCTTTACACATTGTAAAATCATTATTTTTATTTTCTTCTTCAGAACATTTTAAGGTCTTGAAAACCTTTTCGTCTTTTTTTTTAAATTTGAAGCGTCTACTTATAAGGAAAATGAGCAGCTTTTTGTTGGGTCTTACTTTAAAAGAATTTTTTCGGATATTTTTCTTGAAAAGTAGTTACAAAGGCAAAGTCGGATAAGTCGGAAAAGGCTCCTTTTTTGCTGCCTTTTTGCGCCTATTTATGGGCTGTTATGCACCATTTTTGCTGCCTCTGTCTTTTTCTACCATTTCTTGAGCCTTTTTGCTGCCTTTTTGCTGCCTTTCTGCTGCCATTTTGCTGCCTTTTTGCACCCTTTCGGCACCCTTTTTAGTGCCTTTCCCTTTTTCCACTATTTCTTGAGCCCTTCTGCTGCCTTTTTGGTGCCTTTTTGGTGCCTTTTTGCTACCTTTTTGCTGCCTTTTTGCTGCCTTCCTGCAGCCTTTTTTCTGCCTTTCTGTGACCTTTTCGCTGCCTTTTTGCAGCCATTTTGCAGCCTTTTTTGAGCCCCTCCCTTTTCGCAGCCATTATCCACCATTCCGACTTTGCCCGAGTAAAAATCTTCTTTTAAATGATCTGCCCTTCTCAGTATTTTTTTTTAATACTCGTTCCCAGTTCTACCCGGCGGTCAATTGTTTCAACCAGGGAGACGGAAGACCACATTTTTCCGACGTTATCCAGGAAATCACGGCCTCGTGAGCTTTAAATAGTTTTTTTTGGTAATTTTCAAGATTTTGAGATTCCGCGGCAATCCGAAACACGAGAACAAAGAATTGATTTTCATCGTGATGGTCCCGAAAGCCGAATATGCACGGGCCGAGTATTACGGTGAGGATTGGAATTTTCGAAAAATCTCAATTTTCGAGAGAAAAAAAATGAATTTATAATAGAAAACGTGCCGAAAAATCCTAATTTTTATTTGAAAAAGAAAATGAAAATATTTTTGCGTGAAGAAAGTGCCAGAAAAATGCGATTTTTGATATAAAAAAAGGAAGAAAATAAGAATTTCTAGTAGAAAAAGTACCCAAATATATTAATTTTGATTCCAAAAAAAATAATTTTTGATCGGAAAGGAACCAAAAATCCTACACTCGATTTTTCAAAGGAAAAAAAAATAATTCCGAATAAAAAAATTGCAAAAAATGCGGAGTTCAATTCAAAATCTTGTGGAAAATTGGGAAGGTCGGAAAAAGAAAAAAAGACTGATAAAAAAATATTTTTTTATCATTAGTTTCGATCAAAACAAAATTTCCTGAAAATGGGTGAAAAAAATAGCACCAAAAAGGAACCTTTTTGCACCCTTTTCTGAACATTTTCAGTAACTCCTGACAAGGAGGTCATTTCAACTTTTTGTCGGGAATTTTTTTCGAAAAAAATCGCCAGAATATTCCTTGATGGTCCGAAAGAAGATTCTGAGAGTTTCAACTTGTAAAAATTCCTAATTTTCGAGAAATGACTTTTTAAAGTTGAAGAAAACCTTCAAAATTTGTTAAAATATGCTATTTTTTTGGGCTTTGAGCCCTCGTTTCTCGGAAACTAGGAATTTTTTTGAAGGTTGAAACTTTCAGGATTTTTTTCTGGTACATCAAGGAGAATTCCGGACAATTTTTCAAGAAATTCCTAACCCTAAACCTCCTTATAAAAAAACCTTTGAGAAAAAAATTTTTTCAGAAAAAAAAATTTTTTTCTAGGCTATATAAAAAAACGTGTGCGACCACCAATTCGGTTTCGTTAGCCAGGTGATCGTCTCGGAAAACGTCCATCTTTATTCCAAAGATCCGGCTCCGTTGGTAGAACCCTAAAATCCAGAAATCTAACCATTTTCTAGGAAGAAAATGCAGTTGTTCTACCAGGTCGCCCTGAAACTCAACGCCAAGTTGGACGGCATCAATCAGGAAATCGACTTTTCCGAAGAGTTGGTCTTTTTTTTCCATTCTGAAATGTTGATTTTTGAGAATTTTCAGTGAAGGTTTGTGACAGTAAAAGGGTCATTTTTGGGCAAGAGTAGGGTCACTTTTAGGCTAGAAAACGGTCATTTTCGGGCAGAAAAAGGGTCATTTTTGGGCAATAAAGGGGTCATTTTGAGGCAGGAGTTTTCGACAACAGTAGGGCCACTTTCGGGCAAGAAACGGGTCATTATTAAGCGAGAAAAGGGTCGATTTCGGGCGGAATTTTTCGACAAGAATAGGGTCACTTTTAGGCTAGAAAAGGGTCATTTTCGGGCACGAGAGAGGAAATTTTTGGTCAAGAAACGGGTCATTTTCGGGCGGTATCTTCTGCCAAAAAATGGCGGGTCGTTTTGAGGCAGGAAAAGGGTCATTTTCGGGCAAAAAAAAGGGTCATTTCGAGGCAGGAAAAGGGCCATTTTCGGGCAAAAAACAGGTCATTATTAAACAAGAATAGGGCCAATTTTGAGCGGTTTTTTTTTGACAAGAAAAAGGCCTTTTTGAGACAGGAAAGGGTCATTTTTAGTCTAGAAAAGGGTCTTTTGTAAGCAAGAAAAGGGTCATTTTCAGGCGGGATTTTTCGACAAGAATAGGGTCATTTTCAGGCAAGAAATGTCGCCGGAGGAGAAAGAAAAACGGAAAAAGTTGCCACGACGGATGTTCGTCGGCGTCGACGTCACCCATCCGACCCAAGACAGTGGAATCGACATCTCCATCGCCTCCATCGTCGGAAGTATCAACCTCGGTGGAACAAAGTCAGGGATTTTTCTGGGGAAATTTTAATAAAAAAACGGAAAATTTGAATTTCACTGGAAAAATGACAGATTTCATTTTTGAAAAATGCTTCTTTATGATTTTTTGTGTAAAATTAGGCACAAAAATCCTTTCAAAAACGAAATTTTGGTGTATTTGCTCTTAAAATATATTTTTGGAGTCGAAATCTCATTTCTCTACGACTCTCTCATTTTTTCATGCTATTTTCTAGTCCAATCGACCTTAGAGGGAGAGAAAAGAGAGCGCAGACAGGTCAGAAAGTTTCAATTAAAAAAACTGTAAAAAAATACGTACTTAAAGTGGTCACTATAGGGGTCTTCAAAAGATCACGAAGTCGACAAAATAGTGCTCCCTAGAGGACTGAAGTTTAGGTGGTCACTATAGGGGACTTTTTTTGATTTTTTTGGGAAAAAAATAAAAAAATTTAGTTATTACCGCTGTTTCTCTGAACATGGAGAAGAACTGAAATTCATATTTTTTTCGATTTTTTTACGAAATTTTTATTTTTCAAAAAAATTGTGGTAATTTATTAATTTCGCTGGGAAAAATTTCAGATTTTTTTAAAGAAATTTTTTTCGCTCCGGAAACTATTTTTACTGTGCCTTTTTTTGAAGTGAAATGAATATTTTTTTCGATCAAATTTTTAGAATATAAATTTATTGCTAATGTCGCACGTGTTCTACATGTAATAAAACCTCGATTAACTTTTTTTATCTCAAGTAGATTTGAAACAGTAAAAACTTCTATAAATTTTTCAGAATTGAAAAACTTTTAGGAACGCGAGAGTGGTCACTAGAGGGCTCTTGCAGGTTTCCCTCTAGGGACCACTTTATTGATTTCCAGAGGGGGCTTGCAGAAGTGGCCACTCTAGGAGTTTAAGTTAGTGGTCCTCAGAGAAAAAAAAATTGACCCAAGCGTAAAGAAAAAATTCAAAAATTGAAAAATCACTATAGGGACCATTTAGAGGGCTCTAAAGCTTACAAAAGTGGCCACTCTAGGAGAACATGCTAATGGTCGCTATGTCCTTTTAACTTTCAAACTACAACCAAAATTAAAAAGGCTCTTTAGGGACCACTCAAACCTACTATAAAAATCATCTTAATTTTATCCCTCTAGGGGTCACTACAGGAGCTTTTTCTAACCCCTCTAGTGACTACTCTAGCGATCTTAAGAATTTTGTTTGTCAAATAAAAATGTAATATTAATTTACAGTGAAGTCTTATTCAATCTGAGAAACGGGAAAGTGAGTTATTCAGATATCGAAACTCGGTTCTGGCGCAAATGAAACCGAAAGAAACGGTCGAAGTGTTCCACTATCAGTTCAGTGAACTCATCACCGAATTCAAAAAGGTTCAAAAAGCCGAAAAAATTGATGATTTCCCTATCAGAACATGGGCGATTTACCGGAACACGTGATCGTTTTCCGCGACGGGATCAGCGACTCGGAAATGGTCCGGACCGCCACTATCGAACTTTCCCATTTCAAGTTGGTTTTTTAAAGAGAAAAAATAATTTTTTTGGATCCTGTAAGTCTCTGCGAATTCATGAACATATATTTCCATTAAATTTAGTTTTATATTGTTTTTTTATATGATAAATCGGTTCAAATGACATAATAGTCAGGAAAAAATTGGATTTTTAAAGGGAATATTTCTAGGGGTCACTTAAGGGACTAAATGGTATACTACTACTCGGAAAATTTTTAGTGGCCGCTTAAGGGTTTCCTCAAGTACTACTTGGAGAGGACACTGAAGTGACCACCAGAAAAAACTTTATTTATTATTTTGCGTCTCAGTGGGTGAAGGATACAACGGTGGAGCAAAATTACCTCTAGTGTGTTGGGAAATTTTAGTGGGCTCTTAAGGGTTTTGACTTTTCAGTAGCCACTTTAGAGTTCTCTCCAAGAAGTCCTTTTTGAGTCCCTTAAGTGGCCACTAAAAATTTTCCCAATGAGCTTCTCAACTTCTCAGTGGTCGAGTTGAACTATTTAGCCTCTTAAGTGGTCACTAATTCGACTACTACAGTGACCACTTGAACTTTTAAACCCTCAAGGGGGCACTAAACATTTTCTCAGTGAAATTAATTTTAAAGAAAAATCTCCGATTTTCTGTAAGGCCGTGTTCAGAGAAATTTGAGCGAATTTCAATTTTTTTCTTTGCGTCTCCAAAAATTTAATTATGTTTTCCATTCTCTGACGGTTTTTTTTGAATTTCACGGGTCCACTTTGATCACGGTATAAAATGGCAGAAATTTTATTTTTTTAAAGGAAAGGTCCTCTAGTGAACACTTGAGGGATTTTTTTTTCAAATATTATTCCAGAAAAAAATTGAATACCTTTTGGGAATGGTTGCTCTATTGCTAAAATTTGAATTTTTTTAGAGTAATTAACTATTTTTTTATGTTCATTTTTGAATACAATTTGAAAGAAATACGCTCTAAAAACGGAAAAAAAAACGGAATTTTCGACTTTTGATCGATTTTTAAAGCTTTAGGTGTATTTTTCTCACATAGGAACAGTTTTTGAGCTTTCTGGAACCTTTTTTTCTCCAGCTTTTATCGAAAATCCAACTTCAGAAAACACATGATCGCCCTTTTTGGGGATAGTTGCTCCATTGCCAAAATTTGAATTTTGAAGATAATTAACTATTTTTTTGAATTTTCATTTGAAAGAAATACGCTCCTTTTTGAGCTTTTTCGGTTTTTTGAAGTTCCTAGTTGTTTTTTTCACATCGGAACAATTTTTGAGCTTTCAGGAACCTTTTTTTCATTAGCTTTCATGGAAAATTCAATTTCAGAAAACAATTGATCGCCCTCCTGGGAAGAGATGCTCTGCTGCCAAAATTCACCTACATCGTCGTCCAAAAACGACACACGACCCGTTTCTATGAAATCGACGAGGAAATGGAAAAAACCGACGAAAATCCCATGCAGTTTGAATATTTTTCGCTTTTTTGGAAGCAAATAAGGAATTTTCAGACTGAAAAACGTGAAATCTGGAACGATCGTCGACGAAATGGTCGTTTCCCGGATGAACTTCGATTTCATGCTCGCTTCTCATCACGGAGCCTTGGTTGGTTTCGGGAAAACATGTTTTTCAATAAATGGCCGCATTTGGAATGGCTTTTTCTTCCTTCAAATGGAAAAAAAAAATTAAAAAACGGTCAGAAAATTAATTTTCGAGTTCATTCCAAATTTTATCAATAAACGGTAGATTTTCATAACTGGTCAGTAAAAAATCAATTTTTTTCAACGAATTGGCCGCATTTGGAATGACCTTTTCTTCTACATATTGAGGCAGAAGGACAAATTATCAAAAAGCGTCCTGAAAGGAGTTTTTGATGTTATCCTGGATTTTTTTTTTCCAATATAGATCGTGAAAATAATAAATCGCACCGAAATGGCCGCATTTGGAATGACCTTTTTCTTCTAAAATGAGAAGGAAAGACAGAAAAGCAATTTAAAAATGCGACCAGAAAAACTTATTTCCACATTTTTTTCCAGATTTTTAACATAAAGAGATTATTGGTTTATTCGAAAACTTGCTGAAAATTGAAAATTAGTAAAAAGACCGCATTTGGAATGGCTTTTTTTCTTCAAAGGTTAAGTGACAGAAAACCCATAGAAAGTGATTTGAAAAAGTCCGCTTCTACTTTTTTTCTCACTTTTTTTATCATTGATATCATGTCCATTTTTTTAAAAAGATCATTCATCAAATTTATCAAAAAAACGTCCGCATTTGGAATGGCTTTTCTGGCAACTGCTTGAAAAAAACTGCAAAATTTGCGAAGTTATGAAAATGAAGGAGACATTTTTCCAGGGAACCACTCGTCCTTGCCATTACCATGTGATCTACGATGAAGCGGCTATGAAAAAAACAAGACATTTATGTAAGTTTTTTTAATTTAAAATGCAAAGATGGCGGAAAAAAAGATTTTTATTTTTTTCGAAATTTTTTTAAAAAAATCCATATCTAACTAGTTACGATTTTTAGATAAGGAATCAATTAATAAAAAAACAAGGATAATGTTTTTTTCCAAAAAGATCTCCTTTCAGTCATACATGGGATGAGCATGACTGGCGACAGCCAAGCCCCCCTTAATGCCAAGCCTTACCCCCCTTAATGCCAAGCCTTACCCCCCCTTAATGCCAAGCCTTACCCCCCTTAATGCCAAGCCTTAACCCCCCTTCCACTTAATGCCAAGCCTTACCCCCCTTAATGCCAAGCCTTACCCCCCCCTTAATGCCAAGCCTTACCCCCCTTAATGCCAAGCCTTAACCCCCCTTCCACTTAATGCCAAGCTTCCCCCTTAATGCCAAGCCTTACCCCCCCTTAATGCCAAGCCTTAACCCCCCCTTAATGCCAAGCCTTACCCCCTTAATGCCAAGCCTTACCCCCCCTTAATGCCAAGCCTTACCCCCCCCTTCCACTTAATGCCAAGCTTCCCCCCCTTAATGCCAAGCCTTACCCCCCTTAATGCCAAGCCTTAACCCCCCTTCCACTTAATGCCAAGCTTCCCCTTAATGCCAAGCCTTACCCCCCTTAATGCCAAGCCTTACCCCCCCCTTAATGCCAAGCCTTAACCCCCCCTTCCACTTAATGCCAAGCTTCCCCCTTAATGCCAAGCCTTACCCCCTTAATGCCAAGCCTTACCCCCCTTAATGCCAAGCCTTAACCCCCCTTCCACTTAATGCCAAGCTTCCCCCGCCCAACTTAATGCCAAGCCTTACCCCCAACTTGATGCCAAGCCTTACCCCCCTGTTTTTTTCCTTTTTTTCCGATCATTTTGAACTGAAAAAAATTTTGGTTCTTTTTTTAAATGGTTTTTTTAACGGTTTTTCTGCCAACTATCCCATGTATGGTTGCAGAATTTTCTAGCAAAAAAATGTTTGATTGAAGTTTTTTTCAAATCTTGTTCATTTTCAACAAAAACGTTTCCAGGAACTCTGCTACAACCTGTGTTTCCTGTCGGCCAGAGTTCGCAAACCGATCTCCCTACCAGCCCCTGTTCACTACGCCCACATCGTCTGCGAAAAGGCGAAAAACATCTACAAGTACCTGAGAAGGTATTCATCAAAGAAAAACCATTGGGAGCTCATAAAAAACTTTCAAAATGCTTTCTCAGCGCCTTTTACAGCTTTTGTTGATAAAGATTTGTTCGAAAAAATCAAAATGAGATCCAAAAAAGACCGAAAAGTCTGGGAAAAGTTGTTGAAAAATAGAAAACGAAGCGATTTTTGAACCTTGCTGGGACTTGATTTTTTTTTGATAGGGTTTTTTAAAAGTTTGTGAACCCTGTATTGTTTCAGTTACGTATTGAAAAAGAGAAAAATCATTGACAAAATTTAAGAAACAAATCTTTATTTTGAAAAACAAATAAGAAATCAAGTACTTTCCGTACCTTTTTCAGAATTTTTTTCCCCCTTTTTTTAGGTTTTTTTAAAGTTTTTTTATGTATTCTCTCTATTCCAATTTAGGGATTCGATACAGAAAAATCAATAAATAAAAAGAAAACTCATTTTTTTCAATGAAGATATGGATGAGAATGAAGCGGTTTTTTTGTACCTTTGAAACGAAATTTTTTTCAATTTTTTTCAGGCTTTCAGGCTTCTTTGAGCTTTTTCCTATGTTTGAAATTGATGATTAAAATAATAAAAAAATATTTTTTTCCAGAAAATATCCGTCCGAGATGCTCACCGCTACGTTCATCGAAGAGCAACTGAAACAGCACAAAAATTATCCCGGAATGCATTTTGTGTAATTTTTATTCATTTTTTTGAAGAGATTAGGCAGAAAAATCACATAAAAAACGAAAATTTCGTTTTTTTTTTTCTAGCAATACTTTTTTGGGGTCAAGATTCAACAATCTCATTTCTCTGGAACTCTCTTTTTTTTTACGTGCTATTTTCTAGTTTAATTGACCTTAGGGTGAGAGTAAAGAGAGCGCAGACAGATCAGAAAATGAAAAATGTTAAAGTACTTAGGAACGCCAGAGTGGTCACTATAGGGTTTAGGGGAGAAAAGTCCCTATACTGGACAAAATAGTGATCCCTAGAGGGCTAAGTTGTCCCTATAGGGGTTTAGGATCAGACTTCTGAGCTCCTAACGATCAAGTGGTCCCTATAGCGATTTTTCGATTTTTCGTTCTGATTGGACCGCTAGAGGGACCACTAACAAATCCCTAAAGTGGCTTCTTTGACAAGCTTTAGTGGCCCCTTGAGGGGTTTAGGGTCAGACTTATGAGCCCTTTAACGCTCAAGTGGTCCCTATAGAGATCTTTGAGTTTTTTTTTGTGGATTCGTTGCCGAAAAAGGGACCACTAGCATGCTTCCCTAGAGTGGCCCCTCTCCTAACTTTAATGCCCCCTAAAGGGGAGGTAAAGTGATCCCTTGAGGGAAAGCCCCTATAGTGACCACTCTGGCGTTCCTAAATAGAAAAAAAATATCTTGACTAGTAAGAAACTTTCGCGCTCTATTGATAATTCCTCCATTACATTCCCGAAATTTCCTTGTAAATTTATTATGAACCGCAAATTTTTTTTTTCTTGATTTCCCACCGTTTTTCTCGCCTGCTTTACATTCCCTGTGATAATTTCTGGCTAATCTTCATGATTTTTCTGATTACCATGACCCCTTTTTGTATATAATGTAACAAAAATTGTCGAATTTTTCGCTTTTTCCTGTAAAAAAGTCAATGTTTCGTTGATGGAATACAATTTTCTGATTTTTTTTTTGGCTTTTTTTCGCTCTTTCAATGGAGATCAGTTAGAGGAATATCAATGAATTTTTTTGGGAATTTTTTTCAAAATTTAAAAAGAAAATGAGAAAAAAATAAATAAGATATTTATGAGTTATGTGTGCTCCACTGAGAAAAATCACCATATTTTTTTTTGCTAAATTATTTCGGCTTATTTTTTGAAAATATTAATATTACGTGGAGAAAAAAAAAAGACCCTAGAGGGGTAAAGGGAGGTTCCCTCGAAAAAAAAAGATTAATGTTTAAAAAAATCAGTCTTCTCATAGCATTCTCCACTAGAGTGGCCACTAAGGCAGCTTTCAGTGCTCCCTACAGGGAAGGGGAGGCGATCCCTGGAGGGGTACCTTCAAGTATCCCTAAGCCTGCCCCTCTAGGGACCACTCTGGCGCTCCTAAGCTTTTCATAAACTTGTATATAAATAGTATCAATAAAAGTCAAATGTTCCCTAAAGTGACCACTTTGGAAAGTATTAGTGACCCCTATAGGGGAAGGTAAGGTGATCCCTAGAGGGGTACCTTCAAGTATCCCAAAGGTTGCCCCTCTAGGGACCACTCTGGGGTTCCCAAGCTTCTCATAGATTTACATTAAAATAAGTGGCAAAAATGTCAAATTTTCCCCTGAAGTGGCTACTTTTGCAAGTTTTAGTGGCCTCTATAAGGGAAGGTATGGTGATCCCTGGAGGGGTACCTTCAAGTTTCTTAGAGATCACTGTAGTGTCCCTGAGACGGTCTCACTTTCCAACAAAAAAAATTTGAATCCATCAATCTCGAAAACGGAAAAAAAATGTTCTCGAGACCTACCTTTCTGTTTTTTTGGCAACACAAAAGCACAGTGGGGGCAGCTTTTCGGGCGGAAATAACCCGTTTTTTTCTTGCCCAAGTATATAAATGCCCTTCTTGCATTACAGCACACATCTCCAGGTTCACCCCTCTCAAAATCACATTTCTTCACCTTTTTTTCTTTTGTTTTTCTTTTGAGATTGAAGAAAATTAGAGAATCAGGTTTGAAAAATGGACGGAAGATAGATTTTTGGCTTTTTCTGCACTTTTTCCTTGACTTTTTTTCGATTTTTTTCTTGTATTTAGAACCAACAAAAAAATATAATAAGACTGAAATGATCTCTTTTTTGCGAATTTTTTTCAATTTTTTTAAAATTTCCTAGTGATTGAAAAACTGTAAAAAAACAAGGTTTTTTTCTTTCGAAAATCAACATTTTGACTTTTTTTCTGACATATTTTTTTCTTTGAACTAATCTTATTTCAAATTTTGAAGTTATAGACTTCACCCAACTGCCCGTTCTTCATTATCAAAATGATCCAAACCTTTTTTTCTTTCTATAAAACTCCTTTATGATCCTTGTTTTACTTTTGACTTGAATTTTCATCTGGGAAATTTTGAAAAAAGTCATTTTAAACTGGTTTTCTAATGGAATTTGAAAATTTGAACTTCACACAACTACGCCTTCTTCATTACAAAAAAATTCAAATATTTTTTCTTTTTGTTTTGGAGCTTTCCAAAAAAGCCATTGTTATGTCTGAAAATCTCAATTTTGTAGTAGATTTGTGATTTTTCATTACTTGTACCTTGTTATTTTTTTGCGTTTTTTTCGAAGTCTACTTCTTGTCGAGAAAGCGATAGAACAACAGCGAGATGAAGAGACGCCAGAGAAGTGAGAGAAATTCTATTTCTCTGGCGTCTCTTAAGCCCTTAATGATCTCTCCATTTATTTTTAATCGTCTTTTTTTTCAACCTTGACCGTTCTGGTATAGTCCACTTATCATTGGCACAGAATTTGAAGGTTTCCCTATTTAAAAAAAAAATAGTGTGCAAAATTAGGAGACTTAGACACCTCAAGCGACTTTTTTCGATGAAAAATTCGGTTTTTTCATTTTTTATTTGTGAAAAAAAGCTCAGAATTTTTCTGAAATTTGGCTAGAACACTCCTCGATGTACCAGAAAGATATTATGAAACTTTTGACCTTCAAATATTTCTAGTTTTCGAGAAACGACACCTTAAAGTTGAAGAAAACTGTCAAAAAAGGCATTTTTGAAACCCTATTTCTCAAAAACCTGGAAGTTTTGAAGCTTGATGATCGCAGGAGCTTTTTTTGGTTCCTTAAGGAAGATTCTGGCCATTTTTCGAACCGAAAAGTAAAAGTACCTCCTTGTTGAAAGGTCCGTCCGCCAATGTGTTCAAAGTTACAGCAAAAATGTTCCGAGCCCTTTGTCTGACCGTACTTCTGACGTCATCTCAAGTTTCCTCGTTCCTTTTCGGCGGCGGCTGTTGTCAGCCGGTGTCCTCTTGCTGCGGAGGCGGGTCTTCTTGGGCCTACGCTCCGCCCACCGTCATTGGTTATGAAAGGGTGGGTTCTCTTCCTTGATTATCATGACGAGATGGGAGTTTCGTAGATCATTTCAATCAAAATTGTAAAAAAAAGATATAGTCCATTCACCGCGACTTGAGATTTCTCGTGTTTCTGCGTCTCTCTGTTCCCTTAACGGCAAGGTCAGAAAAAAAATGAAAACTGCACTTCAAAATGAGAGGGTCGCAGAGAGACGAGGTGGGAGCAGAGAAAAAAAGAACTATAAAAAAGACTAAAATTTTCTATCACAAATGACTTCGGCGCGATAGAAAAGCGATGTCGCTAACGATATCGCAATTCTGTCGCACTGTCTTCGCGATTTTTTATTTTCCAAAGTGCGACCTAGAATTTGTCAAGCATTCACAAAGAACTTGTTCATTTCCAAAACGCGAGATCGCGCCATTTGAGACGCAAGAGCGACGCGGCACTTTCGCGATATCGCCTAAGCACCGCCGCGACATCGCGTTTATCTCGCAGTTTTTCTTGATAAAATAGACACTTCAATTTTTTTTTCTCATAATTTTCTAACCGTACTTCTGACGTCGGCACTTTCGCGATATCGCCTAAGTACCGTCGCGACATCGCGTTTATCTCGCAGTTTTTCTTGATAACATAATCACTTCAAATTTTTTTTCATAATTTTTCGAAATCATGAATTTTTTTAGATTCCTCTGTACGCCAAGGTCCCGATGCCGCCTCCACAACCTTCTTAGTTCGTTTTTTTATTCATTTTTTTGTCGACCTCATTTTTTTAATATTATTGGAAAAGGAAAACTTGCTAAAATAAAAATAAAAAGTCATTTATTCAGTCCAATGATACCGCCGCCGCCACAGACCATGTGAGTGAAGTTGGCATGGATTATTTTTAGAATTTCAAGTTTTTTTTTAGTTTATCAATGGAGCATGTTTGTCAGGGGCCACAAAAAACCAGATTCTGAAAGAATTTTTGTAGATCTTCCAAAAAATGAAAAAAAAAATTTGAAAAGACCCACAGCACGATTTTTACTAACCCCTAACCCAACACTTTAACAATTTTTTTATCACAAAAAAACAGAAAAAAATCCCAGAGTAATCAAATCTGAGCCGGCTCCGCCTCCTCCTCCTCCTCCTCCACCTCCTCCACCACCTCCGTCTCCGCCTCCACCTCCTCCAGCTCCCTCTACAACTCAAGCTCCTCCAACCCCAGCACCTCCCCCAGTAGCACCAGCACCCCCAATGCCTCTAATCATGCCTTCCTATCAAGCCGGCCCCGTTGTTTTTCAAGTTGGTCCAGCTCTAGAGGCAGCGCCTTTCCTGACCCAAAAATTCGTTGGATCGTACCAAAATGGAGTTGGTCCAGCTCAAGTTCTAGTTCAAGAAGTTCCACCTTCAGTTCCAGTAGCTTCAAGATCCTTTGGATCCTACCAAAATGGAGTTGTTCCAGCTCAAATTTTAGTTCAAGATGCTCTACCTCCTCCCATGCCTCTAGCAGTTCCAGTAGCCTCAAAAGTCCTTGGATCCTACCAAAATGGAGTTGATCCAGCTCCCCTCCTAGTTCAAGAAGTTCCACCTCCACCAATGCCAATACTAACTCCGAAACTCCTTGGTCCGTACCAAACCGAAGTTGCTCCAGCTCCAATTCTCGTCCAAGGAGTTCGAGCTGCAGCTGCACCAACTCTCCAACGAGTCGCACCCGCACCACCTGTTCCAGGGTTCTCGCCTACTTTTTTCAAATTAACCAACAATTTTCAGAGTTTTTCCGACCTCAACGGCCACTTTCCGACAGCCAGTAACCTTGTACGAGTTTTTTTCTAACATTTCTAATTAAAATTATTGATTTTTTTCGGAGTAATTTCAAGATAATTATTGAATTTTTAAGAGTAAAAAAAGCTTACTTTAAAAAGAAATTATTGAGAAAAAAATCTGGAAAAAAATTTCATGGGAATATTTTTGTTACTAGAACTTATCGATTGGAGGAGAGTATTTTTTTCAATTTATGAAAATTTGACAAATTTTTGAACCGTTTTGAATCTTTTTAATCAACTTTTGAGGTTCAAAATTTATGGTCGCATTTGGAATGGCTCGAAGAAAATTCAAAAAAATTGGTTCTTTTTTTCGATTTTTTTACAAAAAAATTCAATTCATTTTTTTAGCGTTCAACCGCTCAAAGTTCATTAAAATATGGCTAATTTTTCAATTTTTTTAAGACTTTTTTTCATTAAAATAAGCCCATGGTCGCATTTGGAATGGCTCAAAGAAAATTCAAAAAAATGTTTTTTCGACTTTTTATAAAATTAAAAATTTTTTTCTCAACTTTCAACAGCTCAGTTTTTTTATTTGAAAAAAATTGGCAAAATTTCAGTTTTTAAACAGTTTTTTTGAAATATTTTTTTCATTAAAAAAACCCTGTGGTCGCATTTGGAATGGCTCGAGAAAAAAACTTGGAAAATCCATTTTTTATTTTAATTTTTTCTCAGCGTTCAACAGCTCAAATAACATTGAAAACTTTGAAAATTGTCAATTTGTGAATTTTTTCTGTAGTTTTGATTTCATTTTCGATCCCTAAAACCCATGATCGCATTGAGAATGGCTCGAAAATTCTTCATTTTTTCTTATTTTTTCTGAAAATCAACTTTTTTTTTCAGCGTCCAGCCGCAAATCCAACAGCCCGGCGGTTATCAACAAGCTCCAGTGGTTCGTTTTTTTTCGATATTCGATTTTTTCAAAGCTTTTTAACTCAAAATTTAAAAAAAGTATTTTTTTCTCAAATTTGAAAGGAATATTTGTTCAAAAATGTGAGTTTTTGTCCTTGTCACTTAATTTATAACCTCTTTATCAAAATGTAATAAAAATGATGCTTGGAAACGTTTTGAAAATCTTGAAAAATGATGATCCGATAAGAAAAATGATAAAAAATTCAGTTTCAATGGAAAAATGCCAAGAAATTTTGGAAAAACGTGGATTTTTTGGCTTCGCTTGGAAATTTAGCAGTAAAAAATGGGATTTTGATGATTTTTTTAAGTTCTTCACCTTATATTTCAAGATTTTTCCAATCAATCTCCAAATTTGGAATAACGCCATCATCTTTGTCAGTTTAAAACATCAAAATCGATGATCATCACCAAAAATCTTGATTTTCCCGTCTTTTTCCTCAGTTTAACATCAAGCTTCTGTGTGTCGACATTGTTGTAAAAAGGAAAAATTTTCCTTTTCCGTCCGTTTGTGTAACTTTTCGGGGCCTCCTTTTCTGTGATTCGCTTTGGCGCGAAAGTTGTGCTTTCCAAGGGACTTCTTAAGGGTTTTTCGGTGAAATTTTTCTTTTTTCACAAATTCGCTTGGAAAAAATCGAAAATTTACTTTTTTTTCTATTTACAAACTGAAGTTATTCAACTTCTTTTTGAATTATGATAACTGAAACGAACGAAATTTTTTTCGAATAATTTTGAAAAAAAATGATCATTTTCAGGGCTACAACCAAGGCCAATCCATCCAAGGGCCATTTGAAACCGGAGTCGAAGTTCAGGTAAAACTTTAATTCTTTCAAATTTCCTAGTTTTTTTAGGTTTTTTTCGAGCATGATAAGCTAGATTTATAACTTATTAAATCCAAAAAAAGCAAATTAAATTTTTTCAGCAACCTTTCAACAACCAAAACCAAGTTCAAACGCCCGTTCAAGCTTCAAATTACAACGAACAAGCCGTTTCTGGAGCTGAACAAAGTGGAAATTCCGCTCAGGTAAAAAACAATCAAAAAATAATAATAAAAAATAACCAAATTTCAGTCCGGCTACGATTCCGCCGCCGTCGCCCCAAGCGCCAAAAGACTGCGAAAACTCTTGTAAAACGTTATTTGTTTTCATTTTTTGTATATACTCGCGAAAAATGCTCAAAACCGATAAAACTTTCACTTTTCCATGCTCCTCTCACATGCTACTCGTTCAGCAGCCGATAAGTTGTGCGCTCCGCGCCGCCGACAACAACATGGCCGCGTGGCCTAATGGATAAGGCACCAGACTTCGGATCTGGGGATTGTAGGTTCGAGTCCTGCCGTGGTCGAAACTTTTTTTGCCATTTTTCGTATGATTGAACTAGGTAGGAAAAGTCTTTCTTTATGCAAAAAGATAAGGAATGCCGTGGTCAAAACTTTTTTTGCAAACTTTATTCATGTTTTATGCTCCTTTTTGTGTGATATTGTCCATCGTCGAGAGGTTAACAGTGTCCTGATCATCGGCGACAGTTTCCTCGATGTAATTTTGAGGCTTTGCGATTTGTTCGATGAATACGTCATGCGACTGAATATTTCTCTTTTTGAGAATAAATATGGGAGACAGAGAAACGAACTGTGCATTTTGTGAAAGAAAGAGTGGCACCCTGGCGACTTGTGAAGTAAAACAAGAGAAGGTATCCGTGGATTAATAGACCCGACGCAACGATAATGGTCCACAAGACAAATGCCGCGAAGCAATCTGAAAGTTGATCATTTTTCATATATGAGAAAATCAGTGGTCGCATTTGGAATGGCTCAATGCGTACGTGACCGACTCAAAACGACTTTCGCGCAAAGGCATTTCATATTCCGCGACCGACACGCCTCAAGCCATTCCAATTGCAAGCAATAATAATCGAAGAGAACATTACCGCAGTCCTCGAGGGTGTCAGCAAAACACTGGAAAAACTTTTTTTCATAGTCAAAACTTTTCAAATATAAAAAAACCTTGATCGGTGCTATTGGATGAAGGCTTTTTCGAGGAAATCCGGTGGTGTTGATTCGAAAAAAAGCTTTTAAGTTATAAGTAAAATGAAAATCGAACCGACAAGAGCGACTGGATGGAGTTCAGTGCAGTTCCTGGGAAGCCATTTTGCCTGCCGGTTCATCTGAATAAAGAAAAAGTTACTTCAAGTTTTCAAAAATAGGGTGAAAAAAGACTTGTTCATCGAGATTCTACTGGATCTTAAAATGTTTTTCTTTTCTTGTCCTCAAAATTTGGCTTGAAAATCATATGGTCGCACATGGAATGGCTCAGTCTCAAAGCGGTTGTATTAAAGACGCATCCGACTTGAAACGACTTGCGCACGGGGATCAAAAACCTCCAAAAAGTCACCAACCACAACACAAAGCCCCTCATTGGCTTTTGGAGTCCCGTTTTCCCAATTGAAATAAGTCAAAACGGTGCCGGTGATGTAATCGTACCATATTCCTTCGTTCTGAATGTACTTTATTTGAAATAGCTAGAATGGATTCGTTTTTTTGCTCTGATCTTGAATAGAACCCAAAAATTGCCATGGAGGTCTGTAGGAAAAGTTTTGGCTTATGAAGGTTTGAAAAATGGGTCTTAGAGCGAAATTCGGCATACTGTTCTTTTTTTTGACAAAAAAATAACGTGAAGTCCTTTGAATATAAGGAACGCCAGAGTGGTCCCTACGAATTGAGTTTGAGGCTTTTAGAATTCAGACTCTAAACGCTTATATGTATATACCAACTAATGAGCGCTATTTTTCCCACCTTAGGGGCTGTCTTTCCTTACCCCTGTAGGAACAACTCCAACATTCTCAAGATTCTATGACTCTGCTTGGAAGAAAAAACCCACGTTGTAATCTCTTCTAGCACCGATGTAGAAAAATTCATTAAGAGTGGATCGTTTTCTTCTTCCTGCATTCTGTCCACCAGATCCAACCTTTTTCATTTTCTCCATATCGTCGATTAAAGCTTCCAACACGCCTTCTGAAACAATAATGGCTTTTGTAATATTCGTATTTGTCGTACTAGGTTTCTCCGTCATGCTCACAGCACTAATTTTCTTGGAAGTTGTCGTCGTTGTCGTCGTTGTCGTAGTTGTTGTAGTAGTCGTTGTTGTTGTCGTAGAAGTCTCGGGATTTTCGGTTGTTCCTTCCGAGAGCTTTTTCATAACTGAAAAAGTCCGCGTTGATGCGTTTTGATGACTAGAAAAACCTTGGACAACTTCGGCGTTTCGTTTTTCGTTTAATGGAACGGCGATCCTCTGGCCCCTCACTGAGTAATAAAGAGCATGTTCGGCAAAGCTACGGGCTCTATGGAAAACATAGTTGATTCAAAGTCAATTTGAACTCATTGAGAAATTCTCGACTACTGAGAGAGTAGAAGGTAGAAACACTTCAGCTTTTTTTTTGCTTTAATGTAGCACAAAGAGAAAATAAAAAACTAATAAAACTAACTCTTTATCGGCGATTGTACCGCATCCAAACACGATAATCAAAAATACCACCGTCAAAATCTGAAAAAGTCGACAATTTACAAACAGAGAGAGAAGAAAACCTGCATCTTGCGACGAAGATGGAATAATAAATGTCGAATATACACGTTTTTCATTGAAGATTGACGTTACTAACAAAATAAAAAATGGCAAAAGAGTTTCGACCACGGCAGGACTCGAACCTACGGTCCCCAGATCCGAAGTCTGGTGCCTTATCCATTAGGCCACGCGCCATACTTTGCATCTGGATATTGTAGGTTCGAATACTGCCGTGGTCCAAACTTTTTTGCCATTATTTTTTCGACTTCGTAAGAAAAGGATTTCTTCTCACAAAAAGGTTTCAGGAAGCTACTAAATTCCTCTTTCTTCCTAACAAATATGATTTTCTGTCATTGAAACCTTTTTCACTGAAAAACACAAATTATGAGAAAATCAATGTTAACTACTGATATTACGATGAAAAACATCTAATTTTGAATAATTCTCGTCAAGAGTGCAAAAAAAGCGCGATTGCTATGCACATTAGCAATGCGGGCCCACATGGCCGCGTGGCCTAATGGATAAGGCACCAGACTTCGGATCTGGGGATTGTAGGTTCGAGTCCTGCCGTGGTCGAAACTTTTTTTGCCATTTTTCGTATGATTGAACTAGGTAGGAAAAGTCTTTCTTTATGCAAAAATGTAGAAAATGCCGTAGTCGAAATCATTTTTCAGAGTTTTATTCATGTTTTATGCTCCTTTTTGCGTGATATTGTCCATCGTCGAGAGGTTAACAGTGTCCTGATCATCGGCGACAGTTTCCTCGATGTAATTTTGAGGCTTTGCGATTTGTTCGATGAACACGTCATGCGACTGGAAATTTCTTTTTTTGAAATATGGGAGACAGAGAAACGAACTGTGCATTTTGTGAAAGAAAGAGTGGCACCCTGGCGACTTGAGAAGTAAAACAAGAGAAGGTATCCGTGGATTAATAGACCCGACGCAACGATAATGGTCCACAAGACAAATGCCGCGAAGCAATCTGAAAGTTGATCATTTTTCATATATGAGAAAATCAGTGGTCGCATTTGGAATGGCTCAATGCGTACGTGACCGACTCAAAACGACTTTCGCGCAAAGGCATTTTATATTCCGCGACCGACACGCCTCAAGCCATTCCAATTGCAAGCAATAATAATCGAAGAGAACATTACCGCAGTCCTCGAGGGTGTCAGCAAAAACTGGAAAATTGTTTCATAGTCAAAATTTTCAAAATAAAAAAAACCTTGATCGGTGCTATTGGATGAAGGCTTTTCGAGGAAATCCGGTGGTGTTGATTCGAAAAAAAGCTTTTAAGTTATAAGTAAAATGAAAATCGAACCGACAAGAGCGACTGGATGGAGTTCAGTGCAGTTCCTGGGAAGCCATTTTGCCTGCCGGTTCATCTGAATATAGGGAAAGTTACTTTAAGTTTTCAAAAATAGGGTGAAAAAAGACTGTTCATCGAGATCTTCAACTGGATCTTAAAATATTTTTCCTTTTTTGCCTTCAGAATTTGGCCTGAAAATCCCATGGTCGCACATGGAATGACTCAGTCTCTTAGCGGTTATATTAAAGACGCATCCGACTTGAAACGACTTGCGCATTCACAACAAAAACCTTCAAAAAGTCACCAACCACAACACAAAGCCCCTCGTTGGCTTTCGGAGTCCCATTTTCCCAATTGAAATAAGTCAAAATGGTGCCGGTGATGTAATCGTACCATATTCCCTCGTTCTGAATGATTTTTTTAATTGCTGGAGTTTTTTAATCAAATTTTGAATAAAGAGTTTGATCAAATTATTTTGGAATGATAACTTTTTTTTGACAGGGAAAGCGTGACAATTTGCCGTGGATCTAAGGAATGTCTTAGTGGTTCCAAGAAGGGGCGACCTAGAGAAGAACCCAAACCTCTACAGGGATCCCCTGAATTCCAACCCTTCAGAGAGCACTCTTTTATCTACTGTAGGGGTTGCTCTCCCCAAATCTTCTAGGAACCCCTTTTTTATGATAGTAATTTTTATCCGAATTGTCACTGTTTGGAAAAATCTCACGTTGTAATCCCTTCTGGCTCCGATGTAGAAGAATTCATCAAGAGTTGATGCCTTCCTTTTATTGTTCGTTCCGTTTGTTCCGTCCGAGAGCTTCTTCATAACTAGAAAATTTCGCGTTGACAAGCTCTAATGACTAGAAAAAACCTTGGACAACATCGGCGTTTCGTTTTTCGTTTAATGGAACGGCGATTCTCTGGCCCCTCACTGAGTAACGAAGAGCGTGCTCGGCAAAGCTACGGGGTCTTTAGAATACATAATTGATCCAGAATAAAGAGATAATAGAAAAATGATAAAACTAACTCTTTATCGGCGATTGTACCGCATCCAAACAAGATAATCAAAAATACCACCGTCAAAATCTGAAAAAGTCGACAATTTACAAACAGAGAGAGAAGAAAACCTGCATCTTGCGACGAAGATGGAATAGTAAATGCCGAAATTACACGTTTTTCATTAAAGATTGACGTAATCATCAAAAAAAAAATGGCAAAAAAGTTTCGACCACGGCAGGACTCGAACCTACAATCCCCAGATCCGAAGTCTGGTGCCTTATCCATTAGGCCACGCGGCCACGACGTTGCTCTTCTCGCGGGCCGGTAAGAAGCGGTGTGAGGAGGGTGCATACAATCTTGGAGAAAAGGAAAAAAAAGGAGCAGGAAGGTAAGAATTTTCGGAAATTTTTTTTCGGGTATTTGATTAAGACAAGTTCGTTAGAAGGAAGGATTTGGAATTTGATCATGACGTTTTTTTTTTTTTATGATGAAATCGACTTGAAAAGGATAGTAATCCAAAAAAAAAGAAACCAGTTTTTATCTTAAACTTCTGAAATTTTTCGTTTAAAATCGTACTTCCATTTGTTTTTTTATCACGTCATCAGAATTTTAAGCTGGAATCTGTTTTCTTTGAATTATCCATGGAGCTAATTCTGCCAAGGTTTTTCCGAGGCGATATTTTCCATAAACTTTATAGCATTTTTTTCCAGAGTTTTTTTTTAATTTCATTCTTTTTTTATATTAGCTACGGAGCGAACTTTCACGGCTATTTTTTCTCACTTTTGCTTGTGTAACTATTTTTTCCTGGCTTCGTAGTTCCATCTTGTTTTTTGACTTTTTTTTTCAAATCATGGTTTTTTGTTCATATAACACTTTAGCAGGCTGTTTTTTTTCTTTAGATTCGTAGCTTTCTCACTTTTCTCTAGTATTTCTCATCTCTTTCTCAATTTAACCATGGAGCAAACTTTCGCCGACGTCTTCGTCATTTTCGCGCCTTTTTAAAAGTTTCAATTTTCTCTTAAAACTATGTCTTATGCTATTTTTGTTCTCGTAGAGAAGACACGAGATCATTTCATGTAGTTTTTTGACCCCTTTCTCATATTATCCATGGAGCATACTTCAACCAACTTTTCCCCCATTTCTCTTTGTTTTCTCGTCGTTTTCCTTGTAAAAAAGACATGTTGAGCAAAATGCGTTTATGATCAAGCCGAACTCTAGGCGGCGACCTTCTGGGCGTGGACGCGGACGACGCGTTTCTTGGCGACGCGACGGGCAGCGACGCGACGAGCAGCGGCGCGGTTGACGGCGACCTTGCGGTTGACGGCGACGTTGCGATGGCGGGCCGCGACGAGGACACGGTTGCGGGCCGGGCAAGGGCAGTACTCTGCAAATGTTCTTGTTATTCTCGAACTGAACCATACTGAAGATTCACTGAAAGTTCGAAAAATTCCCTCACCAGCATCACCGCCTGGCGATCCGGCGTTTCCTGGAGCTCCTGGGGTTCCTGGACCTCCGGCACGGCCTGGCTGTCCTGGGGCTCCGGCTGGTCCAGCTGGTCCTGGAGCTCCGGATCCGTTGCTGCTTCCTGGCTGTCCTGGCGCTCCAGCTGGTCCAGCTGGTCCTGGGGCTCCGGCTGGGCCAGGCTGAGAGCGAGATCGGGTTCCTGGGTTTCCGGCGCGTCCTGGCTGTCCTGGAGCTCCATTGCCTCCTGGTCTTCCGGCGTCTCCGGCTGGTCCTTGTGGTCCTGGGGCTCCCTGGCCACCGCCGGAAGCTGGGGCTCCTGGCTGACCGCTGGGTCCTGGTGGTCCGGCGTTTCCGGAAGGTCCTGGTGGTCCGGGTGGTCCGGCCGGGCATTTGACGCATCCGGATCCGCCGCTGCTGCTGTCGTCGACGAAGGCGGTGTTGCCAGAGTGGCCGGGTTGACCTGGGTGTCCGGGCTCTCCGGGAGTTCCTGGGGCTCCTGGGGGTCCTGGAGGTCCGGCTGGGCATCCGGTAGGCTGGGCTCCGCAGTTGCACTGAGCCTGACGCTTGACGTTGCGCTTGTCGCGGCCGAAGAAGAGGCTGTGGGCATCAGCAGAGACGCGGGTGGCTGGAACCATGCTGTTCCAGGCTTCCTTCTCGAAGTTCTGAAACAACTTTTTTTTGGAAATGTAATCTCAGTGGCTAGATCAATCCGTAGATTTTTTTTAAATCTCTTAAAACCGATGAATATTTTTTTAACTTTGAATTGGGAAGAAACTAGAAAATCTGAAAAAAAAACCGAAATTCATTGTTCTTATCTTTACTAGTCACGAGAACTCTAACCAGTCTAAAACTCGAAAAAGTTCTCTTTTTCGATTTTCTCTCAAATTTTCTGCCATTCCTCCTAACAGGTTCAATTAGATCAGCTCTCTAGCCGAATTTCAAAAAATTCCCAACCGAAAGTAGAATGACCTTTCTTTTATGGTAAATTAAGGGACAGCTCAGCTCTCTATTGGGTTTTTGAATGAGACCACGTTCTCTAGAAGTAGTTCTTTCCGCTGGTTCCAAATCTGATCTCAAAATTTGCTTCCGAGGCCTGTGGAAAAAGTTGGGGGCTCTCAAAAGTCCAGAATTTCATTGTCTCCTGTTAAGCTCATATAGTCCTAGTCCCTCCGGTCATGAAAAACCAATAATAAATTTAAAAAAAACCAATAAGTTTCAACAGGTAAGTCTGACCTTGAACTCGCTGAGCTCCTCGAGCTTTTCGTCGTAGAAGGAGTTGATGTCGTGGACGATCATGCCGACGGAGAAGATGCATCCGAAGATGACGAGGCAGCTGCCGACGCTGGCCACCGTCACGAAGGCCCCGGTACTCATTTTTCGAAGAGAAGAGACGCCTTTCCGACCCCGGCCGCTTCCGTCTCTTTTATACCGGTCATCTCGAGAACTGCCGCCTTTCTGGGCGTGGAGCGACCTTGCCGACCGTGATTTTTCCCTTTTCCCTAGACGGAAGCAAAATGCCGAGAAGAAGGAACTTGCCGCCAAACTCGTATCAAAGGTAATGGTTGGGAGATTGGTCCTTGGTTCCTTTATAGACGTTGTTTATTTTTTCGAATTTTTTGGATTGAAAATGAAGAAATTCGGATTTTTTGGAAGTTTAACAGTCCTTATACAGATTTTTCAAAAATAAGTGTCTTTCTAGATTTTTTTGTAATTTTTTTCAACTCTCAGGATTCCCAAAAAAAATAAAAAAATGTATATTTTTTTCAAGTTTTTCAGTATGATCCACCAAAGTCCTGTCAAAAATTTCAAAATTTCAAATTTTTGAGCTCCTAACCTATTTACGGATCGCGTTTATCGAATTTGAACATTTTCTCCATTTTTCTTTTTATATTAATGCACTTATCTAGTTAAAAAAATCTGAAGTTAAAAAAAAGACAAAAAATCAAGAAAATCTGATAAAAATTGCATTGAAAAATTTATTCGCAGGCCTTTTTTTTCAAAATTAAAAGCTGATATTTTTGTTTTCTGACCCCAAAAACGATTTGACAAAGATTCATCAACAAATTTTGAACTTTTACCAAAAGTTTTCCTACACCGGGATCGAACCACCGACCCCCCGAGCAAGGGTCTAGAACACACGCACTGCGCCAACTTAACAAGCTCTTTCGAAGCTGTTTCTCGCGCTGATCTCTTCAAGGGAGAGAAAAACTCCAGAATTTTCCGGACACTTCCAAAAATAATTTCTTACCCTTTCGCCGTAAAAAAGTTGATTCCGATCAGCAAACCGGTTGTTTTCCAAATTAAGAAGGTTGGTCGGCAAAGTTTTCTTTCTTTTTTTTTTTCATTGAGGGCCATTCTTCACCTTTTTTCTCAATTATTTCATTTTCCGGGTCTTGAAACGAAAATTTGATTGGCAAAAATTTTTGAAGTTGATATGCAGACAAATTGGGAATATGAAGATCTTCTGAAACAGGAAAGTCAGGGGTGCAAGGAAAAATGAAAAATGTGGAAAAAAGGGTACAATTGTTCACATTTCAAGCCGTAAAAAAAGATTTTTTTCAATAGATAATTTGTAAAAAAAGCTCCTTAAATTCAAGAAGACACTGAAAAAGGCGCAAAAAGCTACTTAAGTGATCACTAAATGGCTCTAAATAACTAATTTCGTCCTTCCGGTAAGTGTTCCAGTTTCTGAGAAAACGGTGGTTTTTTTAGCTTTTATTTATTTTTTTCTTATTTTATTTTTTTAAAAGTTGACACATGCTTTCTCGATGAGAAAAAAACCGAATTTTTTTGAATTTATTTGCACTGGAAGTTTTTTTGAACTTATGTTTTCATTAAACTTAAAAAAATCCAAAAAAATTCTATTCAAACCCCAAAAAAAGCCAACTTCCCTTTGAAAAAAAATTGGTTCTTTGGTCAAATGTCCTCCAAAAGAGCGGAAAATGGAAATGAGGAAGAATTTTATATTTTCGTCCCCCCAACCAAAACCAATTTCTTCGGCTATCGAAAAGCACATAAAAGACTGAACATCTAATCCATTCCAAGTGGCTATTTCCCTGGCTTTTCTGAAATTTTATATACTTTCTTCTTTCTTTTTTCCAGCTCCAGGAGACAAACCACTTTGTCCCCCTCAAAAGAAACAAAAAAATTACTCAGCTGGGATTTGGCAACATTCCATCAAAAATGTTGTCTTTTTGTGTTAGAGAGGTCCTAGAATAATGAAATTGGAAAAAAAGGGTTAAAAATTAAGTTGGGCCAAAAAAAGAAAGAATTTTGAGAAAAAGGAAGAAAGAGCAAAAAAGCTAGGTCCTGGCCGGGATCGAACCGGCGACCTTCTGCGTGTGAAGCAGACGTGATAACCACTACACCACAGGACCAGCGAACAGTAGGAGGGGAAAGGTACAAGTTACACGCTCGCGATCCAAAGTAGGTAGTTCGATAATTTAAAAATTTGCGATTTTCTGGAGATAAAAGGTTATAAAAGGTCCTGATCGAACAACTATACATGGAATTTGAGTTAAAAAAAGAAATAAGGTGAAATTTTTTTATTTTTATATATTTTTTTCCAAACAAACAAATTATTTTTCAATCCTAATTTTCGCTGTTTGTAGATAGTGATCTATATTTTTTCACCGTTTCCTGAGCTTCTACCCCCTTGTCAAAAAAATTCACGTGATCCAAACATGTTTTTCGAAAAAAAAGAGACAGTTGTCATGTTCAAAGAGTCGAAACCCGTGTATTTTGCGGAAGGAAAAAAAAGATCATTGTCTGGTTAAAAACTCATTCTTCATTGTAGTCTCTAGCATGTTAAACCTGGAAAAAATATATTAAAAAAAAGAAAATATGAATTTGAGAATAGAAAGGCCCTTGTGCGCTCCATGAATAAATTGAAAATTTTTCGAATCTTTAAATTTTTTAAAATTATTTTTTTACAATTATTTCATTGCATAAAGTGAGACCCATTTTTGCAATCATATCTAGCCGATGCGCGAAAGTCGTTTTTGGTCGGCTGCACCTTCAATTTGGCTGCTTCGCCATGCGCCTGAACCCCAAGTTATAAAGTCATTTTCGTACTACGACATTTTTGCTCCCTGAGCCATTCCAAATGCGGCTTTCTCCCAGACAGGAACTCATCGAAAACCCGCTCAATATTTCACAAAAACCAATCAACTTTCGAATCATTGGGTCATAAAAAGAGGGAAAAAAGCGGGGCTGCTGACCTTCGAGGATCTTCCGCCTTGGCCAGCATTCCCGGCATTTTTCCCCGTTCACACATGTTCTTCTCTCTTTTTTCTCGCCGCTCAATCAAGCCGGAAGTTGTAATTTCTCACTCTATCAAGCCTGTTTTATTCATGATTTAATGAGTAACACTTTTTTTGACCCCAAAATTGGCGAAACAATGAAAAAAAAGCGGTTCTTCCCTTCAAGGTGAATTCGTTATTTTTTTCTTACTTTTTTTGAAAGTTGTATTTTCCCATTTTAAACTTGGTTCAGTTGAACTTGTAGGTAAAATATTGAAAAATAAGTGAACCTCTCTGAAAAAATTCACAAAATCATCCATTTCCTATGTTCATTTTACCCGGAAAGTACATTTCAGCTTCATTACTTAAGAATTCGTTATCATGGAAGAATTTGATAAAAAATCTCGCTTAGTACGAAAATATTCAAAAAATGGAGAAGAGAAAGTTGAGGGCGGAGGAATGTCCACAGGGAATCGCTTATTTTTTCCCCAAAAGGTGGCTTTGTTCTCATTTTTTCTGATCCTTGGTGGTTTATCTTGCATTTTTCAAGGGTTTTGAAAGATTGAGAGCGAACTTCAAGAAGCAAACTTTGAAAAAAGTTATGAAAATGTTCTAAAAAAAACTTTACTTCCTGAAAATTTTGTTCAAAATTTTGGTATATCACTACAGTTTTATCATTTGAACATCAAAAAAATCTAAAAAAATCGGAATTATTTTTTTATCAGTTTCTTCTCAAACACTGAACACTTATAACGGAAAAAAATTATAATAAAAGAAAAAAATAAATACTGAATTTTTTTCGAAAAAAACGAAAAAAATATGAATTATCATTAGAGCGCACTTGTCCAAGAAGTTATCGACCGATCAAAATTTCAGAATTGAAGCTTTTTTTTTCCAATTTCACTGTTTTCTGATGTTTCGCCTTCGGTTTTGTTTTCCAATTACGTTTAATCTGGCTTATATATCTTGGTCTTTGCCTCCTCTTGTATCATTTCTTTTTTTTCAATTTCCAAGGGTTTATTTTTGGAATGAGTAAATTTCTTTGGATCTATTTTTGGCGTCATTTTCGCAAAAATAGTTTTTTTTTTTTTGATTTTTGAAACTTTTTTTGATTTTAAGTGTTTGCAACACTGCGAATTTTCGAAATAGTTTGAAGGAGCGTGGTTTGGGAACTTGGTTTGGTTTGAAATGGTTTGGAAACTTGGATTTTTTTTCAAGGGAAAAGGATTTTCGAACCATTTTTTTTTTCCAATTTACCAGAAACTTCTCAATATGATTTTCCAAGAACCCTTTTCCACCTCATCAAGTATGAAACTCGAACAAAAAGGAAAAAAGGCAGCTTCCACCACGCAAAAGTTCATTTCCAATTAACTCCAGTGCTTTTTTTCCGTCTCTTCTCGACGAATCATTATATTTCTTCGTTATTATCTGATTCTTGGTTAGTGAGAAGGTTCATATGATGGAATATGATTAATTGGTTTTATGGAGAAAGAAAGTTTTTTCCGTAAAACTGTGACCTGAGGAAAAAAAACCCGTTTCTCATCACGTTTTGAGTTGGGAAAATTCGATTTGACTCGAAATTGAGTTGTCTTTTTGACTTCGCAGGGTCGCAAAAAAATTCAAACTTTGCTCGGGAAAAAGTTAAAAAGTGACGTTTTTTTATTCAAAACATTGAATTTATCTGGAATACTTTGAAAAAAATTGCTGTGGAATTCATCAACACTTTACCGTTTCTTGAAAACATGATAAGATTCTATATTTTTCGATAATTATTCGATGTACTTGATTTTTTTAAAAAGAAGAAAATCCCATTTTTTTCAGTTAAAAAAATCTTAAATCACAAAAATTCAATCAGATCCAGTGTTCTGCTGATTTCAAGTCTCTTAAAATTCATGATTTTTTGAAAACGAGCCAAAAAAAGGCGAATGTCTCTGTAAGACTCAAAATCAGGTCCCTGACTTCATAAATATAATTTTTTCGGCTCTTTTTATTTTACTTCAGTTTTTCAAGTTCAAAACTAGTTTCAGACATGTTCAAAAAGACATAAACATGGCACGACTTGAAAATAAGCCTGAAAACGGATTTTCGTCTTGAGACCTTTATGGAATTAGTCTATGCGCCTTTAAGGAACTC